ATATTAAATAACTGCTAAACATAGACATTTCATGACATGTCACCTGTAAAGACCAGCGATGATTTCGTATCTCCTGAAACTTGTTCTCCGCCTGATCGGGCCGGCGGTACCTGAATGGATCGAGGACGTGGCGGGGCGGGAGTTGAAGAATGGATGAAATGTACATAGGGATTATAATATTGAAATATATTGGAATATATTGGAATATATTGGAATATATTGGAATATATTGGAATATATTGGAATGTATTGGAATGTATTGGACATGTTGTGAGTTGTGGGATATAAATACAAACATATGATGTTTTAAACAACAATGAAGTTTGGATGTGTCTGAGAATGGATATGATGATCAGTCAATATCAGTCACTCGATTTAAGGGGTACCCTATCTTTAGACAAGCCCATTTGGAACCTTTTGGAACCATGGGTCGTCTACTGTAAAAGATCCCATCCTGGAAAGTGATGGCATGTTGAAAGAAATATGGGGACCCATTTGGTATCCTTTGCCATTTGGCTTTACCACATCAAAACAAACATCAGTTGGGATTCATCCCAAACAGGTTGGACCATCACAAAAATGGGTCAACTTTTTGGGATCCGACCTGGCTGTTTTTCAGAGGCCACTATCACCTGGTTAGAAAAATCAACCAACGATAAGGCTGGTAGGACATTTATGAAAATCAAGCTACTGTCCTGAGAATTAAGATGGAGAACCCCCAATGTTGTTTCTGGACTTGGACATTGCCACTTAAGTCAGCTCCATTTTAGTTTTCGGTGGGCTGCCCAAAGAAATCCAGTGGCTGTTTCGGGGTAAAAACCCTCCACTTGTTGCTGATCTTCCTGGAGATTCTCCCAAAGGTCCCGTGGTCCGAGGGATCGTCCCCTGTGGGGCACTTGTCCTTGTGGTTGCGGATGATCTGGGAATGGTAATCATCACCTGAAGTTTTTTTTGGACCGCAACTGAACCCCCCAAAAAAAATATGGCTGTCCCGGGGGGTGACCCGGAATCAGACCAGAGAGGCATGGGGTTCACTTTGGATATATTGATCTACCAAGTTTCAAGGTTCACACTGGGACATCCCACCGTATTTGGAATACTTACCATGAAATCAAGTGGATCATCAACCAACACTGGTTAAAGAGATCCGTGTTTTTCTGGTTTTTTTTCTCTACTTTCGTGCTATCAGATATAGGCTGTAGGTTAACCCAACATGTTGACTTTGAGAGTCATGGTCGTGATTGTCCGATTTTCCCCATGCATGGTTGATCCACAGAGGGTTAAATCCCAACCTCTCCCCATCCCCACCTTCGATTCGGGTCAAACCCTTGTGCATGTAGGTAGGGGCCTCACAAGATAGGACCCACAGGGATCAAACTTTGGGGATTTCACAAAGTGAAGGGAATTCAGGAACCAACAAATACCAAAATAGGAATATGCAAGTGGATTCTCCGAAACAACAAATATGCAAAACTTTGGAACCCAATGGTCAAAATCATCAAGTGAAAGCATTTCAGTGTGTTGCATCCGGTCTTTTGGCAAGGAAAGGGAATTAGGACATCTATATGTATGTGTATACCGATTTAAATTTATACACATTTTCACCTATGGTGTCGGGACCCACCATTCTGTAGGCATAGGATTCGTTCCCAATGTCAGCATCTATAAAATGATGGTTTTCAAGTGTAGGACAATCAGAAATTGGCCTATGCTACCACTACAAAATGATGATTGGCTTTTTGTTCCGGCTACTTGAAGGGGGAAGCATCCAGGAATCCAAGACTGCAAAATGACCAGTTGTTTTTTATCACGTTATTTTGAAGGGGATCATCCAAAACTACAGCGTGGTTATTAAGACAGACAGACAGATAGATAGATAGACAGATAGACAGACAGACAGACGGACAGACAGACAGATTAAAGACCGTCTTGCTCTGACCGCCTCTCATGCCGCACATGATGAGATTTCAGCAAAGCCATCGCAAAGCTATCATCTGCGCCAAGTCCTTCATCTCTGCGCCAAGTCCTTCCTCAATTCCTGCGTGTTGCTAATCTAAACTCATTTTGATCCCAGTTCGGCCAATTGTTGGGTCCATGCTCCAGAATGATGGTCTTGGGTGCGAGGAAGCATTCAAGCTTTATAAAGGTCTTGGTGGAGAACGAAAAAACAAAAAACTTTGAGCCTTGAGCAAATCAAAAAAAAAAAGCATACACACACACAAAAAAAAACTAGAGGTCTTGGGGATAAGCCTCGGAGAGTAAGCCGACAAAAATCCGGAAGGATTTTTAACTTCTGGAGAATTGGGAGAAAGATAGGCAATGATTTTTTTCAACATAGATATATATATATATATGTATATATATAGATATTTAGAAACTTCCTGGAAAATCCAGTTCCAGCCATTCCATCATTTCATCACCCTCGAGGGGATGATCCCATTCCATCACCTGGAGATGATGTGGAAAATCTATGAAAATGACTGTCGCGTTGAAGGAACATCCTGGATATACTTCTCATCTTTCTGGGTATTACTATAATAATCTATGATATATATATATATATGTATATATATATACTATAATCAATCATCATGTTCCTTATGATTTCATGGCTATGACTGGGGGTATCCCTCATTTTCCAAGGCGCCTCTTGGCTTCCTCTGAAATATTTGGTGGGGCTGTTACTTTACCAAATTCTTGACGATCAACACCAACTTCAGCTGCATAGTCCCAGTATCTTTGCTAGTTCTATGCTAATCAGAAATGCCCATCTCTCCATTTTTGGTCATAGATGTTGGTAGGAAAAATCCTTATTCATATATTTCATATGCATCCACTGATTTCCAGAATACTTGAGGAAATCATAGAACTTCAATATTGGTAACTTCTGCCAGCATCAAACTCTGATACCTCGTTGGTCACATCCGCCCTCGGGGTGTCCCCGCGTCACTGGCAGTGACTGGGCGCCCCGAACCAGATGCAGGTGACAGGCCCGATAGTCCGGCACCAGGAAAAGGTCTGCCTCCGAGCCAGCCATGGAAATCAGATGACATCACGGAGGAAATGACGTATGGAGAATTTGTCCATTGAAGATTGTCCATATGGGTTTGTCTGAAAATAGGGTATATTCCCAATTATAGCCATTTAATAGGGATAATGATCATTAACATTCGTTAACCATTGGGTTTAGGGGTACACTATTTTCAGACACACCCATATGTATAAATGAATATGTCTTATGAATATGTATAAATTGTATCAAGAATGTTCATTGAAGAAAAGTCAACATCCATTAAATGGGCACATGGGAGAATGTTCCTGGTTATACCAACATATCTTGTCGTTCAATTTGTTTCCAGGAAAACTTGAAACCCGAAACCCGGGCTTTCACCATTGAACATGGAAGTGCAGGGTGGGCTTTGCAAACGATAAGTAAGTTGGTGAACGTAACAAAAACTATCGTTTACGGTATATTTATTATGGTATAGAGATATGATTTTATAATATTTTATATATAGTTCATGGGACTTTTGACGGTTTCAAAACATTTTGTTAGCTAACAAACATCACCAGGGGGCCCCACCGTCCCACCGGCCTCCTCGGGGTTCAGCGTCCGACAGGCCGAACTCGCGAAGTAGCGGTGCAGCAGCACCTCCACACCCCACCTGGAGAATGGTATACGGATACATGTGAGCCATTCAAAAAAAGGGTTAAATGAAAAGGGGTAATGAACAGGGATAATAATATAGTCATATAGTTCATTAATATTGTCTGGTTGAATTATACTATTATACGAGTCATCAAACATAGTTCCTATTCCTATCCCATCTCATGAAATACTATTGGGTTGAAACGGCTTTCCCTACTGACTATCATTGATTATCACAGTCCCCAATAAATTAATATAAATTAGGTCCCTATATTAACCAATCAAACAGGGTATTGAAAAAACTGCTAAGGAGCAAAGGATGGCCAAGGGATATCATTGGGATAGCATAAGGGATATTGTTCAGCAACAATGGGGATAGACTGAGATACATATTGGGATTGAACCAACCCCCCGAACAGTTCGGTGATGGTGACAACAATTGATGTTTAAGACTCGCCCACAGTAAGCATGCTTGTTGGTGGTTGAGATTTGCCATAAGCCCAGACATTGGTCACATGGGGTCACCAAATTTGGTGGCTAGTTGAATCCTCGTAACACAAACAAAGAAAACACAACACAAATATCTGTGAATTCCAATTATTACAATTAATGAATAGGGTTAATGAATAGGGATTATAGTCTGGTATAAAATCAACTATCTTGTGGGGATATCAGAGTGGGTATATCATGGGAAATCATGAGATATACTGTATTACCTTATTTGTAATAGGGATATAAGATATCACTAGGTACAGTTAGAAAAAAATCACCAAAAAGCAACCAGAACATGTAGGGACAAACCGGTGAAATCAACCATATTTTGGCTGGTCGGTGGTATACCTACCCCTCTGAAAAATATGAGTCAGTTGGGATGATTATTCCCAAAATTATAGAAAAATAAAAACTGTTCCAAACCACCAACCACTTGGGGATGTAAGTGTGAGTTATCACGGGATGTATGACGATCAAAAATACATCTAAATACCATATGAGATGGGTTCATCTGAAAATGGTAGAGACGTCAAATGTCATTCTCACGTGGAGGGCGTGGGGACTAAGGTCCAAAAACTATCCGAAAAACACCGAAAAACCATGGTTGTTATGTTTTTTTGGGGGGGGAGGTGGGTAGGGAGTAGCTTGGGGATTGAAGCCACAAGATCGACAACAAGTGGGATTTGATCAACACCCAACAAATGATCAGAAATGAGGGCAGCGCTGCTCCCCAAAGTGGGAGTGTTTACTACCAAGACTATGACCAACATTGATTCCATCTCTACTTCCCTCCGCTAAGTTCGAACCATAGCCCACAGCCATTGCTTCACCCCAGTTTTCGCGTAGCGCCATGACGTGATCACGTCCTTTGGTGATCCTTTTCACGCATATATCTGAGATAAAGGTTGCCTTGGTGCAGCTGTGTGCGCACCTAGTTGCCGCCATCAAACCATCAAGAAAATTGAGCGTCAGTGCAAATAAGCCACTGTAGAGAGGCAACAAACTGGGGTGATTTCATGCTGTTATTTCACGTCTAGTTGGATTTTAATGGATTTTGTGGCTACTGACCACTTCCTACCTGGGATGTAAATCCCATTAGATAGATCCTAATGCAACTCACCTTTGATGTTCCTTTGAGTTCCTTTGATTTTCGCCCAAAAGTTGATTTTTTCTCCAAGTTTCTCCAAGTTGCTATAGGACACCTCCTTCACGTAACTCACCTCTTCCCTGGGCGATCTCCTCACCCCGCCCCGCGCCCCACGCCGCGCCGTGCACTTCGTCGGCGCCACCTTCGACGAGGCCGCGCTCGCCTCGCAGGTGATGCCGGCGCAGGCGGCGCCGAGGTCGGTGCAGCGGTGCTGGGCCTCCAAGAAACTCCTGGGAAAAGAGGCAAAACATTGGGGAAAACATGGGGAAAACATGGGGAAACTCCTCTATAAATGGAGATTTTACAGGTTCATGACGGTTTGTCAAAATGTCTTTCCCTGGTTTGGTGAATACATCGCAATTCCTTGTGTGGCGCTTCTTGTTTGATCTTTAAAACCATGACTTATCAGAGTTGCCTGAAACCCTGCATTTTATCTTTCATGTTTGAAGCTGTAGCCAAAACCTGTAGTAGATGCTAACGCACGTCTATATGAAGTTATTACAGTAGTGGTAGAACTGGAATATTTTTTCATCTACTGCAGGGCTTGTCGTTGCCTTTTCTGTCACTGTTCCTTTTTGTCAAACAGACAGGATAAACTACAAGTTCTCTGGTGGCGACTGGGTCACGGGTCAGCCAAAGCCGCTTTTTGAAACTTTTGCTAGCGCATTGCTAGCGGGGATCTAGCGTGGAAAATTACGTACAAATTCGCAACATTGAGTCGCAACCTCAAAAATGTAAGAAAATTGTTCAGTAGCACAAAAATTCCCTAAGACATCCTTAGGTTTAAGGAGCTAAGTGTTACATCTTGCCTTTTCTTCATGATGAAATAAGAAGCAGTCAGGAACCACTAAAAACCTTGAACATGGGTGTGGAAAAAAAAAGGCGCAAACCTAGCGGGTTTGCTAGCGCTGCCATGCAGAATTGGTGAATTTAGTTGGGTGCCGCCTCATAATGAAGAGGAAAACCACTATGTCCACACTAATTGGTATCAACAACTGGTACAAAACTTCTGTCAACTATTTTTGGCAAATGGTCACATGGTTTTACTGGGAAAAATATCGAGCCAATATGAAGGATGTTCCATTGATTAATGGCGAATCTGGGGAATTCTTTGGGATTGTTGGGGATTTGCAACTGAAACATGACGGGGAAACTTGCAAAAATTGCATCAAACAACACTACGCCATGATGTGAAAGCTTTTTTTGAGCGCAATTTTGGATTGACATCAATGTCCACTTCTTTAACAGCACATAATAAATATACTGAAACTCACCGAAGCTATGTCCTCTGCGTATCATCCTCTGCCAGCTCCGGCAGATAGCTGTGGGCCATGCGCGGCCACAGACCGATGGCGCCCACATGCAGCTGGACCAGGGATTCCAAGTCGGAGTCACCTGCCGTAGCCAACCACGACCATTTGCAGAAAAAAAACACCCCCTGATGGCTACTTAAAAAAAAAGGGGATGGTTAAAAAAGTTTATTATCGAACAATAAAAAACATAGGGTTTAGATAGGCTTGAGTCAATCAAATCAATCAAGCAACCTGGTCATATCCCCATTGAAAACCACCAAATCCTGCTGGTGACTGAAAAAAATACAGGGGCGAACTCAAGCTACGTGGATTTGGTTTGAAATCATACAAAATGTCAATGGCCATTTCAGGTACCTATATAAATTGGAGGTACCTACCACATATAAGGCCTAATTTCAGGGAATATCTCCACAAAATATGGCCAAAAATATGGTACGAACGTACCTCCATTTTAGGATCCTGAAATTCCCATTGAAAATGGGAGTTGACCCAGGAAAGAATGGACTGACCAAACATCAAGGGTTGACCCATAGAAGATGGGATTGAAAGCAACAACTCTCGGTTTTTGACCAGTACAAAAAAAGCCCTGAGTTCAACATAATCCTCAAATTCTCTGGTAAAGTAATGCAAACTAACATAGCTATGGAAGTCATGGCCCATCGTATTTTATAGTTGATTTACCATTGTTACAATGGTGAATTGCTGTGATTTGCCAGCCTTCCTGGCCACAGAAGAAGTTGCTCCACATGGGCAGCTCGTAGATGTTGCTCCAAAAGGGCCCCGAGACCGGGAAGAGCTGTTCCGAGGTGATCAGGAAGCAGAAATATCCTGCAGCGTAGAGGTCCTGCGGATCCGAAAAAAAAGAGTTCGGAGATTTTTTGCTGGCGAAAGGGGAAGCTATGTAGGTGGCCTTCATTTACAATAGAGTCTACATATATATATATATATATGTATACACACACATATGTAGGATAGATATTTACATTTATATATATATAACTCTATATATATATATTGATTAGCAACAAAATTAAATACATATATATATATATATAAAAGGCGACAGTTGTATGTGAGCAACCCCTACGCCCCTGCAATTTCAATCGATTCAGCTCGGCACAAAGCGCCATCGTTCATGCCACTTCTCTTGGATCTGCGGCCATCATCGGCCATCATGCCAGATTTGTGGGACCAAAGCTCTGAAGGCCCGGAATCCAATCTGGAAAGATCAATATAATGATGTGTATATATATATATTACTTATATATATATATGTGACCTAGGGCCGGATCTTTTTGAGCTCTCTCTCACGTAAGTGTTGAGAGTCAAGCTATTGTTTTGTTGGATCAAATGGCCACCAATTGGGATAGTCTAATTGAATATGATAGAGAGAAGTGGCAAGAGATCACGCTGTTTTTCCCATGAAAAAAACGCGTTGATTTTCATAGGCATTCCTTTCTTGGTCAAAGCAACCCCCGAAAGGGTAGAAATAGTGATGAATTGGGTTAGTTGCTATTTGCTATATACGAATCCTAGGACTTAAAAAGTATCACCCAATACCTGGACCTGGACCCGTGTGAAAGAACTTCAAGGATTCTCCGTGCTCCATGGAGCCAGCTGCCCAGCCCATGATATCATGATTGTAGGTTCACCAATCCAGTTGCTCAGTTGTTGTTTTTCATTCCTTTCACATCGCACTTATTGTTGGTTGTCACCGCCCAAGTATTGCTTCTTTGTTTATGGCCCACATCCTTTTGAAAGTCCATTTACAGTGGGGTTCAAAAAAATATGAACTTGGTGGTGTCCAAAATATTTCACCCATTCACCCGCCATTGTTACTATGATTCACTATTAAGGTAGAAGAACTCATATGTCTCCATGAAAATAGTGTGTCTCCAACTCTTCATCTGTCGGTCTATCTATTCTCACTCCTCAAGCAAACGATGTCCCTTTCCTCGTGTCCTGCAGCACAGGAGACAGTCGATCCTTCCAAACGTTTCCAGCATACTCAAAGCTCACAAACTTCACGGGTGGACCTGACACCCGGTGGATTCTAGCAAAACCTGGTGGAATGCGGCCGTTTTGTGCCATCCAGTAAACTAACACCCCTATCTGATATGAAAAATCCAGAATTTGTAGATGGAATTCCATACAAAACTGTTAGTTTACTGAAGGGTAGCCTTATTTTTGTCACTTTGTGATTCCAAACATTGGCAGTTTTTTTGGTATGGCAGTCAACCAGCCAGTTGGATCCATTTGGTAGATGGGAATTGGCCCAAGATCCTCCAATCTTGGACAACCCCATACAGATTTACTGAATGGTCACCGATTTCCCGATCAACATGGCCAATGAATTTCCCAAACGATCAAAAATCAAAGTTGACCACCGGATCATCCCACGAATCGCAAGTTGAACTGTGGTGATCGTGAGCCCCAAGTCGGTTATCCGATGGCTTTTCAAGCAGTTGGGCAAACTGACCTACTACGGCTGATCCGGGTCGGCCGAATATAGGCCGTCTACGGCAACCCTGGGCTTCTGGGCTTCTGCGCCGCACCTTGCCCTAAAGACCGCAGGACCGCAGGCTCGAGGCCTTCAATGTCCTGCCGCCCGGAGCTGGCCAAGAGGTGTCCCAAGGAGATACCCCATAGCATCCAAAGTTGGACCATTTTCGTATTGAAACAACCATGGTTTTGGGGAGCCTCCATACTAAGAACCCCCCCCATAAATATTTATATATACATGTATACAGATATATTATATGTATACATATATTATATATATATCATGTATAGAGGCTATTTAGCCGTAAAAACTCTACGAGTTTGACGGAAACAAACATGAACCAACCCCGGAAAAAGATGTAATTACCAAATCAGAAACGGTCGGCAAAGAACCATCAATTTGTAGGTCGGCTGGTGGGGCCTCCATGATAATTTACGCAGCCAACAAGTCATTACCATATGGGGATGCTGATTTGTAAAATCCACCCATTTCTGGTAATATTGGGGATGCCTCGATCCATTGGGTTTGCCACGTTCTTGAATTCAGAAATCTTTGATGAGTTGCACTGTAGCAGATCCATTGGAAATCATCCAGTGATTTTGGGGGAACCGGGCTCGAAGTAGCTTCCCATGGCTTGTGGTTGTATCGTGCTCATCCGTGGCTCCTTGCCTCCTCCAGTATGACTTCTTTGACTTCGAGGATGTGGCTAGTGGTGGCTGCTTAAGCCCGCTATGTAAACTATATTTATATCGTTGGTAGTTGCTTGGTGAGCCATCTGATGCCGCTTTAAAAGAAGAATCATCCATATGAACAACAAATTTGAACAACCATCTCCAGAGGTGGGGAGCATATATAACTTTTAAGACTACTTAGTGGTTGTTTCAACCCATGCATTACAAAATGAGCATGCATTATACAATGAGTCATTCGAGAACAATTCCCACTTTTTCGGATATTGAAATAAACACAAAATATATGTTTGAAGTCACCAGTCAATTGGAGTCTATTGGTGTCGAATCGCACCTGTTCATTCAAAATTTCAAGTGTTCGTAGATTAAATCCCAATTTGGTTTGGCTAAATTCTGTTCTCCGTTGTTAGCTTCAATGCCATGGTTTATAATTAAATCATATTAAATCCTCATGTTTCTCCACCTTTTTCCCAGTCTGAGCTCCCCCAACCAGCTTCAAGAGGAAGATCTTGTCGTTCCCAGCAAGGTCCGGGAAGGCCTTTTGGGCCGCCTGGACCACTTCCGCCAGGGTGATCACCTCCACCTAACGGATGGCTGGGAAATCCAGCTATACCCTCTGGTTATGACTAACATAGCTATTGAAAATGGCCATTTATAGTGGATTTACCCATTGAGAATGGTGATTTTCCATAGTTTTTTGTATGTTTACCAGAGGGTAAATGGAGTGTTTTTTTGGGGGGTAAAATTCATCAAACTAAAGGGGGGTGTTCCCATTGTGTTTGTTTGATTACTGGATGGTATTTTTGGATATGTCATACTCTAAATTGGATGATATCTTAAAATACTAACTAACAAATTGCCACTTGCACATCAATCAATCTGGCGGTGTCTAATTATCCCGCCATGAACTAGTTCGATATATCTACCAATTACCAGAAATATCCTTTGAAAAATTGCTTAAATCCCCATGGTAGAAAAGCCGCCCCACCTCATCCCAATCAATGATTGGTCAAAGTTAAAACATGCTAAACTCTACATTAACACCTTCGTTTAGTTTGGTGACTTTCCCATTAAAAGCCTCCATTTATTATCATGTTCGCGGGATTATGATTCATTATATACCAATTGTGTTTTTTCCATTCAAACCTCCATGTCCTATCAAAAGCATCCAAAAAACAGCTGGAAAAAGTTGTCCCAGATATTTTCCTACGGATTTTCCCATCAAAATCTGGATCGTTCTGCTGGAAAAATCTCGCCTCCTGTTTCCTCCTTGGATCGTTCTCCTCCCACAGCAAGGTGGCGACTTCGTCGATGGCAAAGTCGCTCACCGCCAGGTGCCCCAAACCACGGGCACCACCCAACGCTGCCTGGACAGTTCCACAAAACCACGCTGGGGTGGATGCAAAAACCTGGAAAAACCACTGAACATGTGAAAAAACGTTGCAAAAAAAATGAAACATTGGAATATATATATATATGTATAATATGTATATATGTTATATGTATATATATATATATTATTTTGTAAAAAAGATAAACAATGCATTTTAACCAAAGTACCCAACATTGACCAACAATTTGAATCAATTTGATGCTTTGTACACCCAACATGCTAAACTCAACACTGCTGAACATATTGCACCAACCAAAATCCTGGGCGATCCTTCCCAGCGTCATCTTCTGTCATTTTCTTGAAACCCCAAAAGAATCTAAAAGAGTCCCACCTCCTTTCCCCCCCACAAAAAGAGTTCAATAAACAACCCAATCACAAAAAATCCTTCAAAAACTCCTCGCAACTTCCCCTGTCTTCAAATTAACATCACATATATATATAATATATATATATATATGTAATACATAAATCATATCATAAATCATATTCATATCATAAAGCATTAAATTTTATGAACTCTCGTGCCTTCAGTGGCAGGAAGGCTTCATGTTCCCATCCATGTTCCTTGCTATGCCGCAGCAGCAATTGGAAGTTGCTGTCACTTGGCTCCACTGCCACCACCGCCACGTTGGGCGTGGGGGCAAGGCCTGGGATCTGCTTCTGGGAGGCACTTTGGCCGTTGCAGACCACGCAGGGCGCCACGGAGGGATTCGAGGAGATCTGACGACTGAAACCTCAGGTGCTCAGGTGGGGTTTGGAGTCCCTGAAGTTCGGAAGATGTCACCATGAAGCAGGAAATTCAACATGAATCGACATGATCTTATCAGATTCGAGCATCTGATTGGGGGTTTAGCGATTGGATGTCCGCCCACATTGGAAGTACAAGTACCCAATGAAGGCCCGTGCAAGGCTGCAAGGGATTCAACTAGGCTTGTTTTTGGCCCCATTGATTTGGCCTGGAGCTCCTGCCCCCAAACACCACTCGCTGTTGACCCCGGATTCATGACCCCTGCGCTGTTGATCATTGGCGTGGTACATTGTAGTAGCAAATTTACATATATACATTATACATGTTAAACAAACAAAAAATGAGTTGCCAAACGTGCAATGCTGGGCCAATGCTGGGCCCCCAACTAGTCAGAAGTTGGTTGTATCAGCCCACCCACGTCCCACTTACCCCCAGAAATCTGGCAATTGCAAGTCCAAATATCTATCTCATGGTGAAAGTCACTCAAACTCATTGAGTAATACGTCAAACTCATCAAATTTGCACCTAAATTCATTGATCTAAAAATCACCCCAAAAAAAATTGTTCAATGACTTGAGTTTCAATTCTGCCCCAATTTTATATATATCCAACTTCCCAGGACAGCAATTCCAATGGCTCCACGGTGCCGCGCCACTGTCCCCGAAGCTGGAGATCCACCGCGCTGTAGCGCGGCCCACATTTGCGCCACCATCCACCAGCAGCCCTGGCAGCGACGATGACGGCGCTTCGTCGTGGAAACGTCGGGACTCGTAGAGCCAGTGCAGCGAGGGCAACAGCACGTCGATGTCAGCACCTGGAAAAAGATATGGAAATCCATGGGGATAGGTCAGCTAGAACATATAATTTGGATATTTTGGATTAAATTGAATGTACAAATATATAATTATAATATATATATAATATACACACAACATCGTGGATTTAATCATGATGCACTGGGCCGGGGACATAATTGGGAATATAAGCAAAATAGTGATCCAGCAGCAAACATTTGGTCGTGAGTAGGGAATAGCCAATGACCCATGGGATGCAATATGGGCCACCACTAAAAAAGAGGGGATAGATGGGTTTATCTTTGATCTAAGGTCTAAGGTTTATCCAAGAACGAAAAAAAGAGCGATGTGATGAAAATGGGTTGCTGGCACCACTGAAGAGAGGTGAACCATCCGGCTGTGCGACTCATCCTGGGATCCAAAGTGAAGAATATATATATAGTTATTTAACATAGCCATGGTATAGATGGCCCATTTATAGATGGTTTACCTATTAATAGCATGGTGATTTTCCATGGCTATGTTAAATAACCAGAGGGTATATATATCAGAGAAAATGTGGATAAACAGATGCAACATGATCAAACCCCAGACAAATCCTGTGAACTTGATCGTATAGCTGCTAGTACAAAATGAAATTGTCAGCAGGGGTGATTTTTTCATCTTTCACCCTTCCAGCTCTCCTTCCAAGGCGCAGCCGAAGATGTTGCTGGACAGGGTGAATTGCATCTCAGTTTCTTGATCCAGCAGCTGAGAGCAGTCTTGGCATCCTATGCCCTCCTCTGCGCGTTTCAGCAAGGGGACAAGGGGGCAGGAAACCTCTGCCAATAAAAGGGAAATGGACATATAATGTTTGAAAGGTATAAAGGTATATACAATAAATATATATATATTATGTCTAATCGCTATGGATTTGAATAGTGAAAACAATTCGGAATGAACAATGAAGAAAACAGGAAGGACATTTTGCAAACACGCAATGTATCGCAACGCGTTGCATGCTTCAAAACAACGATGTTGGTTAAAATAAAATCCCCAATCTCAAGCCGCCCAAAAAAGTGGGCCACCTCCGTGAAAAAAAAACAAGTCACAATGAAATCCACGAAGACCTCTCGTGCCCATTCTCGCCAGGGAGACCTAGGGCATGGCCCCACGATTCGTTGGGTGTCAGGAAAAAAACCTGGAAAATCTACAAAGCATGGTTTTTACCATGAAATATCAATGATTTTCCAACATTAAACCAATGACTTTACCAGATCACCCAGCTTTGAATCCACCTTTTTGGACAGACCCGTGTAGCATCATGTAGCAGTTAGCGGTGGGTTCATGGCATTGGTTTGATGAGGTTGCTGCCAGGCTGCTATGGGTCACCCATGATAGGATTTAACCAACAAATACAGGGATGCTCTGGGGATATTTTTATGGATGGACACACAAATGGTCACTCAACATCACGCGATTGCTGATTTTGCTCACGAAAAAATTGCTGACATGATGACTAAACATGATGATAACATGATGATAACATGATGACAAGACTGCCCCTGGTCATTCGTCCGCACCTCAGAAGTCTTCGAACGAAACTTCCGAGTTGATCGATAATTCACCAACCATGGAAAGTTCGGACATGTGGGGATGCAGTATAGTTCCCCCAATCCGAAGCACCATTCCGGTGACATCCCGATGTGAGGTCGTTATATTCAGATATAAAACCCCCGATGAAATGTCTAGCACTTTCGGAAGATGAAGTTGGCAACGTGTGCACGAGACTGTGGCGAGAGCTCGATTTGCATTTCAAGTGTCTAAGGGCAGTCTTTTCATCATGTCATCATCATGTCAACAGCATCTTGTCATCATTCGTGCTTGGGAGCAGTAGACGAGAGTAACAGTTCGGGAAAGCGTGAATTATTGTGAATTCACGGGTGAAAACATTCTCGGGCGCGAAACCAAAGAAGTACTATGTTACAATTTGCGTCCCGGCGAGAGGTTTCCATTGCGAAGTGGCATGTCAGGTGTTTTCATTTGCAAACAATTTGGAATGATAGTGATGTACATTGAAAAAACATAAAGATAGAAAGAAAGACATAGATTATCGGTGCATTGGTAGATGCAGAAAAGTTAGGTAGATACTTAGATACATGTATATTTATATATATATACAGGCGATGACTGGACCTCATCGTAGGCATTTATTCCATTGCAGTTTTGGCAGAATCTAGAGTATCTAAAGTATGACAGTGACAGTTCATTCATTCATTCTTTCTTTCATTCATGGGTATCCCATCCAGATCTCCGATCAAACGATGGATGGGTATCCCTTAAGTAATGCCATAAGATATTATAAGTACACCATATTTCATCTATTTATACCATATTTAAATCCTACATTATAGCATATTCTACCATATTTCATCCAATTATACCATATTTAAATCCATAAAATTATAGCATATTATACCATATGTCATCTATTTATATATACCTATATTATACCAACTAACATAACTATGGAAAATCACCATTTTCGATGGGAAAATCCACTATTTCTATGGCCATTTTCAATAGCTATGTTAGTTTACCAGAGGGTATCCCTATTTTGTCATCCCGTCGTCCGAGCCACTCCCCCATGGCGCGGCCCAAGGGGTTGAAGGCCAACAGGGCCAACAGGGCCCAGCAACGATGCCACGAAACCATTGGAAAATGCCACGATTTCACCCGGAAGAAATGGGGATTTTCCATGGCTTAAAAAGCTGATTTGGGGATGGGCCAAAACCCTGGCACCTAGTGAACATCAAAATAGCTGGGATTTATAGATGTTCATCCCCCTAAAAATGGTATTAATAGGTATTGATTCATACCCATTTATGAATATTTAAATGATACAATGATCACAGCCTTTTTTTTTGCACAAAACCCAAGTTGTGTTCTTTTTAATGTGGTTTGATTTCGTGTTTGTGGATGTTCAACTGCTTAGCAGATGTGTGTTCTTTTTTATCATGGATAGAGATGGATAGTGATGGGATCAAGATAAATGGTGAGAAATCAGAAATCAGCCTCTACGTTGAACAAAAGGCTAGTAAATGCTTACTGTATCTGGCATGGACATCTGAAGTAATGTTTGAATGATGTCCATCATGGGTTAGGCAGGATGAATGGATTTGGGGAATCACATCCAAATAAGATTATGTAAAAGCCCGTGAAGCCTTTCGCAATTCAAGAAGAATCACCACATCCATTCCCAGCATTGAAAAATTACCACACCTGTTCGCAGGGTATCAGTTTTTTGGATTTCTTTGGTTGGATATCAAGTCAGGGACCGGTCATCAATCAGGGACCTTTTTTAAAATTGAGGGATTGTACAGCCTGGCATAAATTGATATTTTTATTGGGTGCATATCGAATAAAACAAAAAAACCTTGCTGCAAGACCTTACATATGGAAAATGGTACCTCCAATTCGGGTACCTCAAATGGCCATTGATTCATTGCTGTCCCACAGCAGGGAAAAAAAGCTGCGGCAAACATGAGACTGGAGGCGTGAAGAAAGGTTTCCATAGAAAAAAACAACACTTATGACGCAAAAAAAAATGTTTTTTTAATGAACAATCCCTCTTTTGGCATGTTATCCATTATATCCCAAAAAATAACAGTCCCGATATACCCCCGCTCAGCTTCCCCACTGCCCGGCCGAACAGAAGATGGAACCCACAGAGAAAGACCTGACGTGGATGGATGTCCCCTTTGTTCAGCTGGTTTCAATTTGGGGGGTTGAAACCAAACCATGGAAAACCCCATTTCAATTCGATTTCACATGTGACTATGTCATGCATTTTGTAGGTTTTTTAATGAGGGAGCAGCAGCAGTTTTCAGTAGGCAGTGTTTTCAAAAGCCCTGGTGCAGTGGGGTGCTTCAGCACCAGCTGAGCAAGATTTACCGTGTCTGTGTCTGTGTCTGAATATGGTCTCTATAGTATGGCCGTCTCAATGGGGATAACCTTCGAATGGGAATCATCTCTACAAAGTCAAAAATCATCGGATACTGATACAAATCGCACTTTGGGCTGACTGCGTAGCAATTCTCATGGAGAACCTTTCTTGGATATCTTGGATACCCTAGCCCACCCATCCAATTCCATCATCTTGGACTGGCAGAATGTCCAGCCAGTCGGCTCCTACCCAAAATTTCAGGCTTTCTATGTCCCTTTCTTTGTTGTTTCGATCCCAGCATTAAAGGGTGTGTCATCCGCATCTCCTCACCATGATCAATTATATAGATCATTCCAGGAACGGAATACGAGAGGAAATCCATGGTGTTTTTCCCAATATGTACCATAAATAAATAGTTCCCTTGAACCAACCACAACGAACCCGAAATCGTCAAAATGCTCCTGATGTTGGCCATGTAAACCATTATGTTCCATCCATCAGGTCCCATCATTGTCCCAATTAAATCCCATTAAAAACTAATAAGATCATCATTGTCCCATCATTTTCCCATTAAATCCCACATTTTCCAGCTATGTCCAGCTTCCCTAGGCTTCCTTGCCCTGTCTCATAGACATAGATGCGCAACTTCGAGCCTCCGGAGCCACCATTTTTCGGCATCTTTTGAGGAGGTATTCCCTGAAACATAGCCCTGAAACATGGGCCTTATACATGGATATATCTGGTTGGTGGTATACCTACCCATCTGAAAAATATGAAAGTCAGTTGGGATTATTATTCCCAATCTATGGAAAATATATAACCAACCGTATATATATATATATCATATCAGATATCATATATCATATATCATATATCATATATCATATATATATCATATATCATATATCATATATACATACTCTCCCGAAAACTAACATTTTACAAAAAATATATTGGGTACAGGTCAGGTAGGTACCTCTAATTTAAGGTCCCTGACATGGCCATTGATCTCTATTAGTGTTGTTAGTGCTTGCAGCGTTTGCAGATAAGATAATATAAGTATAGCATATGATCGACCTTCTTCAGACGTTAGATAGCACATATGTGACACAGCCGACGTATAATATATAATATAATGTTGGTGAAACAATAATAAACAATCCCCCAAATCACCATAAATAGATGGTATAAAACATTCCCAACTGGATGGTTTATGGCAGTGTTTTTCCCACATTAATGAGCTATCATTATGTTCATCTCTTCGGGGCAGTGACAAATGATGGACCCACAGCTGGAGAAAAATGGAGCAGTCAACTACCCCAACAAGATCCAACAACTGCATTAATTGGGACTGTTTGTTGGATGAATGTATATTATATATATATATATATTTTATGGTTTGTAAGTTTCATATAGTATAAGAAGTTATTTTGGTCAGCTAAGTTACTCATCCAAAACATGATATAGCCACTTTGATAAGTTAGGTCACTGGGTCACTTATGTTACTCATCACTACTCATCTATGACTACTGTGTATTACTTTGTAAGTTCGAATGTTGTCTGGTTGGTGGTATACCTATCTGAAAAATGATGGAGTTCGTCAGTTGGGATGATGATTATTCCCAATCTATGGAAAGTCATAAAATTCCGTGGTTCCAAACCACCAACCAGTGGTTTTTTTGCGGCCAGGCCTGCGCAGTTGTTAGGCAAAAGTCCCAGGAAGAGCGGCATCCTCGGCCGAAAAGCGCCACCGGAGACGCCCAAAATCCACGAACGAAATGGAGGTTTTTGTAGCGAAACTGCATGGAAAATCAACTATAGACCATTACATTTTTTTAAATATATACATGGGTGAAATTAACTATCAACTCTTATACAAATGCTTAAATGGGTGATTTTCCAGCAAGCCACGTTTGATTACCGGAGGATAAACCTGCAGCTGTAAAACTACTGGAAAATTGTGGGAAAGATTGACCTCAAATGAATTCAAATGACAAATCAAATGATGGATTATCATCTGAATGGAAAAACCCAGCTGGCTGAAGGCGCTTGTTTTTGGAGACATCGCCCAGAACCCGGAGGTGATACCATGAGTTACTATTTAGAATTTAGAATAATTAATAATGCTGCCAAGTATTACCAGTATGTAAAAGACAATGAAAGACCTTTCATTTTTTATTGCAACCACCATCCGACACTGCCTTTGTTGACAGCATCTGTGGACCCTCGACTCTGAAGACCACGCAAAGTTGTGATGAACCAATTTCGCTAGGCCGTATACCTGTGTCCAGCTTGAGAACGTGCCACACACAGGAAAGTTTACCTAGCAGCGTTCACTCTCCGTACGCGTCTTGCGGCGCAAGCATGGTAGAACGACATGCTTGTCCGATTGGAAAGCGCCGGTGGCTTTCCAGCAGCTACCAGGTGCCCCAGGAAGACCAAGGTGAAAGGACCCAAAATTTGAGAAGCAAACAATGGCAACATTGAAGGAATCATCTTCCACGCCCATCTTTCAGGGTGTTCTATCAAATTGTCAGGGGCCTAAAAACATGTTGTGTACGCATGCCATGTGCTACTTGAGAAGGCATCGTGTTTCAAAGTCACTCAGTCACTGCCTAATATTGCTTGGCCGTATACCTGTGTCTTGCACGAGCGGTCAAATGACACAGGAAAGTAAACCCAGCTGAGTCAGTCTCCGAACGCGTCTTGCGGTGCAAGGTCAGTGGTTCCACGCTTGCCCGATTGGAATGCGCCGGCATTTGCCACAGATGCGAGTCTAGACCAAGCGGTTGTGGTCCATATTGTAACATTCAAAGTTAATATATATATATTATAATGTATAACTATAATAATATTAATATGATTCATCCTGATCTGAAGTCATAGCAAGACAATTCCAAGTCCAACTGACGCCAATGTTGCCAGGCCGTATACCTGCGTTCAGCACTTCAAATGACTGGTGCAGGAAAGTAAACCTAGCTGCTTTTCCTTGTCCGTACGCGTCTTGCGGCGCAAGCATGGAAGAACATGCCTGACCGATTGGAAAGCGCCGAAGCGGGAAACTAAGGGTGGCCTGCAGGGTCCTTCATTCATAGGTCCACATTACATATCTGACATACTCAAGTCATTGGCTTGGCCAACCCCCAAAGGTGATACCCGACAAATGGTTAACAAATGTTAACCTCTATACAACTATAATTATGCTATAGTATATAATAATGTTTGTTGGTGCTTAATGAACCCAAAATATAAACCATATTATCATTCTAGTCTCCGAAACTGAGAACGTGGTTGAATCCCCTATATTTGATGTGAAAATACAGATGGTTTCCATTGGTTTCCCGTAGATGTTGGCCTAAAACCATCCATTGACTGTCAAGAGTGTTGGTCAAATCCCCAATTCTTGTGGGTCACATTCCAATTCTTGTACAGAAATAAGTGTAGCTGAAATCTCAATTTTGCCATGTCTTGCAATTCACGATAAATCCTTCCAATGATAATTAACATATAGATTATAGATATAATCAGGGATTCTACGTGGTGGACAAGAATTTGCAATGTTTTAGGGATTATCACTATATACACTACGTAACGTTTTCCAATTTACAGTAAATCTATCAGAATATTGCTAAACAATATAGATTGCGTTACACCATGTTACACCTAAGTTGCAATGTTTTGCAGTTTCCCATGTACCCCCGAACATGGCGAACATCCAAAATAGCTGGGATTTATGGATGTTAAAATCCCCCTTTCAAATAGTTATAGAATTATATATATTTATCCATAGCCTATAACATAACTATATATAACCATTATAACATTCATATATAACTATATATAATCATATATAAAATCCCCCCTAAAAATTGTGTCTATAGCTATTGATCCATAGCCATCTATTGTCCAATTGGATTCTACCTCCGAGCGCCAAGGTTCTGGAGCTCGAGCGGTTCACGAGGAATGGTCCAATTGGCAGCTGCACGGTCGAATCAGGTTGTTTCGCTGGGGCAAAAACTGGGAGGAAATTAAGGATATTAAGGATATGTTGATATAATCATAAATGATTATATATAGTTATATATAGTTATACACTATGGTTATAGAATTATGTATAGTTATATATAATTAGTTATATATAATTATATATAGTTATATAGTTATATATAATTATATATATGTATATATAATTATATAGAGGATTATATATATTCATATATATGAATATATATATATATATGAAAATATATATATATATGAAAATATATTCTTGTTTTTGAATGAATGTGTTTATATATATAATAGAATATATGCATATATGAATACTGAATATCTATTGTAATAGCTCATTGTGGTTTAACTACACAGATGTTTATGTAATTGATACACCGGGGTGAAAGTACCAGGCGCAGAAGTCCGATTTCAGGGCCACTTAATAGATGGCGCGGACACCGGTATTTGGAACGGACGAAATCTGAGAAAATAACCGAATCTGCCCCAGTGAAAGTAGATGGCGCAACCCCGCTGGTGTTGCGCCATCTACTTATGCCGGATTCCACATAAATGTGCAAATGATGTGGCTGAAATTGGATGAAATTTGTGGAGTAGACTCCGCGCCGTTTTCCTTCCTTTTTCCCGGCAGTCTGTTGGTCCATATACTGCACAGTACCATATGCAGCAGTAGTACGCTTCGTGCACTTGAAAGTATTGAAAGGCATCTGGCTGACTGCATTGTCGAAACAGTACTGTAAATTGTCAGTTGCGCCATCTATTGTATTGAAGCATAAAACACAGTTGAAAAGAAGCCCAGAAGTAGGGTAACTATGAAAAAAACATACGGCAGCGTATTCAACACAGCACATGCAGTCATGCAAAGCCAGATGCACTGAACATGCATCATCTGACGCCTACAGCCTACAGCCCTCTGTCCATGTCTCACCGATCATTTGGAAGACCAAGCCCAGCAGTATTCAATGGCAGCACTCAAAGCGTCATCGAAGGTAGAATACCTTGCCGTAGAAGTACCATAGCTAAAGTATCTGGATGGAGCACCTCCAAAAGGCCATGCTTGCCACCCGGATGCGAGCTCTGACGACACAGCACGTTTGTGCTGTATCTTTGATCCTGGGGGAACTTTCGATCTAACATCCAACGGCGTCACATTGAGCCCAACCTTCGACACTCCCGCATCAGCAGCAGCTGGCGTGGAAGAAGATGCAGCAGAGGAAGAATAGACAGCATCATCTCTTGGAGGAAGGGCATAGATGCTCTGCGCCTCATACTCCAAGATTTCACCATCTGAGAACACGCCATCTGCAAATTCGCTGGGATCCTCTCCATCCATCATCTCCGGTGGAACCACAGGCTGAAGCAGCTCTATGTGCTTGTCCATGGCCGCCTTGTCATCGAATAGCCACTCATCCCCATAGCAGCCGTCTCCAGCCATGGCCACCTCATCTCTTCCATCATCTGCATCCTGTGCTCTGACGGGGACCAGATTCTGAGCCTCAATCAAAGCTGGATCATCCTCTTCTTGCTGATGGTCTTCAAAATCCATCACATCTGCGAAAAGATCTTCCTCCTCTTCCACACCCTCCATGTTGAAGAGCTCCTGCAGCTCACCCGGTGTCAAAGGACGTTCCGCATTTTCCCCCGGCTCCAGCAAAGTGCACTCCAAAGTTCTAGGTTGATCCTCACAATGAGGCCGCAAAGTGAGCTCTTCCATGTGAAAATCAAACAGAGCCAGGTCCTTGCAGAGAAACTGGGAAACAGCCCCAATGAACAAGCTGCTCAGTCAAGCTATGTTGAAATGAAGTGCCAAGTGATTGCAATGCAGCTGCAGTTGCGCCATCTATTCTAAATGATGGTTGCCCATGGTTGCCCTTTGAACTTTTGAAACACAGTCGAACATGGTACAGTTCCCCCTGTAGTACTTTGAGGGGTACTGTACTGTATAGTACTGGTACTGCACCCCCTGTGTACAGTAAGTCAGTCCTTCTTGCCTCTGGATGCGTCTTCTCTCAACTTTCTGGTGCCATTTGCTAGGAGCTCTGTGTTTTTGCGCAGCACATCAAAGCTACATTCACGTGCATGTTTCCTGGACAGTACAAGCGTGCAAGTGGGTACAGGAGGTCTCCGGGGTGAGTCGATCTTTGCGTAGATATAGTTTGCCAATTTCTTCTCAACAGCCCAAACAAGCGAAGCTGGCAGCATGGCCCTGCTGCCATCAGCTGATTTGGAACTAATGCTCCAAGCAACTCTCCGTCTTTTTCGCTGGCCGTTTTCGATCAAGTCTGCAATGCTTGGTTCTGCCGATGCCTCTACCCCGAGAAATTCGTGCAAGCCAGCTGGATCTTGAAGAATATGAGAGTTGGTCCAATCATTTTCTGTCAAACCTTGGAGTTCAAGAATATGTTCCTTCTCCACATGCCCGGTAACGACCCAAGCCTTTGCAAACATCACCCTCGGCAGGCGTTTCCAGTTCTCAATCGCCATCTCCACGCCTCACATACAGTGCTGCAGTGCATGGTGCCATTCAAGAAGCTGAGTTGCGCCATCTATTGCGCAGTGTGTTTAATGCTACCGTATATAGTATATATACAGTAAGTGTGTGTATGTGTGCGCGTGCATTTATTGCCAAAAAAAACAAGCAAATGCACAACCTACTGCAACAATACTGGCACTTACAGTGAAGAAGCCTCTCCCAAACCAACCCCCAGTGGTCAAGCAAGGTGCATCGAGGCATGCTGATCTGCTTGCGGATTTGTCCTGAAGTGCCCACTTCCAGCCTCAGCACAATGCAATGAGCACTTCCAACCACAAAAACTGGAAAATATGGATGGGGCAAGTCCTCACCATGCCGCGGTACAGATCTACAGTCATACTACAGTACAGTAAAGTAGAGTAGATACAGTCGTATGCAGAAAATACGCATAAATTACAGTACAGTATGCGTTTTTTGATTCAAACCATGTCCTGTTTTTTGTGTCTGAAGCAAATCACATCCATTTGCTGCTATTCCGTTTTCAGCTGAGACACTTGAAATACTCTGATCTGAAGAACAAGTTTTTGCTGAAGCCCACAAATTCTCTGGCAGCGTTGTCCAGCATCGATTTGTAAAATCCGTGAATCTGGTCCTGTCCAATCAGAGCACAAGCAAACAAAATGTTTGTTGCAACTCATGAACAAAGACCTGCACTACAGCAGAGGCTGCAGTACTACTTACTGTATGTATATATGCAGCATATATGTACTGCATACAATTCTATACAATATACTGTGTATACAGTATACATATCCCACAATTTGTGCACTACTTTCCGTAGCAACGCTGCATGGTCTACATTCTACAAAAGTCTACAGTGTCTGCAATGAGGGAACATATTCTCCGGTACTGCCGCTGAAACCTATACACATGTGGTAGATGGCGCAACTGCGCAACTGACACATCTACGCGTCCTGAGGTTGGCCATGGGCGGACCAACCTCCGGGAGCCAAGGAGGGAAGCTCAACATTCATCTCTTCACCCCACTTCCAGCGCAAAAGCGACACGCCTGGACAAGCATATCGACAACACCCGCAACCATACATGCTCGTACAGTGCATGGCACAGAAAAACAAATGGCGTCACAAAATTGACTTCTGTCTGAATGTCACAACAAATCAAACAAATTTCAGCATGTGGTATTTTCAATTGCAATACTGTGCAGCGCAGTACTGTACAGTACTGTACGGTACATACTATAATCCCAGGAGCCTTCTTTTTTTGAGAAGTTGCCAGTGAATGCGTCGGCTACGAGCATTCCTCTTTTGCCTTCCAAGTTGAACTTCTCTCTTCGCAAGTCGAATGCCTCCGTCAGTAGCCTTTGCCAGTACATAACAGTGCTTTCCCCATGCATGAAATGGCTGCCGCTATTCAAGTTCTTGTGGATGTAGTAGAGTCCCCTTCCCTTCCTGTATGGATGGCTGCACCAGGAAAAAAGCCCAAATACAGCAAATTTACAATCCAGTACAGTAGATGGCGCAACTCAATATCGACTGCAGAGACAAACGAAATCAAAATAAAAGCAAATGCGTGATACAGTATTACAGTACCATTTTGCTCATTCCGAGGCTCTCATTCATCTCTGAGATAAAGGCATCAGAGAGCGAATTGGAGCTGCAGCTCAGGAAAAGGGGTCCTGGATCTCCGTTTGCCCAGGATGACGTGCAAACGCTTAGTCCAGCACGTGCCCCAACTACGCCCGTGGTGCGTGCAATGTTGAGGGAACTTCTTTTGGTAGTCTTCTTCTTCAACATTGTCTTCGGGCAGCGGTAAGCACACATCCACGTCTGATCATAATTAAGAACAAGGCGGATATCAATTTGTTTCTCCACCAGCACACGCTGGAAATTCTCTCGATACCTCAAGCGCAGTAGATGGCGCAACTCGCAGACACCGTATCACATCGTTTCACGGGCAACGTTTTTTCTACAGAAAACTACAATAATACAGTAATCCGAAGTAGGATGAGAGAAGTACAGTATACAGGAGAGTAAAACTGCACAATACAGCATAGAGTAAAGCTAAAGCACCAAACCTTTGCAAAATCTGCCCAGAAACTCCATCATCTTCACATCATCGTACGGAAGATAGTTCCCGCCAGTGTTTGTGACCTGTTTCGTCATGTTCATGGATTTCTTCATTTTGCGAGCCATGTGCTTGTAGTCTTTGGCCTGCAGTGTCTTGGGGAACTCTGCTAAGCTGTCTGCCAACTGCTCTGCATTCATTCCTCCCTCGCAAAAAGCTTGCACCTTGTCCATGTTGACCTTGTCATTGGCTACCATCACATCTTCAACCGTACCATTGAACTTTTTGCAAACCCATTCCATGGTGTTCTCCATGTGTGATAGATTGACCAAATCTGCTCGCGGCATGCATGCCTGTGGGCCCTCGACCAGATCTTCAATTTGCCTGTGCAAGGTGCAAGCACAGTATAAGAATCGACTACAGTAGTAAAATTACAATGGGGAATGATATTAATGCAATCTATGGCGTATAGTAGATGGCGCAACTCGGCTATATGTAGCAGTAGTTGTCAACCATGCCCAAAAGAAGGCACCTTGCCTTGCAATTTCTGCTTCCACCCGGGAAGGCAATTTGTACGAAGATTCTGCAGGCCCCTTCATCTTTACATTGCGATTCTTCAGGGTACTTTTGTGCTTGTTCGTGACCTGTGCGGTTTTCGCCGCCACCTGATCTGGCACGCTCTCCCAGTCAAATTCGAAGTAAGCCTTTCTCCAGTGTGTATATCTCCTGGAAGTATACTCAGGAAACTCGGTTTGCAGAGCTTTGTCAATACTTCCTTTCACTTTGGCCTCATTCGCCAAGCCCCATCGAACCTTAGGTATGCCGCACATTGATGCGCAAGAATTCATAATTACAGTACAGTAAATGTATACAATTACAGTAAAACATCAAGCAGCTCGGAGCAGGCCAGCCCAAGCCAATTCAAATGGCTAATGCGCAGCAAACACAAGCACACTGTGCTGTAAACGAGCATACAAACACAATAAGGAAACGTATACAGTGCAATACAGTGCAATTTACAGTACAATAGTAGATGGCGCAACTCTACTTTCATAACCGGGACACGATTTCCCTCTTCTTTATCAACCTGAGCTCATCCCCTGGTTGGCGCTTGTACCTGCCCTTTACTTTCTTGGTCTTCTTTCTCTTGGTTGCTTTCTTCTGCTTACCGCCACCTTTCTGAATGTCAACTTCATGTTTGTGATCTGGAGCTTCATCTTTTTCGTCCTGCTCCATCTTTCTCAGAGCTTCACCTGCACTCGAGTCGGTGGACTGGCTCATTTCGCTCAATTTCCTTTTGAGAAGTGCCAACTTCTTATTTTTTGAGGTGACTGGACGCCCAGTTTGCACTGGATGGGCCTTTTTCTTGGCTTCTTTCACTAGGCTCGCCACTTCCTCCTCCCCACGCGCAGCTATTCCCCTAGCATCCATAATATCATCCTTCTCTAGCACTTCTTTCAAGCAGTTAGTATCCTCGCACCAAGCCAACTCCTGCTTCACAACAGCTTGCCAAGCAGTTGCGCTGCCTGCTTCGATGTTGGCGTTGTTGCCCCTTTTCAGGCTTGCCTGTACTTGTTGGAGGAAAGGACTCAAGAGGAAGAATGTTTTTTTACAGGCTGACTCAAAATCGAAATTGGGAGGAAACTTCTGCCGTGTGTTGTATCCCAATGATCGAATGATGTGTGCAACCCTGTAGTCGAACTTTGCCACGCACAGCAGAGAAGAGAGAGCAACTTCACGATGTTCTTGTGGATATGCAGCTTGGAGAACCTTCCGGCAAGATTCAATTGCTGCTTTGACCTCGGTGTCTTGCTGACGGGCTTGCATGGTCCCCAGTGTCTCAGTTGCTCCTGCAGATTCAAAAACTGCGGCTTTGATCGCTTCTTCCAGTTCCTTGATCCTTTGAAGTTGGGCGGCATGACCTAGTTGACATCGATCAAACTTGCCACCTTTGCTTGTCCACCTGGGCACATATAGATGGCGCAAGTCCAGAAAAAAGAACCAGTACTAAACAGTGCGGTACAGTCATTGCAGTAGTAGTGCGCTACAGTTGCCGTTTCACATGTAAGTTGCGCTCGCACAACATCAAAATCATAGTGGAACATGCACAGTGCGTGCATCACAGAGCCACAGCAAAATATATACAGTACAGTATATAGTACAGTACACTGTAGTACAGTATGTGGTGGGGTTTGCCTTCCAGCAATGCCAAGCAGCAGTCCGCACTGAACAGCTTTGTCATCATCGTCGTGCGATAGGCTCCAAACTTCGGGATTCTCATGCCACACCGTGGGAAACTTCAGCCAAATGATGTCCTTCAAGTGCAAATGGCTGCGCAGCTTTGCAAGGAGAGCTTGGGGCGGCTGCTTGTCGGATATAGCACCGATCGTTCCAACAATCTCCAGACCTGTCTCTTCCGAGACCTCCCGCACTAACTCAACCAATGCATCCCCATCATCCACGATATCCCAAGGCGTCCAGAAAATGCATTTCAACCACTGGATCCCTTTGCTGCGCAGATATGTGACCTAAGTGCAGGTCCGCATCCAACGATGCCCCATTTTATTGTTGCTGTGTTTTTTTTCTGTGGCGTGTCTCTACTTTTGTTTCTACTCAGTTTTGCACAGACATCAACACAGGGGAAACATCTCTGGCAAACAAATCAACTACCCTAGTCCTGACTTGCGCCATCTACCTATAGCACAGATACAGTAAACTGACTTGCGCCATCTACCTATAGCTATTGCCGAACCAAGTGACATTTTTCTTGGCAAACAGAAGCGTGCCACATAAATCAGGATCCAGCTCAGCATCTTTGCGGGATGTAATCCATTTCGCGTGCAGCTGCCTCGCCACAATGAACTTCTCGTTGTTGTATTTGTTTGCCATTTGATCTTCTTTTTCTTGATCCAGTGCCAATTGCATCTGCTCATTCACCACTTCCTGGTCCTGATGATCATGCAATACATCTTTTATCGGAATATCGTGCACTACTGCACATCATTGTACAATATACTGTAGTAACCAAACAAATGTACAGTAAGTACAGTATACTACTGTACAATAAATTACAGTAAAAATGTACTTTAGGCCGGCAGTCTGTAGGAACACCATATTTACTGTACAGTATAGTACAGTAGATGGCGCAACTAAACTTCGACTATTGCATTGCAGTACTGTCGAGTATAGTGCAGTTCCAGGTTACAAGAGACCCGGGAGATGCACCATCATACTGTAATGGTAGAAAATCATGGTACTGTGCTGCACGGTATGTACCAAACAGGGCAAGGCACAAAGAATTTGCATAGATGCCTTCTCTTGGTGGTTGTATTCTTCGGATCGTCTGCTTTTTCTTTCTCTTTGCTATTCTTCTTTTCACTCTGCTCCTTTTGGCTCCCCTGCGTTCTCTTTTGCTCACCGTCTGCATCCAATTTCTCAGCTTTTGGGCATGCAGCTGCTTCAGATTTTTCTGCCTCCTCACCGGCATCCTGGTCCTTCCTTTCAGATCCACCAATTTTGGACAGCATATGGTCGAGAAGTTTTCTTTTAAGGTCCTCGTGATTGCCAGCCTTGCACAAACCGTTTTTGGCCACAGTGTTGCGAAGCTCTGCAAGTTGCATGCACTCCACTTCATCGCGGAAGCTCTCTGTCAGGGATAGAAGATCAAGCGCGCGCAGAAGACATTGCTTCATAGAATCAAAACTTCCTTTTGCGTAGTAGAACTTTCTGAGAAACTCTGACGCAGAAGCATACCGCACACGGAAGTACGGATTTTTGTAACTACCGTAGTGTGCCAGAAACGGGGCCTGCTCCACACACCGAGCAATATCTTCATCACACTTTGCGGATGTGGCCTCGCGGCGAATGTCTCTCACGGTTTGGGCCAGTTTTGGCATGTCGATATTTACCCACATCCGACCGCCTTTCTTCTGCATAAATGGCACTGGAGTCGTAAATTTCTCTGGTTCTGCAAGATGCCAAGCAAATATCGAGCTATAGCTGATTTTTTCCTCAGGATTTTCAACACCATGTTTGTCCACGGACTCAGTCAATTGCTTTTTCGTGATTTTTGTGCAATTGGTGAGGGTCACAGCACCATGCACTTTCGCACCACAAACCAATCCTCGGTAGGGGGGTTGGCATCGGCAAACATCCCCTGTATTTTGCCTTTGACAAACAGTAGATGGCGCAAGTGAAGAAATTGAGACTGGAGTACTGTATGTAGTGCACAGTACAACAATTTGGGACTACAGTAAATTCAATCGTGGCTGACACCGTGAAGAAAAAGTATACAGTAGGCGATTGGCAGCACTGTGCCACCATATACAGTAGAGCAAAATGCAAAACCGCAACACAATATAGCAATAGTTTGCCTAGGGTCCAATTCTCTCGCGGATCTTTGTCTGATCGCCTCGGAGTTCCCAAATTTTTTCCCCTGCCAATATCTTTTCGATCCAGCACATGTCTATGATCAATCCTCTTGCTGGCATGCTCAGCCCGAGCTCCGCCTGAGAGGGGCTGACGGCACAGTACGATCACAAAAATACTGTATTTTCAAGTACTGTACTGTGCCAAACGTCATGATCTGAAGAAATGATATTTTTCAATCCTTCTCTAGTAGATGGCGCAACTAGCAGTGTGATGATAGCGTAATGCATTGACAATGCAATCGGTGCACCTGCCTCCTGCTTTTCCGTTCCTTCTGCTGCCACTGGTGCAACGCTTGAATCTACTTGCCTTGTTGCAAACAACTTGGCACAATGAACCGCTTGCTCTCTGTGGTCCACTTGCAGATTGGGCGGCTCGCTCTGCACGATGCCAAATCTCTCAGCTGGTAGACCTGCACCTGGATGTAAAACAACGGCTGCTGCCTCAGCACTGACACCTTTCCATTGGATGGGCTCCTCCTTGGGATCACTGGCCTTGCTTTGCTCTGAATCATCACTTTTACACTTTTTCCCATTCTTCCCCTTCGCCAGATGTGGCAGCATAAGACATCAAACACATATACAATAGTCGGCATGTCCTACTCCCATGACATCTGCAGGGACTATAGAAGAAATTGAGCAATGACAGAACTTGACTTGAAGTGTCTGCCCATTTTTTCCCCTGGCCTTCCCAGACTTCTTTGCAAGACTCCCTGCTGCTGTCTTTTCATTCACCTCCAAATGACAACGGCTGGCGCAACTACCCGCACTCGTGATGGGGAATTGTGCAACTGACTGCTTCAGTTGAGGCAAGCAAGTCACCCTGCAAGTGAAAAAAGCTTCCATTGAACGTTGGAAAGTTGCGCGCTATGTCATGCAGTCTCGGCTTGCGGGCCTCTGCAAGACTCGCTGCCGTAGCGGGCTGCTCTGGATGTGCACCTTCTGCTACTGTCGCACTCACCTCCAGCGGGGAAATAGATGGCGCAACTGTGCCCACTCAACCGGGCAGGAAATAGTAGGAACAGATCTAGTAATTATAGTAGTACAAACACAAATCATTCAACCTGACGTGGATCGCTCCCATGTCTTCTCCGCTCTCGGGCCTCTGCAAGATCTGCTGCCGTAGCGGGCTGCTCTGGATGTGCACCTGCCTCGGTCTCATCAAGTGAGGAAGTATAGATGGCGCAACTGTGCCCACTCAACCCGGCAGGATAGTACAAGTAGGAAAAGATCCAGTAATTATTGTACTACCGTATACTGTACAGTAAACAAAAATCATTCAACCTGACGTGGATCGGTCCCACGTCTTCTCCGCTCTCGGGCCTCTGCAGGATTCGCTGCCGTATCGGGCTGCTCTCGATGTGCACCCTCTGCTACTGTCGCACTCACCTCCAGCGGGGAAATAGATGGCGCAACTGCGTCGGTGAAGTGAGACGAGCAAGCACGTTTGCTGCAGGGAAAAAAAACTCATGGCATGGCAAAAACACAATGAGCAAATACTGTAAACCGGCCATGTTGAGGAATTCTAGAAGGTGTAAGCTCCCACCTCCATCTTTACGGCTGTGCGCTCGAAGCTTGTGTCTTCACTCACCTCCTAGATGGTGCAATTCTGCCCACTCAAGCGGGCAGGAAACAGCAGGAAAAGATCCTGTAATTACTGTCCAAAAAACAAAATCATTCAGATTCATGTGGATCGTTCCCGTGTCTTCTCCGATCTCGGGCCTCTGCAAGATCTGCTGCCGTAGCGGGCTGCTCTGGATGTGCACCCTCTGCTACTGTCGCACTCACCTCCAGCGGGAAATAGATGGCGCAACTGTGCCCACTCAACCCGGCAGGATAGTACAAGTAGGAAAAGATCCAGTAATTATTGTACTACCGTATACTGTACAGTAAACAAAAATCATTCAACCTGACGTGGATCGGTCCCACGTCTTCTCCGCTCTCGGGCCTCTGCAGGATTCGCTGCCGTATCGGGCTGCTCTCGATGTGCACCCTCTGCTCCTGTCGCATTCACCTCCAGCAGGGAAATAGATGGCGCAACTGCGTCGGTGAAGTGAGACGAGCAAGCACGTTTGCTGCAGGGAAAAAAAACTCATGGCATGGCAAAAACACAATGAGCAAATACTGTAAACCGGCCATGTTGAGGAATTCTAGAAGGTGTAAGCTCCCACCTCCATCTTTACGGCTGTGCTCTCGAAGCTTGTGTCTTCACTCACCTCCTAGATGGTGCAATTCTGCCCATTCAAGCGGGCAGGAAACAGCAGGAAAAGATCTTGTAATTACTGTACAAAAAAAGAAAATCATTCAAGTTCATGTGGATCGTTCCCGTGTCTTCTCCGATCTCGGGCCTCTGCAAGATCTGCTGCCGTAGCGGGCTGCTCTGGATGTGCACCCTCTGCTACTGTCGCACTCACCTCCAGCGGGGAAATAGATGGCGCAACTGTGCCCACTCAACCAGGATAGTACAAGTAGGAAAAGATCCAGTAATTATTGTACTACCGTATACTGTACAGTAAACAAAAATCATTCAACCTGACGTGGATCGGTCCCACGTCTTCTCCGCTCTCGGGCCTCTGCAGGATTCGCTGCCGTATCGGGCTGCTCTCGATGTGCACCCTCTGCTACTGTCGCACTCACCTCCAGCGGGGAAATAGATGGCGCAACTGCGTCGGTGAAGTGAGACGAGCAAGCACGTTTGCTGCAGGGAAAAAACTCATGGCATGGCAAAAACACAATGAGCAAATACTGTAAACCGGCCATGTTGAGGAATTCTAGAAGGTGTAAGCTCCCACCTCCATCTTTACGGCTGTGCTCTCGAAGCTTGTGTCTTCACTCACCTCCTAGATGGTGCAATTCTGCCCATTCAAGCGGGCAGGAAACAGCAGGAAAAGATCTTGTAATTACTGTACGAAAAAAGAAAATCATTCAAGTTCATGTGGATCGTTCCCGTATCTTCTCCGATCTCGGGCCTCTGCAAGATCTGCTGCCGTAGCGGGCTGCTCTGGATGTGCACCCTCTGCTACTGTCGCACTCACCTCCAGCGGGGAAATAGATGGCGCAACTGTGCCCACTCAACCGGGCAGGAAATAGTAGGAACAGATCTAGTAATTACAGTATAGTATTACAAACAAAAATCGTTCAAATGACTTGGATCGGTCCCACGTCTTCTCCGCTCTCGGGCCTCTGCAAGATTCGCTGCCGTAGCAGGCTGCTCTGGATGCGCACCCTCAGCTAATGTCTCGGTCACCTCAAGTGGGGAAGTATAGATGGCGCAAGTACAGTAGATGTGACATTGTATTACTACATACAGTACTGTAATCTGAATTTCAAGTGTAGCATTATCAGCGGCGGTGCATGCTGGTGGCGCGCAGGGTCCTTAGGTTCCAGCCACCTTCCAAGGTAAAAAACGTCTTTTTGTGGCACCCAAGACCATCGCCTGTTCAGCGGAATATTGTATAACGACTGACATGCAATGACTGCCTATCTCATCGGACGCCGAGAGTACTGTATCTTGACCGAGCAAACAAAACTCGTTCCCAACAACTGGAGTGACATTTTTTCCACCATCTAGGCGTGCGGATGCGGAGGAGCCACCTCCATGTCCACTTCTGGCAGGCTGGGCAACGACAAGCCAGCACTGACGTGACGGGCTGCCCAATCGCCAACCGCCTCTGCAACCTGCGCCAAATGCAAGTCGATCTCTGCCATCGATGTCTGGAGGTTGCCAATGTTTGAAGAAATGTTTTCCTCCAGCTGGGTGCCGACTGCGATTTTGAATGCGCGGCCAGCCTGCGCCAGCGAAGCGGCCGCCTTCTCCCCCATCATAATTGCAAGACTCAGCTGGGATTTGACTTCTTCCAAGGTTGTCCACCTCTCGATGAGCAGGCTATGGACCACGACCTGCTGCATTCTCGCGTGGCGCGACCAGCGGCAGGGGCTTGAAGCAGCCGCCGGGTCCGTGGCTCTCGGTCCAAGCCCATCACGGTCCCCTGGGCGCAAAGAACCATCGCTCCGGCTCCTTGACCTTTCTCGTGACATTTGTAGCAGTGCCAAAGGTAAGTCCAGTATGAATATTGTACAGTGTCGCTGGCTGAGCCTTGTAGCCCAAAGAGACAGCAAATAGTGCATCTGGACAACAACAAATTCTTCCATCTGGATTGGAACAACTGAAGCAGAATTGAAACTGACACATTTTAGGCATGTCATGATATTGCAACAGGACCTGAAACTATGCCACATCTTTAGCCATGTCATATTTTTAGGGATGTCTCGAATGCAGAGTAGATGGCGCAACTCAAACAAAGCTCAGAATGCCACCTTTTTTTGAGGATTACTGTGCTATACAATGCATTCCAGTATTCCGTTTGGAACATATGGCAAAATTCACATCAGGAACAAAGAGAGCTGCATTGTGCAACACGGAAACCGCCGCAAATACAGTAAGTTCCCAATGAGCCTGAGCAGTCTTCTCAATGCATTCAGTAGCGGCCCCCATCGCTTCAGCTTCGGTGTCCACCTGCCATGAATAAGAAAACAATGCACCTATCTCCACTGCAATTTCCAATGCAGAATAGATGGCGCAACTCAGACCAAGCTCGCAACACCATTTTGAAGAGTACAGTACAACGAGAGCACAGTACTGTACAATATTTCTTTCTTGGGAACGTGTACAAAATTGACCCAACAGGCAAAGAGAACTGCACTGCGTAGCACTTTTTCCTGCTTGGATCGACGGTGAAAGGTTTATTGTAAAAGGAGATGCCTTCTCCGGAGCACCCAAGGTGGGAGAGATGAAAGTGAAGTACTGTACAGTATCTCTCCACGCATCCAAAGTCAGCACGTGAGGCTACAAGCCTGAGAAAAAAACTCTCAAGTATCTTCAGTCACATGGCCAGCTAGCAAGGTTTGCAACCGTTGTTCCACAGCGTTGCGTGCTTGTATGCAAAACTCTTCAAATTGTGCAACGAAGGGCCTGAATTGTCTCAACTGATGTAATAGAGCCACATTTGGCTGGTGATCTTCGAGTGTTTCCTGGAGATCGTCAAGGTCTATCAGAAAACGGGTAGCTTGTGAAGCTAGCCGGTCATAAGTCAAAAATTGAGTCAGAAGTGCCTGTAACACCGTTTGTGGCCGTCGATTCGCCCTGTGCATCTTGCTGTAGTAAAAGCCAGAAACAGGCAATGAATCCGCAGATCACACCACTCAGAAATGCAATGGACAAGCTGCCAATTTGTGACCGGTTAGGCAGAGGCCACCAGGTAGTCTGGATTGCTGTCTTACCCTTGTGAATCGGGTCACCCATTCACCGCGTACAGTAAGCCAGATTCTGACAAGTTAGCAGAGAAGAGACGCAAATGAAAGTGAAGTCCCAATCTGCCGTCAGGAATCAAATCTAGAGAAATGCGTTCGTAGAACCCCAATAACGGACGAGTCACAGGGTGACTCAAAGAACTAGTCACTAGAGCCGAGAACATAGAGAAAAATAAAATACAGCACTGTAGATTCAAAATTCTCAGCGTGCCAAAAAAAAAGTGACATGGGAAAAAAACTCAGCACCGCATCACATTTCCACGACTTACTATACAGTAAATTCTGGGTGTCACCTGTCACGCATAGAATATCGTAAACATGATATTCAAAACACAAAACCCGAACAGAATTGCATTACGCAACACAAACACCCAAGTGGACGACTCTCAATGAGCCTGAGCAGGATTCTGGGCAGCTTCAGGAGCATCCCCAACTCCAGCTGCCGGGTCCACCTGCCAACAAGAATATGTTGCATCTCCACTACAAAACTCTTGTATACAAAGTAGATGGCGCAACTCAAACAAACTTCCCAGTGTCCTTTTAAAGTTTTAAGGGTACAATGCACCACAAGCATTCCTTTGGAGAATACAGCAAAACCGACATCATATGCAAACGTGGTTCATCCGTACGCAATACAGCATGATATTGCAGAGAACTGCAATTTGCCATACGGGAAAAAACAACGCAAAGTACAGTAAACGGTTCCCAAGCAGCCTGAGTAAACTTCTCAGCGGATTCAGGAGCAGCCCCCATCTCTCCAGCTGTTTTTTCCACCTGCCATAAAATAGAGGTTACATTTCCACTGCCACAGTTACCAATGCAGAGTAGATGGCGCAACTCAAACACATTCAAACACAACCCAGAATGACCTCTTCTTCGAAGAGTACACTACACAGGAATACAGTACAGCAGGGCTACACTACAGTGGTGCATTGGAATGTTGCAAAATTATAGTACTGTAACATCATGGGAGAGGAGAACTGCAGTGACCAACATGCAAAGCAGATTGTTGCAGGCGGTTCCCTATGAGCCTGAGCAGGCTTCTCAGCGGAGTCCGCCACTCCAGCCGCTTCCGCCTGCAATAGAAGATGCTACAGTACATCTACAGTACATTACACTGCAACACACTTTTGAGTACATGGTAGATGGCGCAACTCAACCAAACTCACAATGGCATCTGATTTAAAAGTACACCGGGAGTACACCCCAGAGTAATTAGAGAAAAAACGAATCCAAAGCAACACTGAATCCAAAGCAAACAAGAGGCCCCAAAGAGCCTCCGCAGGATTCCGGGCAGCTTCAGGAGCATCCCCAACTCCAGCTGCCGCGTCCACCTGCCAACAAGAATATGTTGCATCTCCACTGCAAAACTCTTGTATACAAAGTAGATGGCGCAACTCAAACAACCACAAACATTCCTGTGGAGAATGCAGCAAAACCGACATCATATGCAAATTTGGTTCATCCATACAGAATACAGCATGATATTGCAGAGAACTACAGTACAATCTGCCATACGGGAAAAAAATCCACGCAAAGTACAGTAAACGGTTCCCAAAGAGCCTGAGCAAGCTTCTCCGCGGATTCAGTCCCAATAGATACAGCCGCAGAGTCCGCCTGCCGGCAAAGATGTTGCATCTCCACTGCAACATTCGAATGTATACAGTAATATACAGCACACCTCAAACACAATTCCTTGGGGAGAGCGCTGGAAGATTAACATCATGGGCAAGCTTGTTCCATCCATACACGATAGAGTACGATAAAAGGAAAAACCGCACTGCAGAAACTCAGTTGAACGTGGAACGCCTTCCTCTCCAGTTGGCAACTCTTCTGCGACTCGCATGTCTCAGAACGATGGCGCCTCTCCTCCATTCAAATTGCCATCTCTGAACTACCAAACATTACGGTTGAGACTATGCATTGTCCTTGATATGTTGCAGTTTCCATGGTGATCTTCTCTTGCCATGGAGATCATGCCTGCAATTTTCATTGCGTGTCATTGCAACTCAGCACTCGAATTTCAACAAAGTACAGTACACTACTAAAACCAATCTAAAACCTGCAATACAGTACAATTTCTCTACCGTGCGCTTTTTGGATGTGACTTGCGCCATCTACACACACCTAGGGCACAGTAGAAAGGTTGAAAGGTTAGGAAATGCTGATCTGAGTTCGGCACAGCTGCACAGAGAGAAGGGTGCTCAAAATGACCGCAGCTGCATTTGGAACGTGCATGGAATTCCCCAGAGCGCCGTGCGGGTTGCTCAACTCCTCCCATTGCAGCCGTTGACAACCGTAGCTGTTGCAAGTTGACTGCAGTATCGGAAAGCCCAGCAGCGCTGCTTTCTCAGCAGCTGCAAGCCACCTGGGAACCAGCTGTGGAAAAATCTGACGCCAACAGTACAGTAGAACAACGCACTGGCACAATGCAAGGCCATAAAGAATATACAGTTCAGCAACCTATACACTATATACAGTACATTCCCTTACAATATGCAGTACAGTGCAGTACAATATACCATATCTTTTGCCATCCTTTGCCAAGAGCCACAAGTGGTGGAAATCCCAGACAGACAAGTCTTCATCACCCAACCGCCAGCAACATTTTCCAAAAGCTTCTGGATGGCTGAAGCTTTCAAGTTGCATAGCCCTGCTGTACAATATCATATCATGTCATTTGATGTTTGCACGAATTAGGCGCTTAAAGTTCAAGCACGCTGCTGTACGTGAAATATTGTACTATGCCGCACTGTGGCTGAATACAAAAGCACTTCAAGCAACCTCTGGGTCTTCATGTGGTCGGCGCCGTCTACGCATTGGTCGAGAACTCTCACCACTGGGGCTTCCTACATGCTCCCGCTCCAATCCTGGCGGAGTTACATCAATCATTTCCCATTCTCCCCCATCTGGGGCAGAAGATGACAAAGAGATTGCAGGGGGGAAGTGCAAGGCTGGCAAAGGCATTGGTGATGCCAATGATGCGGTCGAAATCTTGCTCACAGGCAGCTTCCTCAGAGACTTCCTCTTTTTTGGACTGACCTCTCCAAACACGAGGGAAAGCAGCCATTCCCAACAGCAAAGCGCACTGATTGCCGCTGCCGAAGCCAACATGCAAAAAGCGAACAGAAGACAAAGCGCCGACTTCGACATGGAAAGACACGCAAGGAATCACGGGAGCGTATTGACTGTACAGTAAGTACTATACTCTAATCAGCCACATAGCACAAAACAGCTGCAGCACATACAAGTAGATGGCGCAACTCTTCCAGCGACCCAAAACCAATTGCTATACAATATACTGTAGTACAGTACACAGAAAGGAACACAATACTTCACGCAGCATTGGAATATAGCACAGTACATGAGACAGTTTAGGGCCAAGTTGCCTGTAGTGCATGGGAGACCACAGCTTAATGCTTGTTTTCGTGAAGCAGGGCAGGATACCATCAGGATGTGAAGCCTTGAAGGAGCAATCTGTGAAATGGCGTGTTCACTCATCGGTCATGTTGCATAAAGTGCAAGTACATTACAGCACACACAATAACTGCAGCGGAAGAAAAATGACCACTGCTGACTTGCGAGCCAAAGAACTTGCCAAACCACGTCTGGGTTCTGGTTCAATTGGTAGGCGCGATGTTCCTTGTGGCCATACTTCTTGATGTAAAGCTCCTCATACTTCATAAGGTTCTGCTGTTCCCATTTGGTCAAGGTGTCGTGACTTAGCTTTCAGCAAGATGAAGTCAAAGTGCTACTGCATAGCACAGAGAAATCTTGAACATATCATGCACAGCGTGCAACATACAGTGTTACAGTAGTTGTCAATACAGTAACATGGCACAGAATATCGCACAAAACCGTAGTTGCGCCAAAAACTTTCGTACTACTCACATATCTGCAATACCTGCAGCCAAGGAGCAAAGAATCATCCTTTTTACACCTCTTCTTGACCAACTTCTTCTCCGTAAGCAGCTCTTTAGGATCGGTCATCCAGAATGCTTGGCTGATATCTACCTGTAAACACGTCAACGATTCCACCAGCTGCGCATACATGTCGGCCGGCTCTTCCACGAACTGGCCCCAGTCTTTGTGCACGGCAAGATGCCATTGTCGCTTACGCGAACAGCATTTGAACCCTGTGTCCTGAAGAAGCCATGGCCGTATCCCCACCAGCACATATACAGTACTTGCAGTAGCATTGGGAAATTACAGCAATGAGCAGACTCTGAGTCTGACCAGAAAACCATAAGACAAAGTAGATGGCGCAACTCCAAGGAAGATTGTCAATACAATGGCAAGTCACATCGAACGAGCGTAGCACTGTGTTTACACTATTCTTCTTGGAACATTGCTTTACTGAAATAGTTTCCCATACTGTACAGTGCAACTCAGCACAATAATTACAATACAATACTCCAAATCTTGCATTATAGTACCAGATTTCTCCAAGTAACGCTGGGCACTGTGAGAATCTTTCTCACATGCCAGTCTTCCTCGTGGACAGCTTCAGTGAGACTCCCAATTTCACCTGTTTGCACGTTCTCGAGGATCCTGATTTTAGACTGCGTCCCATGAAAGTAAGCCAGCCTTAGCTGTTCATCTGAGGTGGACACGGCCAAAGGCCGCTTTCAGCACCATACAATACAGTAATCGAAGCAACCTAGACTGAGACAGATGGCAAACAAGAACAGTAAGCTAGGTAAAAAGACAATCCCTCAAATTGCATCAAAAGCACTGAGCCGCAGAGGAGGGATCATTGCCGCCCTTCAAATTCCCCATTGTTGAAGATCCGACGCAAGGTGTCCCAGACAAGTCTATGTCCACGTTCTCAGGAAATGGGCACTCTTTCTCGCATTTGGAACACCTGCCAATGCGTAAAACATCGGCACACCGATGAAAGCATGCGAGGACAGCTCAGCAGTCTCATCAACCCCACCTCCCTCTTGACCGGTAACTGACTTCTTTGGCAAGCTTGGAACGCTCTGCAAATGATTTTGAAGCAGTGGCTTCAGCAGAGAAGATTGGAGCCATGCTGTCTTGGGGCACACCTGATACATCAGTGAAATAGTAGATGGCGCAAGTGCAAAGATATTGTTTTTTTGCTTCGTGCGCCTGCATGGTGGATGCGGAAAAAAAATCATGCACAGAGTACTGCGACCCATGATTGCCAAGCCACGACTCAGTATGTCAGTGAAGCGGTGCTTGTGGTGCTTGAGCAAACCCATAGAATGTAGCGATGTATGGGTAGTGTCGCTCAACACATCGCAGGAAGACACAAATTTCAGCTGCGGGAACCAGTCGCTGCCTGCGCTCTCAAGTGCCTGAAACCAAGTACCGTACATAGATGCGACGAGCAGTACAATATACTGTATATCTTCTGATAAAGGTAGATGGCGCAACTACCCATGATGAATCATCTTTGCCCCGAATGTGTATTCATCTGTCAACCATTGCTGAAGATGCGAAATTCTTGCACGAAAAATGAAATACAGTACAGTACTGTACAGTATGTGAACAGATTGAAGCCTGTGCAGCCAAGAATCTCTAGCTGCAACCTCTGGAGCTCCCAAACCAGTGAAATGCGTAGTGCATCTGAGGGTCCGCTTCGTTGGATCCTTAGATACGTTAGTGTCACGCGCTGTGCCTGGTATTGTACTCTGAACATGTACAGTAGCAGCCAATTGGGGTGCAAATTGCAACCACTGGTACTGTACAATACAACACTTCTGGATTGCAAGGAGAACAAATTATACTTCTGCCGAGCAGCATTTAACATGCACACGGTGTCCCTGGCATCTGCTAGCATCATTGCTTTTTTCACGAGTAAGCCTGGCCATGCTGCCAGAGCCTTACCCAAATCGGTGACCACATCATCGGCCATGGCGCAAGAGAAAATGGAGTTGAAAGTGTACTATAATTAATGGGACGGAAAACCCAGAACTGTGCTTGCAGCAATTGCGGTATTCGTTTACAGAGTACAAGACAAAAAGGATGGAAAATGGACAGAAATCTTGTAGAAAATTTTGTCCGCGGCACCAAACAATACAGTATATTGCCTAGGTAAACATACTCTTTGTATATTGTACAGTAAGTTTCTGTGCGCACCTCGACTGTTTCCATCCGGCTTGAGGAAAGCAAGCACCGGATCGCGATTGTTCAACCCACCCGCGGCGAGATGGATCAAGATGGCCCAAGTGGTGTCTATTTTGCGATATAGCATCAAAATGTGCAATACGAAACAACGAGTACTGTACTACTTCTTTAATCTTCTTCATATACAGTACTTACTGTATATCAAAACGCTCCAAGTCCCTCGACTCTGCAGGGCTGAGTTGCGCCATCTACTATATATTGCGCATTAAATTACATAATATGTCCATGAATTTTGACTGCTCACCATTTCAACCCCACTTCATTCCCCAATAAATCGTTGTTTTGATTGTTCTATAGAAGTTACAATAACTCAACAACAACGAATCAAACATCAACTTCAGACCGAATATTCTCTGAAAAGGCTTGTGTGTTTTTTTCTTTGGTTTCTTGAGGTTTTTGTCGCAAAGCGTATCCAGATCAAACTAGCTCTGAGGTGAAAGTACCAGGCGCCGATTGCAGTAGTTGCGCCGTACATAGTGCAACTCGCTTTAATATTGCGTGCGCACTTGATCCATACTGAGCCATCTTTTTCCCACGCAAAACCGCGAATACATATTTAGTATTCGGCGAACATGGCTGAATCTGTGGAGTTTTCGCGACCGGGTACCTGCAATTTGGTTATGCTTATCCTTATTGCCAAAGCTGGCGCAGCTCCAAGCATCACACAGGCGGTTCTTGTGGCCCAGTTGCGCCATCTACTGTGCATTCGATCTGGTGGAACATGCGCATGATTTTTGTGGGAGAGAACGCTCACATGAATACACCAGTGACATGTGAGTTGCGCCATCTATCTGGCTGCAATATGGGGAGGTTCCCCGTGTGCTTCTGGAGTTGCGCCATCTATGGCAGTGGCACGCATAACCAAACTGCACACACCCCGGTCGCGAAAACTCCACAGATTCAGCCATGTTCGCCGAATACTAAATATGTATTCGCGGTTTTGCGTGGGAAAAAGATGGCTCAGTATGGATCAAGTGCGCACGCTATATTAATGCGAGTTGCGCCATGTATGTTGGGCCCCCGGGGGGCAAAAGTACATGGCGCAACTAGTGTATTCGGCGCCTGGTACTTTCACCCCGGAGTATACTAAGGAGATCATCATCTGTGGTAAATAAATCTGTAGATGCATAACCGAGATTAAATGAGATCTGTTATGTCAACCCTTGATTAATACACCCTTGGCCTGCTGATCATTTGGGGCACCGTTTTGGCAGCAAATGAACTCACCATTGGGTGGACCCTAAGATTTTTCCACCACAAGACCTGATCATTTTCACAATGAGTTTACGGGAACTTATTTTCCCCACTGTAAACTGTAAACGCAAGCCCCACCAAAATTCTAAAAACCAATCCGTTCAGTTTTAGGGTTGAATTTAGCTATGAGGTACAAGACCCGGTGCAAAACAACTACTGGAAAGTAGTTTCTATTAATTACAGGAGACATCAGGAGACTTAAATTTATGCATCAACAAGGGGTTTTTAAGGGAATGATCCATCATGGCCCAAATTTAGATCACCCATAATCTGGATCCTGAGACGCAAATTCCAACCTGGCTGGCTGGAAAATCCACTATGGCTTATAGTTGGGCTTAGTTCAGGGATTTTCCAGCCAATTTGGGTAACACAGCCATGACAAAATTCTCTAGTAAATCCCATATGGAACAGTAAATCCCAGAAACTGACCATTGAATCACATGTTTTCAGATTTTTTCTGGGCTAAATCACCATACATCTGGGTAAAGTATAATAATTCACCAACCTGAAATAAGGCAAACAATCGGGATAATTCCCTTTACTAACCATGATTCCAGGGTTTGGTCGCGACGTGAGGTCATTAAAGTTTATCCATATATCAGGGATGGGTCAAAACCTATTGTTATGATTTATGATCAATTTTAGTGGTTCATTCACATCAAAAAAAACCAGCTATGACTTGGGGTTCACGGCACGGTACCAGGGTTTTGACCCATAGCCATATGGCACCTTGAGTCTCGTTGTTGCGCTCCAACATCTCCATGGCAGTGAGGAAGATCTGGCAAGGTCGCATACGTAGCAACCTATGTGGGAAATAGATGGGAATAGATATGGGATTTTTTTTTTGGAAATCTACGTGGGAAATATATTGTACTCATGGTCTATAGTGTTAAATTGTGTTTCTTTATATTTTTGTTGGAGGATACTGTAGAATCTGTCCCAAACCTTCCTCTTGGATCCGATTTCTCGGCACGACCTGCTATACAAATTGCCTCTGCTCATGTGGCTTTTTGCTCAGAATCATGAACTTGCGCAAATATATATATATATATATATTATATATATATATATTATATATATATTATATATATACATATTATATATATATATCTATCATGACTGGCAAAACGACCCACCTCTTTGGGTTATTTTGGTTTTGGACCTGTAGCCCATGCTGGTACTGTGACACAAAGTAATCTCTCGATTGCTTCAGGGAAACCAAGCCAGCAGAATTGCAAACATTTTAGTTCAGAGATCAACGACCTGCAGTATTTGGATGCTTGGATGCTTGAAACCCTGTGCTTCCATAGGCTAATGGCTAAACATCAAGCACTAACCACAGTTGACCCCATTCCAACTGGTTACACCACCCGGTTGTTTGTTGGTTACCAATTTGGGTTTGTCTGAAAAAAGAGCAGGTGCAGTGGTTTACTGCTTATCACTTCTTATCATGGTTTATCGGGGTTATCATGGTGTATCCATCATCTTCAGATTTTCCTATTAAATCCTAGTTTAATGTATATATCATCATATTAAATCCTATCATATAATATTAAATCCTATTAAATCCTACTAAATCCTATTAAATCCTATTAAATCCTATTAAATCCTATCATATATTGCTGGTTGGAGAACGGTTGGTGGTTTCAACCCATTCCAAAAAACCGAAAACCCATTGGGATCATCATCCAACTCTCAGTCGTCATATCCCCAATGCTGGCTTCATGTTGGTTGCCTCATTGTGACATATTACCCTCATATTACCCTCTGGTAAACGTTGACATAACGAACTGGAAAACCACCAATCACCATGCTAAAAAAATGGCTAAATCAGCTAACTAAATGTATAAATGACTATTTTCAATAGCTATTTTGACATCACCAGAGGGTAGACCTCTATTTTTATCCCTCAAAATGGGTGCCGTTCCCTGTTGGAATATCCCAATGGATGGCCATCCTGGCCTTGCCTCCTGAGCCACGGTGAGGCCATCCTCAAACTCAATGGCAGGCCTTGGAGTCACGTGATCTTCCCCGGAAAATCGAAGGACGGTTATAGTAATAATAGTAGCATATAATATGACTATAGTAACTATAGAAAATAATGACTATAATAGTAACTATAATAATAGTAACCGCCAGAAAGATCGATAGAAAAGCAAAATCGTGCTAAAATCGCGATAAATTAAAGCGTTTCTCTCTTTCGGGGGTTACTGAAGCAGGAAGTCATCTGAAGTCATGTTCTTCACAATGTCAGACCTGAAACCACCGTAAAACCACTTTGGTACAACTTAGCTACATTTCAACAGCGGTTTGAATCCATAGTTTTGATCGTGGCAGTACCACATGATGCCATACTCTGGCAGTCTCTTGGTCCAATGGCAGAGCGTTCAGCAACATCGCCACGACGCCGAAGTAGCAATCTGCAGCAAAGACCTCATCGTGGGGTACCCCAAAAAAATCAATGTACAGTGCAAGAAGCCCCTATTCGATGGTCAAAAAACATGATTTCTTAGAGATCCATTATAGTAAACCATCTTATATAAACCAATCTGTTAGTAATGACCTTTCCCCAAATATATCCAAATATTAATCTGTATATTGATTATATATGTGATTATTGAATATTGTATTCTCATTACTATTGTTGTTATTATTTTTAGTATTATTATTGATTATTATTTTTATTTTTGTGGTATCCCTGTGCGATGGTAAAACAGAATGGGTCAACACAACGGTGACTTTGCCGGAGGCGTTGGAGCATACGCATCCCCCAAAATCTGTACATAAGCTTTAAATACCCTCTGGTAATTTAACATAGCTATGGAAAATCACAATTTTTAATGGGAAAATCCACTATAAATGGTGATTTTCAATAGCTATGTTAAATTACCGGAGGGTAAATATGTCAATCGGACTATTCCAACATCATCTTTCCAGTCATTGTTAGGGAGATTATGCCAATCCTTCGCTGAAAAAATCCGTTTTTGCAGGCGCTACTAATCACAAACGTATGACATGGGCGTTGTCCAACCCCAAAGGCCACATGGATCTGTCCGTTGATCCCACTTGGATAACAACCAGCATAGTTTAAATCCCATAAAACATGGTGTTGGGAACAGCATATCCATTATATCCCTATAGATCCCTATAGATCCCTATAGCATTGATTGAAATCCAATGATTCACCCTCACGATTCCACCAACGGGAACCCTGCCTGCATAGATCCTGCACGCTTCATGCGATCCCAGAGGTTGTAGAAGGTGTAGTGCCGCTCCAACCTGGACATAGATCCCAGTGGCTGCGCAGTGGCATTGATCAAAGGATGGTTGGCTCATTTGGGGATGTCAAGCATTAAACACCTGGGGATATATGGAGACGTAGCTGATCAATGATGGTTGGTTGATGCTTGATTCGGATTAATTTGAAGATTCTACTGACCCATGGATTAGGGATAATCACAATCCATGAGGGGATTCCTGTTGTCAACCAGACTGGACAGACCAACTCGTTGCATTGGTTGGTACGGTAACAACATTTAAATGTACGGATTGTTAAATATCCGAACTGGTATTGTTTAATGTATTTTAGATTACCTCCGGGAATGTTTTCCTTGGCCCGCCCAGCCATTTAAACATACCGAATCCAATTTGTTTGCACATACATTTTAATACGGATGGAACTGATGTTTCATACCGTCATACTACCTCCAGGGCGTCGCGGTCTCGCCAGCCCTCCACATACTTAAATGTGGTTACCGTAGTATTGGGAACGGATAATGTTACCCATGATTTGTTCCATGAAGGGGGATGAACATCCAATAGTCATCATAAATACCAGCGATTTTGGTGTGAACAGAGCATCAGAGTTTGGGGGCATACTGTACCACCTCATAGCCATCTAGCGTGGAACTTGCCAAAGAAGAAAGTGGTGGCTTCCAAGTTCCTATTGGATCCTATTGGTATAAATCATTCGATTCCTTGGTGGATTTCAACGCATTCCAACACCCTTTGCAGGGTCGAGCTGTTCAATGCGGGGATAGGTACCTTTGAATATTCTTAGAACATCTTAGAACTATATGATAATCATAAATCATAAAATATAACCCTATATTCTTAGAACTATATGATAATCATAAAAAACCTATATTCTTAGAACTATATAGAACATTATAGAACTATATTAGATAATCATAAAATATAACCCAGCTGGGAGGACAAAGCCGCCAGTTTAAAATTGCCACAGTTCGGACCACATTTCGATGCTGAGCCACATCCGAGGCGTAGAGTCCAAGAGCCTGGGATAGCTTCTGGCTCTTGCTTAGGACAGATTCGCCCATTTTTAGAACAAAAGTGGATATTATACCAATATAAGTAATATAAGAAATATATAAGATATATACAAGATATATACCCCAATGGATTATCCAAAAAAACTGAGTCCATTATGCCCATAGTATACAAACATATATACCAGTATATACCATTAAGATGGTGAGTATTGGTTTGGACGCAAAAAAAATCCTCCATCAAAATGGGATGCCAAGCCCAAGCACTTGGGTGTTTCCTGATGTTGTTTCAGGTGCTGGAATACTTCCTAACGTATGTTTGGAATCTTGTCTATGGGGTCTTATAGAACCTTAAAGTTTAACATTTTCCAAACCCAGAAATCTGGGGGTTCCATTTCAGTTTTCAGGGTGGCTCAAAGGGCTGTAAGTTTCGCGGTGCCAAATGGATTGAGACTTGAGGATGTGTCAGAACTTCAGAGGGTATGCGATCAAATTGGGAATGAGTCGGAATTGAGACCTATAAATCGAAATTCAACACTTGAGCCAACAAATACACCCCTACATATCTAGATATAAATAATGACACCCAATGCTTTATAGTACCTACTATTTGGGGATGGTTTCAATCGCACCCATAAAAATGGTGACATGGATTGTTTATATAACAATATTGGCTCTACCAAATTATAACCAATGATTATTAACCATTAACCATTAGATATTATATATATATAACATCATTAACCATTGAAATTATAGCCCCTTTATAAGTATGAGTATAAATGGAGATTGTCCTAGAGTGGGGGTACCCCCATTCATTGTAATAGGATTTTCCATTGTAAACCATGCATTTTTGGGTACTCCCATGAAAATCCCCAAATATTACAACCCAAGACTGTCCAGGAAAATTCCGGGCTTCCCAGCTCGCGCACGTGGTAGTTGTGCGCAAAGGCCTTTCCAGAGGTTTCCATGGCGTTCCGAATATGCGATTGGTTTTGGGGGGGCATTCCGTAATTATTCTAGGTGTTTGTGTGTATACATGTATATGTATAATATGTATATGTGAATGTATTTGTATATATATATATAATTATATATATATACAGTATATATATATATATGATTATATATGTATGTATCTGGTATACCCAAATGGGAGGGGCTCACCACTTTCTTACCGTTGAGCTGATGTTTGACCCTTGGAGGTGGAGTTAGTTCGGAATCCTTGGGTTTCAGATCTGTAGATATATGATACATATATACATATATACACGGTTCTTTAGGTATCTATTTATTCACGATTATATTGATCTATATCAATATCTATAATTCCTACTCCTTTTCTGCTATTTCGCTGTTTTTGAAGAGCAACGTGTACACAAACAGGGATAATTCATGATAATCCCACTTGGCAAGTAGTATGAAAGGAGTCAGTGACCATGTTCAACGGTGAAATGCCCTATATGTGTTCATCAAATCCCAAATCTGACTTCAATACCACTCTGGGTTTGTAGGAAAATAAAAAAACACCAAAAATCCATCGGACTATGAGTATGTTCCCCTCTACATTGCCATTTGGGGTCCTATCTTAAGACAATCTCAATTTCTAATGCTTCACAGCGGGACCTTGACATGGCTCCACAGCTGCTCGCTGACCCTGAGCGAGCAGGGATGGTTAAGACACATCGTTGCGATCCACGCAATAAACAACTCGTGGTTGTAGTTAGTCACACCTGGTGGTTTGGGAGACCCTCGGGTAATCAAACACAGCAATGTGAAATACCTTTAAATGCCACATCCAAATCTATCCAAATCCATGCAAATCCCCTATAAATTCATATAAATTCAACATAATATACAGAATTCATCTATCAATGGAGCTGTACAGGAGCCACGTTTGATTCCCGGCTGGAGATCTGCAGTAACTGGGCTCACAGCGTGGCCAGAGAACCCAGGCAACAGTTCAGGATTTTCCGACCTGCAAATTTTCAGCAGCCGACTTGACTGGGGCCGCGTCTCAACACAACGGATTGGTAAAGTTTAACACATCCCAAGTTTGGGGTGAAATCAACAAGGTTTAGAATGGAAAAATAAACAAGTTCTGATGTGTTGCAGTCATCAAGTTTTAAAGTGACGAAATAATCCATTAAATTGTATAGAACCCATGTTCGGGCGGTCCTCAAAATAGTGAACATCTAGTCATAAATATGGTACCCCAAAGTACCCCGTATGTAGGTGAATTAACCAGAGATCAAGCAACAAAAATGGAACGATTGGCCAGCAACAATAGGGGGTTGAGGTGTTTTGCACGTGACCCCTGTAAAAGCAGAAAAAATGCGGCACTTTCCAGGTTGGAAAAACGTGAAGGAAGATGACCAAGAAACGTACCCTCATCTGTCATAATATCATATAATATCTCCATTTTGTGTGCCCTGTGTTGACTGGTTTCGCCTTGGAGCCTTGGATGATCTTGGCCCAGATCATGGCACAGGTGGCACGTTTCTCAAGGTTCTGGGCCCCAAACAACTGGCGTTGCCGCTCTCAAAGATGGACTTGATCCTCAGTGTATGGTGACCCCCCTTCTTTTTCCTGGGGTAAACGTTTAGATGGCAGTGTGTCAAAACCTTGTACCCCTGGTGAACATCAAAATAGCTGGTAAGTGGATGTTCATTCCCCTAAAAATGGTATTAATAGGTATTGATCCATACCCAGATGTGGAAAAGCCATGGTTTCCGGTTCGGAAAAAGGTCCCCATCCACCTGGGATCTCCGAACTCATGCGCTAAGAGCTCCTGTTCCGCCTCAAAACTCAGGGCCTCAGGGGGAAATCCGGTGAAGTTCTGCTGAAGATGTTTTTTGCAGAAAAAAACGGACCAATGAAAAGCGGCCTACTGGGAAAATCATTATGTATAATATATATATATATTATATATATTATATATATATATTATATATATATTATATATATATTATATATATGTATATGTATCATACTAAATTAATATGACTTCAATATGACTGTGTCATCATTTTCCCCGTGAAATTTTGCGGTTTTGGGAGCAGGTATACGCAATTTTCAGACACCCGCAGATACCCTATTGTCCAGTAATTGTGTGGTGGTCCCGAAATCATTCAACATTCATCATGTTTACTCTGTACATGTATAATCAGAAAAGTATAGAAAAGTGGTCACCAAACTAAATCATTGTCATAGTCATTGGCTTCTACGAATATATGTGATATAACATGATATAATTATAGAACTATAACTTATATCAATTAGGATATGACAATGGGCATACAGTAATTTTTAGTCATCCTTCCCCAATGAGACCCCGGCCCCTTGCTGCACTTGCTGCGCTTGCTGCGCCAGCACCGGTGCAGTCAGGGCCTTTCCCGTCGACAGTTGGATGAATTTACCGATGGCCCTTTGAGAAGTTGTAGCCCATTGCCCATCATTGGGATCTGTGGTCGTCTGTCCCCTAAGCCTTAAGATGGGCCAAGATTCGCTACCCCGCGATACGTCTTTCGAGTGCACAAAGAATGTGCGATTCGTGTTTCAATGGTCCTTCATCTTCCTTGTAATCCAGAGTAACCATGTCCGTCTCCTACTGCCCACAATAAATTCCTGACGATCAGAAGTTTGTAAACACAATCAAACGGACCATAAGTATCCATAAGTAACTAATGATCCCCACATGCTTAGTTATACCTGTTGGTGTTCCTTATAAACCTTCACAATTGGGTCCTTGTTGGGTTTATCGCATTCATACTGCTAGTTCCGTCTGGTTTGTTGCTGATGACATCCATGTTTTTGTTGGTTGAATCCCCACCATCTGGTTATGACTAACATAGCCATGGAAAATCACCATTTTTTATAGGTAAACCATCTATAAATGGGCCATCTATACCATGGCTATGTTAGTCATAACCAGATGGTAGTTGATTGTATGAACCATTGAGGCCGGCTCAATGTTTGCTGCTGAAGTGCAGCACTAATATCTTTGTTGCTGAACCTCCTGAAATCATGGAAGTCATTGGAAATCGTGTCCCAACTAGTCTGGTTATTTTGGGGTTCCATGCAAAGGAGGATTGACTCCTGATTGCGGCACAGGAACATATCCATGTTTTTGTCTGGTAGGGCCGGGAGGTTTCACACATTTTAACACCAGTTGTTACTATAGTTTATATTGCCATATATTGCCCATGTTGATGGATGATCTCCCAATATCTCCCATATCACTAGCGATCACCAGTAATGTTGATTGATTCGAATCCTCATGGGTTCAATCCATGGAAATCCCATGTTGTTGGTTCGTTCTCCCCAATAAAAAACATGATGAACTACTATGAACCACCAAGTAACCCCGACCCCCCCAACCACCCCCCCAGGGATCCCCCCAGGGCCCCAACCGCCAACGTCAGGACTTGAAACCATTGCTTTCTGTGAAACCATCCAATGTTTGTCATTTGTTGTAACAAACCAAAAAAAAATGTTCCTTGTTGTTTCTATCAAAAGATCGATTTTTCGTGATGTTTCTTGCTTTTGCTGGCATAAGAAAATAAGCAATCCATGCCTTTCCATTTTTATGTAAATGACAAATGTTTGAAGCATCCCCAAACAATATCCGGTGGCATGCTGGCTCAGTCGATGTACCCGGGGATGCTGGTAATGTTAAGGCTGGTTGGTTTGAGGTGAGAGGCTGACGTTGAAAGCCAACTTCTTGATGACGCGCAGCACATGCAGGTTCTCAATGTGGTGTGTGTCTTGACTCGTCCTTCTTTCGTATGAATCTGGTCGGGGCACAAAAGTGAACATGGTCTCGAATGGGACACGAGATTAAACACAGCGCAATGGCGATCCCAGACAACCAGGACCCTGGGTGACTTCTGAAGAGTTTGCTTTGTGCCACAAGAGAATGATCCGCAACAGGGAGCTTCCATGAGCTTCCCACAAAGATCGCTCTGTGTGAAATTTGTGCTATATTATCTTCGAGGCCGTCTGGATCTCGTTACCCGAGGTCTGCATATCCCCTTGACCTCCTGAAAACTGGTCAGGATCCATGACGGAATCGTGTGGTCATACAATGATACTACATCTGAGAAGGGCAGGCGCGTAAATCACCAAACCCTATCACAAGAATGGAATGACAAGAAACAACAATACAAGGCAGTTATGTTTTGTACTTGGACTGAGTACAGGTGCTTCCATTAGGGAACAAAGACCTTATCCCGCAAAGTATCCCAAAGTAGTTTTATACATGGAACCTCAGCTCATGGGGATTTTCTTGGAGGGACTTGGTCGTGAACTACATCCTGCACTGCACATGTGCTATCCGATGTGCTCGAAAAGATTCAAATAGTTTCAATCTTGCCTGAAATAACAGGCCTGTATGTGTACATGCATCCTACATCACTAAAATACGTAAAATACTAAAGAGATCTAAAGAGAAAAAGAACTTTGAGATCTCCGCTTCCCCACGCTCCAACAACGCTGACCATCAGCCCCCCCCCCGCGGTCGCATTTTGGCCCTCAGTCGTCATCCAGCAGCGCATCCAGCAACGACACAGAGCGCGCTTCCAGTTTCCACCCGGGTCGGCTGGACTCCGCCGAGGCCGTCGCTTCGGCTGGCGCCTCTCCACGTGCTGCAGCTGTCGCCGCTGCCGCGGCACCCGCAGCAAAGGCGCGGGCCAGGGGTGTGGAGGAGGAGGCAGGGGCCACAGGGGCCGCAGGGGCTGCAGAGGTTGCAGGGGCCGAAGGAGCTGCAGGGGCCGCAGGGGCCGAAGGGGCCACAGGGGCTGCAGGAACCGAAGCGGCCACACGAACTGCAGGGGCTGCAGATGTGGAGGCTGCAGCAGCTGGGGCTGCGGCAGCTGGAGCTGGCGACAACAGTCTCAGAATCTTCGTCAGCCGCTCCTGAGCTGCAGAGGTTACCCCAATGGAATGGCCACTAGAAACCACCCCAACGCCCCACCTGCTCTCCAGCACTACCGCGGAAGGCCAGCAATCGAACATCCAACCTTGCATGAAAAATGAAATGGTATCCAAGAGATGTCACAAAGTTCTTTGACCCAGCCTTGGATGGATGGGTTTCCGGGTCTTCCAGCTCAAACACTTCTGGGACGTCATAAGTGGACCATGTTGAGGTGATTTTGAAAGGTTGCTTGCAACTGCTGAAAGCAAAGACCCCCATGTCTGGGTAGTTTCAAAGCAGCCTTGCAGGCTTCAACGTTCCAGGATCTTTCGGGAATGAATGTCCTTTTGGCCCCAAACGCACGTATAGTGCCTGGTCTTCAGAAGACTAGGGTGAGGAAAGCATGAAGCAAATCCACGAATTTAATGTCCTTTGGTGAAGAATAGATAGCTCAGTTTGGCTCCATTTACCCTAAAATGGTGTGGGGTGGCTCCTTTTTCAGCAACCAATGAGGAAGAAAATAACATCTGTAGATATCTGTAGTACAGCGTTCATTGAATTGAATTGCGTTTCAAATTACAATTCTCATCTTGGGGGGGCAAACCAATATGTTTCACCACCTGAGGTGATCCTTAACCCTCCAAAATCCCTCCAAAGATGGGAAATACCAACCACTACCCCAACAAAAACGTAAATCTCTATCAGAGCCCCTGATACAATTTGGCATGTGTTTCAGAATTAGAGAGAATGACCAAATTTCATGGTAATTTGGAAATTTGGTATGATAAAACTGACAATTAACCATAGAAAAAATAAGATGGTGTTCCGTTGTTTGGCCAACAATTGGTAAAGGCCGATGTCGGAATATAACTCGGATCCTAAAGGCCGATCGTGTTCCAAAATTACCAAACAGCCTGCAGATTTCCGGTTATATCGACCACCTGGTGGACGGGCTGAAATGAGCTTTTAAAAAAATACTACTGTACTTTTTCCCATCTGAGATGCGAGCTGGTTGATAGATTTCCCTACAGTATGGCTTATCATAATCCCCAATAACTCTAGATTAACCAATCAACCAATGTATCTGTAATATTCTGTAATGGCTTAATTCTATTTGGAGGACAAACCATGGCTCAAAGGCTCAAACCATGATAATCATTGAAATCATGAACGAAAACATTAAATATTACAGATGGTTCTCATCATTATACAACCATAATTCATTATACTACCATAATCATTCTACATAATTCACCACCTGGGATGATTTCTAGGGTTCCAATTTGTGGCCTGAACCACCGCCATGCTGCACCTGGCCAGATCCACCTGTTGCGCCAGCAAGTCTAAGGCCGTTCCCAGGGCACCAACGATGACCTACCCACGGTTGGAAACCCAAAACCAACGATGGAGGTCAAGAATTGGGGAACTTAGAATCTATTACCCTCTGGTAAACGCTTAAAGTTTGCGAACTTGAAAATGGCCCAGTCGAAATAGTTGATTTACCCAGCTATAAAATGGTGATTTTCCATAGTTATGTTAGTTTACCAGAGGGTAAACCTATCATCATAGATGATCTGGTTGGTGATTGACCTACCCCTCTGAAAAATATGAAAGTCAGTTGGGATGATTATTCCCAATATTTGGAAAAAAAAAATGTTCCAAACCACCAACCAGTGATTTAATATGATTTAATCATGTATAGATATAGAATGATAAATATAGATATAGAATGAACTCTGAATATGAACTCTGGTGATGGTACAAAACTATGACGGGTTTTATTCATATTATAATATGACATTGTAGATTATCTTGATTCCAGTGACTAATTATTGATACTTCTACGGATTCACTTCACTAACCTGACATGTCTGGTCAGTTCGGGATGCGTGCCAACCATGAATCACAGCGACAGGTTACCCATCATACCCAAAAAAAAACTTGGATTTACATCCGTTTAAAAAAAAAACTTGGATTTACACCTTGCTTATATCGTATTGATGTATGGGATCTGTCCATGTTTTAGGATTTCTGTTCGGCATTGGTGCATCTTCGCCCTGTTTGGTCAGGGACGGTGTTTTCTGTGAAGCCCCAAGTCCCTCCACCTCGAAAGCTTCACGTGGGTCATGTGGTATGTTTCATTAATCGAAGAAGGCCACCATTTGATGACAGCCATGTTCCCCATGAATTTGCTATTGGGGATATACCCCATTTTCATATATATATATATATGTATATATATATATAGATGTATGTATGTATGTATATATATACACATCATGTTGGTAGTAGCGTTATGTCTCATTGTATGCCCATTATAACCCCGTAAAATGGCTGGCTATAATGTCGGTTCGTTGTATTTATACCAATTCCTTGGTGGCTTGTTGCTCCCCTGCTAAAAGTTTGACTTTTAGAGGCATACCTGATGTAAATCCATCCACCCCCAAAAGCATTTCAAAAAAAATAAAACACCTAAAAATCGACAGTAGGTGTACGGCTACAATCCACTACCCAACTTACAGAAAATCATCCCATTGCCTCTGGACGGTTGTTGAATACGCCACCTTCCAGGCCGCCCAGAGGGTGATATCCCAGTTCTTACCCTGTCAGAACAAGCGTGGCGAAAATTCCCATCGGAACAAACACTGTGGATGAATAGATTGATTTCCTTTGCGAGATTGGTAGCTGGTAGAGAGTATCTTACTGGTGCTAAACGCAGGGAAATTTCGGGAATGATCCACAATAACTATCAATAATCATCCCAGCAACCCATCCATTCCCTACGTTTCGCACCAGTAAGATATGATGGCATGGCTCACAACCATGGTTACTTTCCTTGATGTGCGGATTCAGATGACAGGAATGATGGACCACTTGCGATTGTCGTATGCTACACTGACCAGCATCACTTTTGAATGATTATATAATGTTATGTATATATATATATACATGGCGACACTTTATCCACTTTCTGGGGAGTCACTCCCGTATGTGAAGTTATAACTAACTGAATTCCACAATTTTTGATGTTTTGGCACTGTGATGAAAGTGCAGATACCTCACAACCCCCGGAATGACTCCGCAAGCCTCACCAGTCTTTCAGTTCCCTTCGAAATCGGTGATCCAACCCAAAACTTAGGCACTTAGCGACGCATCCCTGGCAAAAAACCTAATCCACCCCAAGAAATGCGATAACTTGAACTGAACTCAAGTGTGGAATTTCATCATGCTTGACTGTGGATTTCCAGCTTCTCCTAACCGCATACTTGATCAGTTCATGGCTAATTGGTATGGAAAAAATCATCCACCCACAAAATGTACTTTGGAAAACAAACACCATATAAAATCATGTCCCCAACCGGTTGACTCACTAACTTTTTCCCTCATTCCCCACCTCCCAGAGGCATCAGGAAGATCCTTTGACGCGACGTGTGTCCCATGGCAGCCAGGCGTAAAGCACCCAGGTACCTGGGATAGGATGTCAATTGTGGGTCGTTCAATCCCCAAAGCTAGGGCGAAATGTTGAAACCGTTGAGACCCTAAAATGCTATAGAAATGTTATAGGAGGCATATATAATTTGTATAGTTTATATATATACTCTCATGGCCCAGCACTTAGAATATATATGTTTTTAACCACACGTGGCATATAAAATTTTGTAAATTAAAACATGCCACTTAGAATTGAGTTAGCTCATTGCACATATCATATGGTAAGATAAATTAACAAAACATTGAAAAAACAATAAGATAAATTAACAAAACATTGAAAAAACAATATGGTTTTTGCACTTAAGATACAAAAAAAAAACCTTGTAAAAATCAATGAAAAATAAAGAAACCAACAAAAGTGTAGATAAAATCAAAAAACAACTATGAAAACATTTATAAAACAAGTAAAAAAAATTAAAAATTACAATGCTATACAGCCTTGTATTGTATTGTAGTTCTACAGAAACTAATTTAATATCAACAGAAACCTATAGTTCTACATGATTGTACTGTACTGTACTATATATTGTACAATAGTGTATTACTGTATATGTACTGTACTGTATAGTGTATTATGCATCTCTTCCTGAAAGCAGTGCCAGTGTCCAAGATGCCTGAAGGTTTGGCAATGGATTATACATTTGTTTAAGGAGAACAGATTTTTTCTGGCAAAAATCAACAGAAATATGCACAGTAATATTTCCTGCATTTGGTGCTTCAGACCACTTGCAAAAGCCGGTGGTTTCCAAAATGTTGACATTTTAAGGTCCCCGCCTCCGTCACCGACCCTTCCTGCAACATCTTCATGAAACCGCCGGGATCCATGGATGCTGCCATGTGTTTTTTTCCCAAAAGCATCTCGTCGATCTTCACCTGGGGATCCCCTTCGCAGATCGTGACCCAGTGGATTGCATGTCGCAAGTGGGATGGATATGTCTCGTTACATGGAAGATGCAAGTTGCTTTATATTTACATACAGTATATCTACTGTAGGTGTAACTTTTTTCGTATTTTTCTTTTTTATTGCATCCATCGATCTTTCTGCACTAAGAGATGTCTCAATTCTGAATGGCCGATCATTATCATGTCTCTATATATAAATATTAGATATTGTTATTTTTAGACCTCATAAACTCTGTTCTCAAGTCGTTGTCCGAGGAAATGTATCCGGTCATCGGTGATCAACCTACTTGCTCAAGCAATCTATAATAGAATCAATATAAGTGATTGTCACCACCGTCATCATCATCACCATCATCATCGTCATCATCATCACCACCGTCATCATCACCATCATCATCATCATCATCATCGCCACCGTCGTCATCATCATCATCATCCTCATCATAACCACCGTCGTCATCATCATCATCATCGTCATCATCAACGTCACCATCATCATCACCACCGTCATCATCATCAAACATCATCATCACCACCGTCATCATCACCACCACCACCACCGTCATCATCATCACCACCACCACCGTCATCATCGTCATTATCGTCATCATCATCACCATCATCGTCGTCATCATCATCACCACCGTCATCATCATCATCATCATCATCATCATCATCATCATCGTCATCGTCATCGTCATCGTCACCACGGGTACGGACCTCACATTCGACCCTACCGCAGCCTCACATTCGACCCTACTCCAAAAGAACCGCACGCACCCTCACATTCGACCCTACCCTAACAAAAATATGCAACCCTTCCAGGAAAAAAACAACATTTCCCGGTTCACATTTGACCCTACCCCACTTTACCCTGCCTCAAACCAGACATCCGTGAACCAACCCCCCTTGAACAATTACATTCATTGCTATCAAAACAACCAGCCCCCCTTGAACAATGACATTCATTGGTATCAAATCAACCAGCCCCCCTTGCACAATTATATTCATTGGTATCAAATCAACCAGCCCCCCTTGAACAATTACATTCATTGGTATGAAACCAACCAGCCCCCCTTGCACAATTATATTCATTGCTATCAAATCAACCAGCCTCCCTTGAACAAGGACATTCATTGGTATCAAATCAACCAGCCCCCCTTGAACAATTACATTCATTGCTATCAAATCAACCACCCCCCCTTGAACAATTACATTCATTGGTATGAAATCAACCAGCCCCCCTTGCACAATTATATTTATTGGTATCAAATCAACCAGCCTCCCTTGAACAATTACATTCATTGGTATGAAACCAACCAGCCCCCCTTGCACAATTATATTCATTGCTATCAAATCAACCAGCCTCCCTTGAACAATGACATTCATTGGTATCAAATCAACCAGCCCCCCTTGAACAATTACATTCATTGGTATCAAATCAACCAGCCCCCCTTGAACAATTACATTCATTGGTATCAAATCAACCAGCCCCCCAAGAAGATGGGAGGGGAAAGGCAGCAAAGGTAAAGGAGATGGTGGAAGACAGGTTGTGTGAAAGAGCTGTGTGTGACAAAGTTGTATGTGACAAAGTTGTGTGTGACATCATCATGATCATCATCATCATCACCATCACCATCATCACGATCATCCGTCATCATCAAAATCGTCACCATCATCATCATCATCATCACCATCACCATCATCACGATCATCCGTCATCATCAAAATAATCACCATCATCATCATCATCATCATGACCATCATCACCGTCATCATGATCATGATCATCATCATCTCCGGGACCCTCTTTTCGCTGCTAAAAACGCTACTTTCTCACATTCGACCCTACCCCAAAATGGGGGTAGGGTCATATGCGAAACCATTGGGGTAGGGTCAAATGCGAGGCGCGTACCCGTCACCGCCACCACCACCGTCATCGTCATCGCCATCATCACCACCACCGTCATCATCATCACCATCACCACCACCACCGTCATCATCATCATCATCATCACCACCGACATCTTCTTCATCATCACCATCATCATCATCATCGTCCTCGTCATCATCACCATACACATGATCACCATCATCATCATCATCCTCATCATCACCACTGTCATCATCATCATCACCACCTTCATCATCATCATCATCACCACCGTCGTCATCATCATCATCACCACCGTCATCATCATCATCATCACCACCACCGTCATCATCATCATCATCACCACCACCGTCATCATCATCATCATCATCATCATCTTCATCATCATCATCATCGTCGTCCTCGTCATCATCATCATCATCGTCGTCATCATCATCATCCTCACCATCACCACCGCCATCATGATCATCATCATCATCACCACTGTCAACATCATCATCATCATCATCACCATCATCATCATCACCAACGTCGTCATCATCATCATCACCACCGTAATCATCATCATCATCACCACCGTCATCATCATCGTCATCATCACCACCACCACCGTCATCATCACCACGGTCATTATCATCATCATCACCACCACCACCACCGTCATCATCATCATCACCACCACCGTCATCATCACCATCATCATCACCACCACCACCACCGTCATCATCATCATCATCATCATCATCTCCATCATCACCATCATGATCATCATCATCACCACCGTCAACATCATCATCATCATCACCACCACCGTCATTATCATCATCATCATCATCATAATCATCTTCATCATCATCATCATCGCCACCGTCCTCATCATCAAACATCATCATCACCACCGTCATCATCAACACCACCACCGTCATCATCATCATGATCATCATCACCACCGTCATCATCATCATGATCATCACCATCACCAACATCATCATCATCACCACCGTCATCATCATCATCATCACCACCACCACCACCACCTTCATCATCATCATCATCAACATCATCATCATCACCAACGTCGTCATCATCATCATCACCACCGTCATCATCATCGTCATCATCATCATCATCACCACCACCGTCATTATCATCATCATCACCACCACCACCACCACCGTCATCACCATCATCACCACCGCCATCATCACCATCATCATCACCACGGTCATCATCATCATCATCATCATCATCATGCTCATCATCATCATCATCATCACCGTCAACACCATCATCATCACCACCATTCTCATCACCACCGTCATCATCATCATAATCATCATCATCATGATCATCATCATCATCACCACCAACGTCATCATCATCATCATCACCACCATCATCATCATCATCATCCTCATCATCACCACCATCATCATCATCAAGCATCATCAACATGGTCATCATCACCACCCCTGCCATCATCACCACAAACACCGTCATCATCATCATCATCATAATCATCTTCATCATCATCAACATCGTCATCATCATCATCACCATCATCATCATCACCACCGTCATCATCATCAAACATCATCATCACCACCGTCATCATCACCACCACCACCACCGTCATCATCACCACCACCACCACCGTCGTCATCATCATCATCATCACCATCATCATCGTCATCATCATCATCATCATCATCATCATCGTCATCATCATCATCATCATCACCACTGTATAGTACTACTGCGCTATTATGTATTCAGGGGGTGTCACACACAACTTGGAGAGAGAAAAGAGAGAGAAAAGAGAGAGGACAGAGAGAGAAAAGAGAAAGAAAAGAGAGAGAAAAGAGAGAGAAAAGAGAGAGAACAGAGAGAGAACAGAGAGAGAAAAGAGAGAGAGAACAGAGAGAGAAAAGAGAGAGAGAGAGTGGTTTCAATCGCCCCCCAGTCCTCCCCCACATCCATCATCCCCATCAGGTGGTGCTCATCAGCCCCTGGGGCCCCTGATTACTTTCCACCCTTTGGGACACAGCAGAGGGAAGCAGATGGAAGCATGGTGCCCCACCATGAGCATAGTCATGGCTATTTTTCCCTCAGATTGCCAGGCCCCAAAACACCAATAAAGTGCCCTTCATGCCCTCCTTTGGTTGTGCCTGGGGCCTCTGATCCTGCCCTGCAGGCCAACAGGTCCCCTTCTCCACCTTGCATGCTGCTGCCTGTGCTCCCTGGCAGCCAGCATCACCAGATTCGGGGAGAGGTTACAACCAGGGTCCCCATTGATATGGTGGACCTCTTCCTGGCTCCTCAGCTTTCTGTTGCTCTTGCCTTTTTTTTTGCCTTTTTTTTGGGGTGGGCCTTCTTTTTTTGTTTTGGCTTTTTTTTGGTCCTTCTTTTTTGATCCCTCTGGTTATACTCATATCCTTGTTTTTCTTTTTTTTGGCCTCTTTCCTGTGATCAGCACCTCATATGTTCCTCCTTGAGGAGTCCACTTTTCTGGGTGACATGATATGCCACTGCTGGCCAGAACAAAATGATGGACAAGGTAGTTCCTTACCATAAGCATCCTGAAGGATACTGTTGGCTAAGGCTACCTGGTGGAGGTGACAATAGGGTACTCTGGCATCGCCAGCTGGACCATGGTCCAGGATCTCCACCTCCTAGCCCCTTCTCACTTGTCTCACTTGGTTTCGTCGTGGGGCTCTGATCCTCCTCCACCCTGCAGGCCCTCTCCTGGCTCTGGCATGATGTCTCCTGTGATCTCTGCCACGCCTGGCAACCAGCTTGGCGGCACAATTATTGGCCCTGTCATGGTCCACATGGTGGACCTCCATGTTTTCTGCCAGTGGCCTTCCCTGCAAATCCTGGTACAGCTGGCGATGCCAGAGTACCCTATTGTCACCTCCACCAGGTAGCCTTAGCCAAAAGTATCCCTCAGGATGCTTATGGTAAGGAACTACCACCAGTTATATATTATGTAATCATTCTATTGTACTATACTATACATTATGAATACCAATGAAAAAACTAATAAACTTAATCAAGCAATTGATAAATATAAATGAAAAAACATTGAAAGCCAGTTAAAAACCTAGCCAAAAACATTGAAAATCAAAGAAAACCAAGGAAAAACCAAGAAACCACAAAGAAAAAATATACTAAGGTCAGTGGTTTGTTCATATTCTAAGTGCATGATTGTACTGTGTTTTTCCAGCTAAAACCAATTTTTAAGAACTATAAAATATCTTAAAACATAAAATGTTATACTTTATATTCTAAGTGCAGGCGATTATATTCTAAGTGTGATGCTTACTTGCCAGGACTTAGAATAATCCCGTATTCTAAGATATTAGTTAGTACTCGCACATATAATATTTTAAAGTAAAAAAAAATAATTCATATTCTAAGTGGTGGGTCATCACTGTATATATATATAATCATATAGAGTTTTCTGGGTGTCAATCCTTCGTTCCCTTTTTTGCCTTGAAAGGTGTTGGCCAAAGATCTCAATTGAGGTAACTTCTCAAACATGGATCCAGCTGTACGAGTACTGAGAAAAACTGGGCTACGAGTATTGTGATAAACCATAATTATCCTGATACCTTTTTGACATATTTTAACATCTTTTGACCAACCAGTATTTCATTGGATGGGATAACGATTAATATAACTTATAATTTATATAACTATGATGTTTAGGAATGTACCTCCGGTGTCATCAGACATGGCCGGCAATGAGAAATGCCCGAACTAATCCTGGCATTTTAATAGGAAGATCATCGAACTAAATGGAGGATTTTCCAGCAAACCATGTTTGATTACCAGAGGGGTAGCCTGGTTGTCACGATCGTTTTCTGCGACAACTATATATATATATATATATATATCATTCCAATATGATCAATGGAGGAAGAAACTGTATTCCATCTTGATCCATCTTGTTTGTTATGTCATCACATAATATCTCAAACAACAAGTTGGTAGGCCTGGGACTTGGGATTGATGCTTGATGCTTCCAACTACCTAGGGTGACCAACTACCCTTGAAACAAGGGTAAGGTCCGGCAAGGTTGTGGAAGGATGAGATGACTTACTTTGAGGGGTCATCCCAGTTCGTGAATGGTTTGTTGGTGGGTGATTATTTCGTGCTTTTGCTGAGAAATATTGTATATCCCACTTAACATGAAATGTTGAAGGATGTTTTAACTTGGACGATCGTCAAGCTGGATGAGATCAATTGGAAGTGGGAGAACCATAGGAATTGCGAACCAAGGTCAATCTCCGGAGCCCCAATTGCCATCTGGCTTTGTCTCCCATGGGGCTGCCTATCCCCAGCATTATCATTTCATTTCCCCTATGGAAAATGGATCCATTTGGGAGTATACACCATTCTCAGACAGGTTCCTCATCTATTGCTGTGCCATGGAGATCAACTGCTCAGGCGCACTGAGAAATGATCACCAGTCGTCCAACCTCTTCCTGGGGCAACGCGCTCGCCAAAAGGCAAGTCTTGCTGAGAACCTCTGGTTCCTTACCCTGGAAAGGTACACATATGATGTTCCAGACAAATCTGGTTTTGGCTTGGATGTTTTTCATGTGTTGTGTTGAACATGGTTGAACATTGTTGAACTATCCCATTGACCCATATTGACCCAGGTAAGAGACAAGGTACAAGCAACGTTTCCTATTCCATGGAAGCTGGAAGGTTGGGGGCTGGGAAGGGATCCCAAGGATTCCCCGAGGCCAGTGATTCTCAAACTGTGAGGGAGGCTTACCTAGATAACCTGCAACAAATATATATATGTATATATATATATAGATATAATATATATATACATATTAAGAATATATATAATATATATATATACATATAGATATATATATATATACACATATGAATAATATATATATATATATATATTATATTATTTATGTATATATATATGTTTTACTGGTGGTAAACAATATCAAACAACTAGCATCCCCTCACCGAACATAGACCCCGCCAAAAATGGGATTGGAAGATTACTTCACTCATCTTTCCTTGAGAAATTGGCTCTTCTCAGGTGTTTATACCTTAAAAAGTTGGGGAATGGTGGTAAATTCCAATTTTTTGACAGTTAATTAAATCATGAAATCATTAAGTCACCATTTTTAATCATTAGATCAGCATTAATCCAATGGTGGTAAAGCCCAATTTTTCATCATTAAATCACCATTTTGGGCTCCCCGGGCTCCCATTGACCTTTCAAGGCGCCTGGAAGGGCACGTCCAAGTTCCCCGCGTTCAGGTAGGCCTGTGGCGTTGGGACTTGGGAGGGAAACTGCGGCTTTTAAGATCTGAAGATATAGAAGGGGCTCCCCAATTTTCATGCTAACTTAACGACAACAAAAACTGCTTGCCCGCAAACACTGTATCATGTTCGAGTTCTCGGTGACTGGTGGGATCATTCAGCTGCTAGATTCATCCCCGGATCCATGGCATTCCATGGCACCTTTACGGGTATCGCTGAAGCATAGACCATATGAACCTGGAAGTTCAGGATGCGCTGACTGGGACGGTAGAGGAATTCCCGGGTCCCGGCCAAGTGGAAGGCGATTTGCAGCAGTTGTGTAGATATTCAATGTACCCACAGTAAGCATCATCCAGTGGAATAGTTGTATTAACGTTATAGTATATAGTTAGATGGTTATGAAATATAGTTACTGAATATACAGTTACATACGTGTGCGTGTGCATGTGTATATATATATGTATATATATATATATGTGTGTGGTTAATTATAGTTATATATATATTTTAATATACAGTACTTATTTATAACTTACAACATATGATAACATATGGTAACACTAATTGCATGAGATTTTAGAACATGTTATCATGAGAACAACCGTTCCATGTTTTTCTCGATCATTTCGGGTGTTACCTCTGGAATGGATAGGGGCGGATAAACATCCTGGGACCCGGCAATGCCATAAACCTACCAATTAGGGATGGTGCTTTATATCATCCGTTGATGGAGATTTTGAGGATGGTGTATTATTTGCTTTAGCCCATCATAAAAAATATTGACTGTTGACATTTTAGCCCATTATAAAAAATATTGACAGTTGACATCTATTGAATTCTATTGACATCTATTGACACATTTAAGGGGCCATTGGCACACAGCCAGCCTTGTGTTGGCTGCTGCTGGCATCGAGCAGATCTGGCCTTCTGCTGGGATCCGGAGGAGTTTTGAAGTCCTTTCCCATATGGGAGATCCTCACCATGGTTGTGAAGCTATACTAAGTCATGGTCATCCATGACGACTGGAGGATGACTGGGGGTAACCTCATGACAAAACGGAAACCTCCTAATATGTCTATCCGTTCTTCATGGTGAAGTCCTCTGATGTGGCCATAGCTTGAAAACGGTTCCTGGTTGCGGAACTGTCTACTGGCTAGATACAAAACAGCCAAGCTTGGGCACATTCTTTGTTGCAGTTCAACCATTCTGAGGAGTACTACTCGAGCAAATCAATCCACAATCTGCAGCTGCAGCATGATTTCCGTTCTGTTGCAGCTCAAGTGCCAGATTTTTACTCAAATCTGCCACATTTGACCTTTGTGACGTGGCTGTGCCCATGTCTAACAGCATTTTCGAGTCAGGTTTCCGGGTATCCAGGAGATCTGAGCTTTAACCAGCTCTCCCCCCCCCGTTTTCGCACCTCAAGCCTGCGCTTGGAACCTCCTGGCATGACTCGGGTGGTTTTAGTCCCCCTGGGGAGACCTGCCTGGCTTTCTTTGAAAAGAAATATGAGGTACAAGAGCTGGGGTACCCTCTGGTGTTCTAATGGTGTTGTAGTGGTGTTATAGTGGTGTGTAATGGGGATTTAAGACTTAAGATGATTCACCCTCTGGTAGTCAAACATGGCTAGCTGGAAAAACCAGCCGTTTGGTTCGATGATTTTCCCAGCTATAAACCTCGGTTTCATTCAGGTATTTTCCAGCTAGCCACGTTTGATGACCGGAGGCTGCGTCCGTTATGTACAGGAAGCAGCCCCTGGACTGGTTTCAGCTGGTCACTAGGCTGACGAGTGGATTTGTGGTGCATATATGAGGCATCTGTAAGTAGATGGTGATTTAAAGCAAGAAACAGAACTGGGGGAGGCCTTCTGGTATGGTCTAACTTGGGGTGCCAAACGGACAAAAATCGTCACAATGTAAAAATGATTTGTTCAAAAACCATCCGTTCTGGGGGGTTGATGACAAATGACACCTCAATTATGCACTAGGATTATCAAGAAGGTTGATGATTGTTTTTATAGAGTAGTAATACTGTATCCATCTCTAATCATCTCTACCATAAATGATTTCTTGGTGCATTTGAATTGCATATGTTCAGCATTCAACACTTTCTGCAGGTTCGCACTTCTATGATCTAGTGGCATTCGTTGCTTCATAGTAGAAAAACATGAAAATCCCAAGCTGGGCATTTTTCCAGCGCCCCATGATATGTCATGTTTGAGCTTCGCTTTATGTCGCCAGTAGATTATTTTTTAACCCCCGGTGGTTTCTGAATCCGCGCCAAAAGTGTCATATGAGAAAGCCGGATATACGCTCTTTAAAGCATGGAAGACCCATCTATCATCCTACACAAGCCTCAAATCAACCCCCTGAAAATACCCATAGGAAATGGTGTTCCATTCCATCTGGCAGGGTCGATTTGTTGAGGATAAAAAACATTAAAAACCGGGGCTATACCCTCTGGGAATCTATGCTAATCTAACCATAGCTATCGAAAATTTCGGAAACTCTTCGAAACCATCTACTTTCACAGGACATTTTCCATGATACCCTCTGGTAAACTAACAGTTTGCTATTGAAGCCATTCAGTTATCACTGATTTACCCATTATCATTTGCTGATTTTCCATGGTTTATACAGGGGATGATAATCACGAATCGGGGACTTACTAACCAGCCTTATTTACCAGGTTTATTTGGTGGTTTCCTAAAACGGGGGTGCCTCCAAATCATCCATTTGAATAGGAATGTTCATTATAAACCATCCAGCTATTGGGGATCCCCCATTTGAGGAAACCTCCAGTTAATCATTATGAATCACTATTAATCACTATTAATCGCTATTAATCGCCATTCATCACTATTAATCACTATTAATCGCTATTAATCCCTATTAATCGCTATTAAACACTATTAATCGCTATTAATCACTATTAATCGCTATTAATCGCTATGAATCGCTATTATAATCGCTATTAATCGCTATTAATCGCTATTAATCGCTATTAATCGCTATTAATCGCTATTAATCACTATTAATCGCTATTAATCACTATTAATCGCTATTCATCGCTAGTAATCGCTATTAATCGCTTTTAATCGCTATTAATCACTATTAATCGCTATTAATCAGTAGGAATCGCCATTAATCACTATTAATCACTCACTATTAATCACTATTAATCGCTATTAATCACTATTAATCGCTATTAATCGCTACGAATCGCTATTAATCACTATTAATCGATATTAATCGCTATTAATCGCTATTAATCGCTATTAATCGCTATTCATCGCTATTAATCACTATTAATCGCTATTAATCGCTATTAATGGCTATTCATCACTATTAATCGCTATTAATCGCTATTAATATCTATTAATCGCTATTAATCGCTATTAATCGCTATTAATCGCTATTCATCGCTAGTAATCGCTATTTATCGCTATTCATCACTATTAATCACTATTAATCGCTATTAATCACTATTAATCGCTATTAATCGCTATTAATCACTATTAATCGCTATTAATCGCTATTAATCGCTACTAATCGCTAGTAGTCGCTATTAATCACTATTAATCACTATTAATCGCTATTAATCACTATTAATCGCTATTAATCGCTATTAATCACTATTAATCGCTATTAACTCCCGGAAAACCAAAAACTCCAGGATCCACTCCGTCCATCTGGCGCCCACTCACCTTGGCGCAAATGACTCGCATATGGTGCAGCGAGGCCTTGAAGCCTCGCAGGACCTCCTCCTGGCCATCTCCGACCAGTCTGGCGACCCAAGCCCCATAGGATAATGGTTAATAGTGGTAAATAATAGTTAATTATACATATATAGAGAGTGGGACGTTGTGAGGGCCCGTGTTTTTCAGTGTTTTTTGTGTTTTTTCATATGTTTTGTGTCTTTTGGTCATTTACTGCATACCTTTAGTGTGATATCTATTAAGTTCATAGGATATGTCAGTTGGTACTACCTAGGTATACAGCTAGATTCATGATGTCAGTTGGTACTTCATGTATATATTAAAATATAGGTACTACCTAGGTATACAGCTATTGCAAAGACGGTATATATATATATACATAGCACTTGGTATTTGCATTGGTGGTTTTAGCACAAATATTACATGATTTCTGTCACACAGCAGATTGAACAATAAAGATTTAGTCTATCATTTACTCAAACATATGGAACAACACACCATCTTCACATAAAGCATATAGTACAGCCCCACCACTCAAGGCTTTCAAGCGAGCTTAGAAGCCTTGTATAGCACACATTTCTAGACATGTATTTTGTGGGCCCTGGTGGCGTCCCTTTCTGTATATGTATATATATATATATATATCCGCCGACCCCTGCCGACAGCAGGGGGAGCGCGTCAGAGGAGGAATTACCAGCAGCAAGGGCCAAGAAGTCATTACAAGCAGCAAGGGCAAGAAGCAAGAAAACATGAAAGAAGAAGCAAGAAGCAAGAAGCAATTACAGGCAACAAGCGGCAAGAAGCAAGAAACAAGAAGCCAGGAAGCAACAAGCGGCTGGAAGACAGGTCAGAGAAGTCATTACAAACAGCAAGGGCAAGAAGCAAAAAAACAAGAAAGAAGAAGCAAGAAGCAAGAAGCAATTACAGGCAACAAGCGGCAAGAAGCAAGAAACAAGAAGCCAGGAAGCAACAAGCGGCTGGAAGACAGGTCAGAGAAGCAAGAAACAAGAAGCCAGGAAGCAACAAGCGGCTGGAAGACAGGTCAGAGAGCTAGTTTTCTTCTCGATTCAGAAAGCAACGTTAGGCAGGCGGCTGGAAGACAGGTCAGAGAGCTAGTTTTCTTGTCGATTCAGAAAGCAACGTTAGGCAGGCGGCTGGAAGACAGCTCAGAGAGCTAGTTTTCTCCGGAGGCTCGGTCCGTCCTTCAGGGCCCTGCTGTTTTGCTGTGGCGAGGGCGCCGTTTGTGAGCCTTGACGGCTGGAAGAGAGCTAGTTTTCTTGTAGGTTCAGAAAGCGACGTTAGGCAGTGGGAGCCGTTGCCCGGAGGCTCGGTCCGTCCTTCAGGGCCCTGCTGTTTTGCTGTGGCGAGGGCGCCGTTTGTGAGCCTTGACGGCTGGAAGAGAGCTAGTTTGGGAGCCGTTGCCCGGAGGCCCGGTCCATCCTTCAGGGCCCTGCTGTTTTGCTGTGCCGAGGGCGCCGTTTGTGAGCCTTGACGGCTGGAAGAGAGCTAGTTTGGGAGCCGTTGCCCGGAGGCTCGGTCCGTCCTTCAGGGCCCTGCTGTTTTGCTGTGGCGAGGGCGCCGTTTGTGAGCCTTGACGGCTGGGAGAGAGCTAGTTTTCTTGTAGGTTCAGAAAGCAACGTTAGGCAGTGGGAGCCGTTGCCCGGAGGCTCGGTCCGTCCTTCAGGGCCCTGCTGTTTTGCTGTGGCGAGGGCGCCGTTTGTGAGCCTTGACGGCTGGAAGAGAGCTAGTTTGGGAGCCGTTGCCCGGAGGCCCGGTCCGTCCCTCAGGGCCCTCCCTGCCGTTTTGCTGTGGCGAGGGCGCCGTTTGTGAGCCTTGACGGCTGGAAGAGAGCTAGTTTTCTTGTAGGTTCAGAAAGCGACGTTAGGCAGTGGGAGCCGTTGCCCGGAGGCTCGGTCCGTCCTTCAGGGCCCTGCTGTTTTGCTGTGGCGAGGGCGCCGTTTGTGAGCCTTGACGGCTGGAAGAGAGCTAGTTTGGGAGCCGTTGCCCGGAGGCTCGGTCCGTCCTTCAGGGCCCTGCTGTTTTGCTGTGGCGAGGGCGCCGTTTGTGAGCCTTGACGGCTGGAAGAGAGCTAGTTTTCTTGTAGGTTCAGAAAGCGACGTTAGGCAGTGGGAGCCGTTGCCCGGAGGCTCGGTCCGTCCTTCAGGGCCCTGCTGTTTTGCTGTGGCGAGGGCGCCGTTTGTGAGCCTTGACGGCTGGAAGAGAGCTAGTTTTCTTGTAGGTTCAGAAAGCAACGTTAGGCAGTGGGAGCGGTTGCCCGGAGGCTCGGTCCGTCCTTCAGGGCCCTGCTGTTTGGGCGTGGCGGAGGCGCCGTTTGTGAGCCTTGACGGCTGGAAGAGAGCTAGTTTTGGAGCCGTTGCCCGGAGGCTCGGTCCGTCCTTCAGGGCCCTGCTGTTTTGCTGTGGCGAGGCTGCCGTTTGTGAGCCTTGACGGCTGGAAGAGAGCTAGTTTTCTTGTAGGTTCAGAAAGCGACGTTAAGCAGTGGGAGCCGTTGCCCGGAGGCTCGGTCCGTCCTTCAGGGCCCTGCTGTTTTGCTGTGGCGAGGGCGCCGTTTGTGAGCCTTGACGGCTGGAAGAGAGCTAGTTTTCTTGTAGGTTCAGAAAGCAACCTTAGGCAGTGGGAGCCGTTGCCCGGAGGCTCGGTCCGTCCTTCAGGGCCCTGCTGTTTTGCTGTGGCGAGGCCGCCGTTTGTGAACCTTGACGGCTGGAAGAGAGCTAGTTTGGGAGCCGTTCGGGCCGGAGAGGCCCGGGTTCAGTCCATCAGGGCCCTGCCGTTTTTTGCTTGTGGCGAGGGCGCCGTTGTGGGCCTTGACGGACTGGAAGAGAAGCTAGTTTCTGTAGGTAGAAAGCGAAGTTAGGCAGTGGGAGCCGTGCCCGGAGGCCGCGTCCGTCCTTCAGGGCCCTGCTGTTTTGCTGTGGCGAGGGCAGCGTTTGTGAGCCTGACGGCTGGGAAGAGAGCTAGTTTGGGAAGCCGTTGCCAGGGAGGCTCGGTCGTCCTTCAGGGCCTGCTGTTTGCTTGTGGCGAGGGCGCAGTTTGTAGCCTTGACGGCTGGAAGAGAGCTAGTTCTTGTAGGTTCAGAAAAGCGCGTAGGCAGTGGGAGCCGTTGCCCGGAGGCTCGGTCCGTCCTGCAGGGCCCTGCTGTTTTGCTGTGGCGAGGGCGCCGTTTGTGAGCCTTGACGGCTGGAAGAGAGCTAGTTTTCTTGTAGGTTCAGAAAGCGACGTTAGGCAGTGGGAGCCGTTGCCCGGAGGCTCGGTCCGTCCTTCAGGGTCCTGCTGTTTTGCTGTGGCGAGGGCGCCGTTTGTGAGCCTTGACGGCTGGAAGAGAGCTAGTTTTCTTGTAGGTTCAGAAAGCGACGTTAGGCAGTGGGAGCCGTTGTCCGGAGGCTCGGTCCGTCCTTCAGGGCCCTGCTGTTTTGCTGTGGCGAGGGCGCCGTTTGTGAGCCTTGACGGCTGGAAGAGAGCTAGTTTGGGAGCCGTTGCCCGGAGGCTCGGTCCGTCCTTCAGGGCCCTGCTGTTTTGCTGTGGCGAGGCGCCGTTTGTGAGCCTTGACGGCTGGAAGAGAGCTAGTTTTCTTGTAGGTTCAGAAAGCAACGTTAGGCAGTGGGAGCCGTTGCCCGGAGGCTCGGTCCGTCCTTCAGGGCCTTGCTGTTTTGCTGTGGCGAGGGCGCCGTTTGTGAACCTTGACGGCTGGAAGAGAGCTAGTTTGGGAGCCGTTGCCCGGAGGCTCGGTCCGTCCTTCAGGGCCCTGCTGTTTTGCTGTGGCGAGGGCGCCGTTTGTGAGCCTTGACGGCTGGAAGAGAGCTAGTTTTCTTGTAGGTTCAGAAAGCAACGGTAGGCAGTGGGAGCCGTTGCCCGGAGGCTCGGTCCGTCCTTCAGGGCCCTGCTGTTTTGCTGTGGCGAGGGCGTCGTTTGTGAGCCTTGACGGCTGGAAGAGAGCTATAGCTATAGTTTTCTTGTAGGTTCAGAAAGCAACGTTAGGCACTGGGGGCCGTTGCCCGGAGGCTCGGTCCGTCCTTCAGGGCCCTGCTGTTTTGCTGTGGCGAGGGCGCCGTTTGTGAGCGTTGACAGCTGGAAGAGAGCTAGTTTGGGAGCCGTTGCCCGGAGGCTCGGTCCGTCCTTCGGGCACTGCTGTTTGGTGGCGAGGGAGCCAGTTGTGAGCCTTGACGGCGGAAGAGAGCTAGTTTGGGAGCCGTTGCCCGGCGCTCGGTCCGTCCTCAGGGCCCTGCTGTTTTGCTGTGGAGAGGGCCGCCGTTGTGGCCTTGACGTGCTGGAAGAGAGCTAGTTTTCTTGTAGGTTCAGAAAGGCAACGTTAGGCAGGGGAGCCGTGCCCGGAGGCCGTGTCGGGCCTTGCAGTGCCCTGATGTTTTGCTTTGTGGCGAAGGCGCCTGTGTGTGAACCTTGACGGCTGAAGAGCCTAGTGTCTTGTAGGTTTCAGAAAGCAACGTTAGGCAGTGGGGAGCCGTTGCCCGGAGGCTCGGTCCGTCCTTCAGGGCCCTGCTGTTTTGCTGTGGCGAGGCGCCGTTTGTGAGCCTTGACGGCTGGAAGAGAGCTAGTTTTCTTGTAGGTTCAGAAAGCAACGTTAGGCAGTGGGAGCCGTTGCCCGGAGACTCGGTCCGTCCTTCAGGACCCTGCTGTTTGGGCGTGGCGGAGGCGCCGTTTGTGAGCCTTGACGGCTGGAAGAGAGCTAGTTTGGGAGCCGTTGCCCGGAGGCTCGGTCCGTCCTTCAGGGCCCTGCTGTTTTGCTGTGGCGAGGGCGCCGTTTGTGAGCCTTGACGGCTGGAAGAGAGCTAGTTTTCTTGTAGGTTCAGAAAAGCAACCGTTAGGCAGTGGGAGCCGTTGCCCGGAGACTCAGTCCGTCCGTCAGGGCCCTGCTGTTTGCTGTGGCGAGGCGCCGTTGTGAACCTTGACGCTGGAGAGAGCTAGTTTCTTGTAGGAGGAGGATAAGCATACCTAGTAGGTTCAGAAAGCAACGTTTAGGGAGGGGGAAGACGTTGCCGGAGGCTCGGGTCGTCCTCAGGGCCCGCTGTTTTGCTGTGGCGAGGCCGTCGTTTGTTGGCATTGACCGGTGTGGAAGAGAGCTATAGATATAGTTTTATTGTAGGTTCAGAAAGCAACGTTAAGGCAGTGGGAGCCGGTAACCGGAGGCTCGGTCCGTCCTCAGGGCCTGGTGTGCTGTGGCAGAGGGCGCCGTTTGTGAGCCTTGACGGCTGGAAGAGAGCTAGTTTGGGAGCCATTGCCCGGAGGCTCGGTCCGTCCTTCAGGGCCCTGCTGTTTTGCTGTGGCGAGGGCGCCGTTTGTGAGCCTTGACGGCTGGAAGAGAGCTAGTTTTCTTGTAGGTTCAGAAAGCAACGTTAGGCAGTGGGAGCCGTTGCCCGGAGGCTCAGTCCGTCCTTCAGGGCCCTGCTGTTTTGCTGTGGCGAGGGCGCCGTTTGTGAACCTTGACGGCTGGAAGAGAGCTAGTTTGGGAGCCGTTGCCCGGAGGCTCGGTCCATCCTTCAGGGCCCTGCTGTTTTGCTGTGGCGAGGGCGCCGTTTCTGAACCTTGACGGCTGGAAGAAAGCTAGTTTTCTTCCAGGTTCAGAAAGCAACGTTAGGCAGTGGGAGCCGTTGCCCGGAGGCTCGGTCCGTCCTTCAGGGCCCTGCTGTTTTGCTGTGGCGAGGGCGCTGTTTGTCTGTTTGTGAGCCTTGACGGCTGGAAGAGAGCTAGTTTGGGAGCCGTTGCCCGGAGGCTCGGTCCGTCCTTCAGGGCCCTGCTGTTTTGCTGTGGCGAGGGCGCCGTTTGTGAGTCTTGACGGCTGGAAGAGAGCTAGTTTTCTTGTAGGTTCAGAAAGCAACGTTAGGCAGTGGGAGCCGTTGCCCGGAGGCTCGGTCCGTCCTTCAGGGCCCTGCTGTTTTGCTGTGGCAGAGGCGCCGTTTGTGAGCCTTGACGGCTGGAAGAGAGCTAGTTTGGGAGCCGTTGCCCGGAGGCTCGGTCCGTCCTTCAGGGCCCTGCTGTTTTGCTGTGGCGACGTTAGGCACTGGGAGCCGTTGCCCGGAGGCTCGGTCCGTCCTTCAGGCTCGGTCCGTCCTTCAGGGCCCTGCTGTTTGTGCGTGGCGGAGGCGCCGTTTGTGAGCCTTGACGGCTGGAAGAGAGCTAGTTTGGGAGCCGTTGCCCGGAGGCTCGGTCCGTCCTTCAGGGCCCTGCTGTTTTGTTGTGGCGAGGGCGCCGTTTGTGAGCTTTGACGGCTGGAAGAGAGCTAGTTTTCTTGTAAGTTCAGAAAGCAACGTTAGGCAGTGGGAGCCGTTGCCCGGAGGCTCGGTCCGTCCTTCAGGGCCCTGCTGTTTGGGCGTGGCGGAGGCGCCGTTTCTGAACTTGGAAAGCTGGAAGACGGCTACTTTTCTTGTAGGTTCAGAAAGCAATGTGGGGCATTGCCGTGCGGTGCGGCGACCTTAAGCTGGAAACTTCATCAGGTATGCACGCGCCACTGGTTGGTGCGACACTGCCGGCCGCTGGGATTGCGATGCGTTACCCGAATTCGGCCGGAAGCCAGTGTTGAGTGCACCACCGTGCCGCATGTTGGACATGCATGCGAATATGTGCGACCTGCGAGCAGGCCATTGGTAACGCGAAATTGTTTGCCGCAGCCATTACCGCGGCGGTGATCGACGCGCCCTGTTGCCACAGGGCTTTGCACAGACTTGGCACAGTACGGGCAGATGTATATGTGCAGTCGTGGCGGTGCTGTGTCAGGCCCGACAGCAAGCTGCTGGTTCGATGAGTGGGCAGTGTCCGTTTTGGGACCTTCTGCTCGCGTGGAAGTTTGTCTTGCTTCGTGTATTTCCTGAATTTCCTTGCGAACGTCCTCTAGGATTGCTGCGTGCCGGTGGCGGGTTTCGCGTTGGCGCAAGCGGGCCAGGCGTTGATTCGTGCGATGAGCAAGACGGCAAACGAAGGCAAAGGCTGTGCATGCGTTGCATACTTGTGTGCCGTTTTGAGTATATTCACGACCTTGTTGCCAAGCTGTAAACTCTGTTCGTGGCTTGCGTTCCGCGCACTGGCGACATTGCCAACAGCCGCGTAGTTTGGTGGCACATTCTCTGCAGCAGCGGCGATCCGCGTTGCGAGCTTTCCATGCGGCTGCGCCAAAGTCGGATTCTGCTTTCACAACGCCACACTTGAAACAAGGTTTCTTCACTTCACATGTCAAACACACACGAAAAAAACTACACTGCCGTTGACGATGCTTTGCTGGAAAATTGTCTTCGGCATGCCACAGCTTGCAAACGTTGCATTGCCACGGCGTTCCTGCGTCTGCGTAGTGCTTTGTGCATTCGCGACAGACGCGATCCTTGTCCTCGCGCTTCCATTGACCGGTCGTGAAGGCTGCTGCTGGCTTGCGTTCCGTACAGGTTGCACACCGACGTTCTTCGCAGTATTTGGCCAACAACGATTGCCAGTTGATGAAATCCCCTCGAAGGTGTCGCAGAAGAAGGTCTCGGCCCAAACCAATTCCCTTTTGGAATGGAGCGGCGTCAAAAGGTCGAAAAATCAACAATTTTTCGCGTCCTGTGACGCGAGTGATCGCGACATAGACCGTGAAGGGATTTCCTGTGGGACCTATACAAAGATCCGTCATCACCCCCTCTTTGATGGTCTGTCCTTGCGCCACATGCGCGGTGATGGCGAACTGGGGTGCGAGCGGGAATTGCGTCCGCGATACACGCAGCTTGGGGCGTTGGCGTTGCCGGTCTAAGTACCACACACGCCTGCAAGTTCCGACGGGGTATACGTTTGCATCCGGCAGACCTGGCACATGCCATGAGGTTGCGGTTTCAAACCTCACATACACCACGGCCGGCAAAGTGTTGCACACGACTCCTTCCGGCGCAGGCGTCTCATTGGCAATCGTGGACCGACCGACGACGTAGCCCTTGGTGCCTTTTAGAATGCCACGCTTCCGGTCGAGGTGATCTGTTGCACGGACAGGCATGCCGACGCACAACGGCAACACGCCGTACAGTCCACCGCACTCTTTGTCGTGTCGCTGCAACCATTGCAATTTCTCCGTCGTCAAATTCGGCTTCTCCTGCACGACCACAGACGACGCAACATCTTGCGCAACAAATAAATACGGTTGCTTGTCTCTGGCATTCGCCCACTGTATGGCGCGAAGCTTGTTCACGTGGTATTTGATGTCGTTGGTGCCGAAAATCGCGACCGCATCTGCAAATTCCTTCTGGAACCGTGTGTCCGCAGCTCCTTGCGCCACAAGTATGCGCGAACGGCGATCCGCCGCACAGTAGCTGCATTCAGCCTCTTGTATGGCTTCTGGAATTAGGCCTTGTGTAGGCAACGCGGCGCAACTTGGTTGTTGGCACGTCGCCTGCCCAGCAATCCAGCTGCCTAGCACTGTGGTAGGCCGCCCGTGCAGAAAGCGATGGTTATTGTCGGACAAGTCACCATGGCGCAGTTGCTCACGCGCCACAGAAGATATGCCCAGGGGTCGGCGGCAGGGGGCGGAGCCCTTTATATAGGATAATATAGGTCTGTCCTTGGAGACCTCACAGTTGACCATGTCAAATTGCATGGGTCCAGGGATTCGGTACCTTCACTTCTGCAGGACAACATTGCAGGCTTGCACTTGGAGTGCTACTCCACCCCCTAATAGGCCCTAGTTACAGTAACTTCTCGCGTTTTTCATCAGTACCATTCAGCACCACCCACAAGGCGTTGGGCAGTCCCGGGTCACATGTCCAAAATTCGCAGATCGTTCCGGATCTTTTTGTAGAACTGAAATGGCTGGGACCTGACATGGTCACGTGACTCGACCCCTCAAGCATCAAATCCAAAAAAGATTAAGAACCGGACAAATCGCCGGTCATTTCCACCAAGGCTTTCCGGATGACAGGCTTGTCCTGTTCTGGAACACCATTGGACCGGTAAACACACAGTTTTTGGATCTGAGACAGAATCAAACCAACTTTGCTCCCTCTTACAGCACAAATCAGGACAAATCAGGACAATGTCTCAATTACCCTCGCCTTGCCCTTACGCCTCTCGATGACACACAAGGATGTGACTGGCACACCACCGCATTGCCATTCCTGGGAGGGCAAAGAGCAAAGGAATGCTCTCCTGATTGCTCAAAGAGTCTGAAAATGTCTGAAAGGTCAAATGAAGTTGGCACAATGGGCTCTCCATTGCTTCCTCGGAAAGTACTGCGGTCCCTGCCTTGCAAGGAGCCAGCAAATTCTTCACACTCGCAATAAGACCTGTACAGCCGTTGACCTCGGCGATGCAAAAGAGCTGGAACACAGCGAGGAGAAAGGTGGACACTTCAACTTCCTATGATTCCTCTGGATACCTGCATGGTAGCAAGGACAACTATGACAACTAACAGCTCAGTTTCAACTAACACATAAACATACATAAACTAATACATATCAATACTGAATCAGTACAGCCTTCAAAAGAAAGGCAGGATGAAGAACTTCAAAGAAGGACATTATAGAGCAAGATGGAGCAATATTTGTCCATACATCTTTTGACGGGACACAGTTGCATTTGTTATCACGTGCTCATTTTGATTTATTTTGTACGTACAATGTGCATGGGGGAGCCGTGTCCTGTATTGCGACAGTCCCGCTCAAATGTGGCAGCTGAAACTAAGGTGAGGACAAGCAGCGACGATGCTGTATATCCCAATGCCTGACATCTGAAGGCACCATGCCAGATAAAGCGAGATACAGATAGATACAAAGGTTCCATTGCAGCATCATCTTATGGTCTGCACCAAAGCAAATAATAAAGCCAGCTCAGCATAGCAATACGATGAATCGAAAACGGTGGGCCTGAGGCTCAGAAGACATACAGAATGACTCTCAAAGCGGTGACTGATTTTGAACAGTTTGGAGCAAGACAATTTCTTTGTGATCATGTCCACGCGTCTTGCCAGCCCTGAACTCGCAAATTGTGCCCCTGTGAGTGCGGCCATTGTGAGCATCTCATCTCCCCAAACTGTCTGACAATCCAAGGTATTATGATGCACTTTGCATATTTGCGGTATGCGGAGTCAACAAAGGACCGAGCATGCCCGCACGACCTTCGTATCCGAAAGCATGGAACTGAGGAGAGAAGGTGCCCTTGTACCTCATTAGAGTCATACAACAGATTTTTCAAGATCTGAGTGATTGCGCCTGTGTGCACAACCTCTGCTGATATCTGCAAGCATCCTTCTGTATTTGCTGGGGAAGTTTACATGGGGAATCATGGGGATATAAATTGCTGACAGACAAACACACACTGGTGACACGCAGTCATTTCTCTTTGTTTTGGTTTTCTTCCCACCAGGGTTGCGTCAAAGAAACCCTGAGGCTCTACGATTCTCCAGCTCGCTTTGAACTGTCGCAGCCAGGAGCTTTTCGGTCTCAATCTTTGCCACCTTCCAAGACAAGTTTCTCCGTGATCTTTCAGATTCTTTCAGACAATTTCAATTGAACCAATACCTGAAAAACGGACGAGGCCTGACTAGAGTTATATAGAACTTATGTATGTGTCAAGCAGAAAGATTTACAACAAAGTACAGAGGTCTGCAGGTTTGGAGGCATCAAGTATGTCGTTTCTACCCAACCTGTACATTGCCATGAGGGTCTCGGTCAAGCAAAAGCTGCGCACGAATGAAGGCAGGCAAATACCTACCGGCAGCTGCCAAGGCTGCCTAGCTTTTTCAGCTAGCCACACTCTCACAATCTTTCACAACTGTAGATACTCACACCATTCACATCCATTCACTACATTCGCCACGGGTAGATGGCCTGAAGCAGTCGGCATTTTCCTTGGAGAGAACATTCAGAATGGCCTCGTGCATATTGAATCAACTGAATCAAGTCAAACATAGGGATTCCATGGAATTCCATGGGATTCCCATGGATTCCTTGGTTCGCGAAACGGCAATGAATAAAACAAGCACGCCCATACCGACACGGGCACTGCCACAAACGCAGACACCTCCCACAACTGCCAAATGCTGCCGCCACCACCCCCACCAGCAGCAACAACAACCACCACCAGACGCTTACAGTTACAGCTTAATTACATTTACTTACACTAACACCAATACTAACAACATCTAACAACTATCAATGAAACTAACACTGGAACCAACACTGAAACTAACACTCCCAGCAAGACAAAGTAGCCACAGTGCATCCTTCAATGCTTTCTTTCCCACCAACTACCGCGGCTGGAAAGTCTCTGAAACCACGCGATAGCTTCCGCTCGACTGGTCCAGAATGAATCAATGAACGTGCTAATTTTTTGGGCCAAGGATGACGCTTGCTTCTGATGCTGCATGCTTTTCCTATTCGACTCTTCACCATTAACAAGCCGTGTCAAACTTGTCATCAACCCGCCTCTTCAGTTGGTTGGATTTCTGGCTGAGCGAGCTTGTCGTTGATTTCAGAGATCAGGGAATTGAATTCGGGAATGAACCTTGGCCAAACCAAAAGTGCTGATGTTGTCCATGGCAAATAACAATACTTGCTACTGCTAATCATGAAGCAGGACGAGGCAAGGTCATCCAAATTGAGTCTGATGCTCAATCAAACCTTCTGGAAGGAGTATGACGCCGTAGTCCTGTGTTGATGCAGGAAATTTAGGCTCTACTGCTCATGCTGCCCCAGCTGGGTGGTGAATTGTCGCAGTAACATATTAGACAACGTAGTCGTGGATCATATCAACAATCATTTCAACGCGATGTTAAACAATACCAACATAGAATAAAATGCGACGAGTGGCTAACCAACCCCTGCAGTATTGGATAGATTCACCTATAGAATTGTCGCAGCTCAAGCAGGCTCAAGCAAGCTCCTTCCCATCCTTGCTTCGTGCTTCGATCATGTCCTGATCGGCATGTCTTCACTCAAAAAAAATGCAACATCTTGGCATCAAATACTCAAACTGATTGAGGATCTGGCGGCCAGTTCTATTGTGATGTCTTTCAAGCTTTGCTTTTGTTCTGCAACCTGAGTTCAGCTATCACGAATGATTGACATGGTCAACCAGTTTGGCTTCACTGACTGTCTCGCCTCTTCTCCCAACAAGCAGGCATTGGGGTGCGTCAGAAGCGCCTCATCATGAAACTATCATGAAACCACTGCAACCAGTGCAACTCCAACGACTTGTATCCTCTTTTGCATCACAGTGTCAACCAGCGTCAACCGCCCGCCAAAGATAAATGGATTGGAGCTTGCTGTGTCCATTTCCAGCAAGGCTGAGCAACATACCACTTCCAAGGCAATGTTGGAGGCTGAACGCCCCATCAAACGGACCAGGTGGTAATACCTCTTCTGCGGTCTCATGTAACTACAATCACATCGCAACCAAGCTTGCTGAGCAACGAGCAAAATTATCATGCTCGCACTCTCTTGTATTGGCGCACTTCTGGGCACTGAGTGCGTCGACTGCGACATTGCCTCATTATGCATACCCTTAGAATCTTCTGAACAAGTCAACAGCATATCAGCATCGACCAACACTGCAACACAAAAAGCATCAAAAAGCAATGTGAAAAGCCCATGCCAAAGTGTGCCGGACCATCTGAAGACTGGCGAAATCCGTCGGCCTACCAATGTCGCGTAGGTCTTGCAGGCTGTGTCGAAGCCAAACGACACAGGCAAGTGCGGTGGGCACCTTTGAGAACGGTGAACGACAAGAAATAATCAGAACATTGTGCAGGTTTGTGCAACACGGACCAGTGATTGCTGCATGTATCTCCTTTGGAGAACACAACAAAGGAGACACAAAGGATACAAAATAATCCAACATGAGGCACTTCAGATCTCCATCAATGGTCTTGGGAGCACCGATCACCTTCGTCTTGCAGCCATTTGCCTGGTGCTCATCTTCCATTTCAAATCCATGTTGGAGATCTGTAACCATTCATAAGGCTCCACAGTTTGATGCCTTGAAGTACTCCGCCAAAACTGCGCCGTTGGTGTTTGAGTCCTTGGGGGCTGGGTGAAGTCGAAACTCTCAGAGGGGATCGCTTCAGGTGGAAACCAATCCAACATATCCATTAATTATATATATATAATATCCCATAATTCTTCTTCAAGTATTCATGCTGGTGCCTGCTAGTTCGTCATGGAACTCACTTTGTTTGGGATCTCATTCCCACAACTATATATAGTCTTTTTTTGCTAGCACTAGCAGGTATGATAGATATGTCAGTCACCAATTAATTTACTTGGAGAAGTCCAACCTACACAAAAATGAAACTTTGACTTCTTGATACTTTGTGGATATTCAAACCCGCGCCGTGTACTGTACACATGTTTGAGTAAATGAACAGTTTGAGGATTTTGAGCTCTTTCGTATGACATGTCTACGGCCGCTGCCTATTGGCACGTGCATTGGAACTTGTTGTGGAAACCCAAATCAAGCAAAAATGGTCCTGAAATGTTCTGAAACAAAATATCATGTTCAACCCCTCAAAGAGAGTTTCGATCGTCTACAATGGTTGGAACTGCAGTCGTGCGCCTGCATGTATTTTGAGTTTGTCACGCATGCCCCACGTAGTCAGTGTGATTCTCCCGATCATCGTTTCTCTTTGATGATCTTTCCCAGCTCTGATTTGTGCTGAGTTGCATCTCCGCCGATGACGACCAAACCATCAAGGCCTATGGCATTGCACACCTGAAGCTCAGAGAACGTCAGGGAACATCCGAGTTCAAAAATTTGACTGTGTGACATGCATGACCATGTATCTAGATGATAGGTACGTAATGATACTAAACACTATCATGCATGTCAAAATTTGCTCAAACCAGTTCTGGGAAAAAGTTTGTGCATGCACATGGCAGAAGCTTCAATTTCATTTACCGACGTGAACAATGCTCAACTCATAACGACCCAAAGCCAATGGTGCAAAGCACTCTCTCACTGCATCCCTGCATTTCTCATAGTTGCCATGACAGCAAGCAGTTTGCTCGAACTGTGAAGCCGACTGTCATAGAGTCTCGGAATTGCTCCTGTACATTTCTTCACAGCGCATTGCTTGATTAAAGCTCGAGTCCGGGGCTGAATCGAATCGTGTCGATATCGAAGCATTGTTTTGTTGGTTTGTTTGCCTTGTGCTGTCTTGTTGTGACAAGGACCTGGATAGTGATCGGATAGTGCACGGTGCACAGATACAGCATCCCAGGCTGGCAAGACTTTCGACGGGCAAAACGTGGTGCAAACATCTCCAAGACATCTCTCCTCTGTCTCGATCTTGTGCCGCCCACTGCCCAGCATGTCGAAGCCACCTGATTATGTCCATTGGGAAAAACACCAAGAAAACCTGTGAAAGGATCAAGAAACATCAAACAACCTGCGTATAACCTGCGTTACAGCAATGTCATGAAATGTTCCTGTCAGAACATTGCACTCAATTTGCCATGTAATTTGCGATGTACAGTAATTTAATGTAATTTAAAGATTAAGATATGTAAAGATTATCTGACTTTAATATGTAAAGATATGTAAAGTGCAAATGCCCAGCAGATTCCAGGAGCCGCACCTGTATTGCGAAAGCCATCCATGATCTCATCGGTAATGACAACGAAGTTGCCAGCAAAAACCCCATGAGGTCCATCCAGGAATCCGTACATGGTCGAGTTCTCACAGGGCAGCGGGCAGCTCGGTCTGAGTTTCTTTTGACATCTTTTGACTCTACGTCGAATTGCAACACGTAGATGTCAAAAAACTATCAAAATGTCAGCTACCCGAAACACTATTCAAGCACAAGCACAAACAGTCAAAAATCATGGAAAATTATGGAAATACTGTATGTTCTCAAATATGTTCAACACCCACGGAGAAGTCCATGTAGCGACGCGCCTCGTTCCATGCCTTGATGCCATCAAAAATGCCAGCGATGACGTTGTGGCCGCCAGGAGCCTCGTAGCACTGCCATTCGAAACATCCGCAACTTTGAATATGGAAAGAATGGGAAAAACAATGAAAGAAAATGCAAGAAATGTATCGTGCTGGAAACAAGCTAATGCTTTTCAATATTTTTTTATGCTTCGTATAATGCTTCGTAATGCTTTGTACAGGAAACCATTGGTAAGAAAAAATCTTCAAAGGCTCGAACTTGACCACCCGACAGCACGACGCCAACCTTCACGGGGTCCTGCAAAGAAATGATAAGAAATGTCATAGTCCCTGCACAGCAACAGTAAAACGAACAGCCCGTCAAGCAGGTGCCTTGTCTATGCATGCGGCTCCAGCTTCAAACTCCACCAGAGGAATGCCCTAACAAAGAAAATGAAACAGGAATCATGAACCAAAAGATCTACAAAGCAGGTCGGAGCTGACAAAATGGAATCAAGGGGGGAACCACTATTCCAATAGTTTGCCAATGATCTGGTTGAAATTTTCTAGTCTGCGAAGCTCTCATGTACTTGTCTTTATTGCAACTACATTGACTACATGTTGCAACATGGAGGCGGCCAAGAGCCAGGCAGAGGTGTTTGGAAATAGTTTCTTGATTGCCTCGGCGTGCTGAGCTGGAAGCTATTGCAGGATTGCACGTGTGTTGATGGCCATGACTTGAATTGACAAACGAGACGGGAGAACACCGCATGAGAAGCAACGGAAGAGACACAGGGAAAAAAATGAGAAAAGAGTATACCCTGGCAAGTACATGCAAGTACCATATGACTGGCGAGAATTCAAAGGGCAACTTTTTGAGCGGATCGATCCAGACTAATATCACCAAATCGAGCAGTGGAAAGCAACACTGCACTGCAGGAAAGAAGCGAAAAGAAGAGTAGAACCAGAAGAGGAATTATGACCTCCTAAAGGAAGTGTGCATGCATAGGGAGGAAGTATGTGTCAGTCGTATATGTAACTGCACGCACAGGGAAAACTAAGTTTGAACTACCTGTCTAAGACTCTCGGAAGTATCAAACATCCGCTGTGCGCATTTTAAACTTCGCCTGAATGCAAGAAATCGAATATATCACAAGGTGACCCAGCCACCATCCCTGGCCTCTGCATCCTTCGGAGAAGCAGCCACGGCCTTTCCAGAGGACACCACCGTGCTCATGGAATTTCATGGATACCATTGGATGCCTTTTCAATCTTTTCATATCTTTTCAATCTTTTCCCCACTCAGAAGTCCCACATTCACAGTCTTTGCACTGCACCTCCTTCTTTACGGCTCTTCCGCCAGCGAGCAAGACATTTGGCAAATAATCCTCGAATCATCAGCGCCACAAACCCAAAACAACCTTTCAGGGACTTGCAAAGAACAGAAAGCCGTCCCTCTTGCTGGGCAACAGTCTGTCCTTACAGTCAGCCTTTAACCGCTCCTTCTGAAGCGAACTGTAAGCCTGACCAGCTGAAAAGCTGAGAGCACGGATACTGTAACATGAACAACAAAGTGTAAACAATGTTCAAGCACATTCAAGCCATGTTCTTTTTAATGTTCATTAATAGTTCATTAATGTTCACTCCGTTTCGCGCTCCTTCCGGGCCCGGTCGTATGCAGTGGGACTGGTCTTGGGGGCCATGACCTCAAGTTGAGCATATCTCAGTGACTCTGCCCTTAGTATCGGCAAACAGCAGCAAATCCATCCAAACCATCCAACCATCTTGAAATATCCAATGTAAGTGGCAGCCTATCGTTGGCTCCAGGATCAAGTTCTGCTCTGGGCTTCAAAACTGTGCTCGCCACGCTCAAGCCAAAAACAGTGCGGACAGCGATCGATTTATGTGACGTGTGCCACAAAATGTCAAAGTGTCATGAATGAGATAATTTGAGCATGTTTGTCAATTCCGCCCTGCAGTGTTACTACACTTGCTCCACTGCGTCCTTGTAGATGGGCAAGTCAAGCATGCTGGTGTCGACCTCCAGAGGCACGCAGGCAATTTCTAGCAGCCCAAGCTTTACCTCAATTTAAAGAGCTGACACACCATCGGCCTTACAGCACAATCTATGACATGTTTCAGTGGCTCACAGCTCTGCTTCGACTGCATGACACTACGGGATACTACTAATTACATGTATATAAGTAGTATATGCTAGTTGTGTAATCCCAAAATAGTGGCGACTTCCTTGTTTGGCATTCAGCTGGGTCTGACGTCATGCTTTTTCAACGGCTGCTGGTCTTGGACAACTCTATACAAAGGTGCTTCAGGCGCGGAATGCACCGAAAATTGCCTTGCAAATCCCATAAGGACATGTGATTTGGTGCACCCAAACCATTCAAAGATTGGCATCAAGCATTTGAGATACCAAGCTATCCTTGTCAGAAAGCAACGCAGTCCATCTAAGAATGTGCCCCCTTTGAGTGCTCCTCAAACTTTACTTTTTGCCGTGGATCTCCAGCAAGTTGAACCCGCAGGCCACTCTAGAGGCGGGACTCACAGTACTGACTGTACACCTTGAATTGTCTGCAAATCGCCTCAGCCAGCGGACGAAGCAGACTATTGAACGATGAAGAAAATTGTCATAGAAATGGAAAACACAACTTTCCCAAACAAACAGAAAGCTTAAAAGAAAGAATGACACATCAATTCTTTTGAGCCAGGAAAGAAGACAAACAACGCACAGAGTAGACCAAATTCATCAATCCAAGAAAAACACAACACAAAGCCGGAGCAGGAAGTGAGGCCAAACATAGGCTATTCAGTCATGAATAGAGGACATCTGAAACAAAAATGGTGGGGACATATCCGATCAGCGATAACTTTCAAAAGAAGTTGAAAGGTGCACGCTTCCTTCAGGATCTCCGGTCCGTGATGATAGGCTTCGGGATTGGACTTTCGTATGTTTCCGGGTTCGATTTTCATGTCGTTGGCGCATCATTGTCATCGTTCATGAAGTGCTACTATAGCCAATCTTCCACAAATGAAGATGAATCAACTAATTTTTTGATGTTTCGATTTGGAACAACTAGAACGATGCTCAACGCACACGACCGCGCTGCTCGATATCGGATGACATTCTGTTTCCAAAATCTTCAAAGCACATCGCCAAGGCACTGTGCAAAGCACAAAAATCATCTGGAGTTATGAAACCTGGTGGAATTCCATGGTGGAAACATCCGAAACTAAATGAAGATAATGAAGATTGAATTCCATGGAATTCCAAATTCTGAACATTTCTGAGCATAGTGCATGAATAGTAAAGAATCTTTGAAATCTCTTCATTCCACATTTTTCTTGGCATCCCACGGACATCCAGCTTGACAGACTGCCAGCGAGTCCGCTCATCTACCTTAGCGGATAAATCTGAGCATCTCAGCCTTACTGCAATCATCTACAAGCTAAGGACAACTTGGTACGTACAACTTGGTACAACCTTTGCGGATCTTTGCGGGCCTTTTTGGAACAAGTGGCAGTCACTGTGATCGGATCCCAGCCGAGCACCTTGAAGACGGATTCCTGCCATTTTTAAAATTCAAAGCTTTGCTCAGGATCTGATAGAATCTGATCGAATGACATAGAATATCATAGGATGAAGTGCATCCTATACGCACCGATTGGCTTCATCTGTGCCAAGATAATCTTTACCGTTATTTATATACCGTTGGTCTCCCCCCAGAGTATGAATCTCCCGAAGAAAAACTGTCAGAAAGCATGGAACGAGTGTCGGTGGGTGCATGTGTGAAACACTGCAATTGTACGGAACTGCGTTTTGCCCATGCGCATCACATTGGATTCTGCATACTCACTCTGCAACCACACCGGCCCCATACCCCACCAAAATGCAGGGTCGTTATGAGCAGTTGGGTTTTCAAACACTAGTCTGAACATATCTGAACTAGCTCACAAATGCAAAGAAGGAAAATATATACATGGGAAAACGCGTGACACTGTGCAAATGGGAATCCAAGCATTCATTGGTTTTATTGCGTTGAACTGCAGCAGAACAAAGGAAAGGAATATGAATAAGAGGAGGGAAAGAAGGGGCAGGAAAAACGAGGAAAGGAGGAAGGAAAGAAGAGGAGGAAAAGGAAGAACAAGAAGAAGACGAAGAAGCGAAGAAAATGCAGGGCAAGGGAAACAACATCTCTGTGCTTCCTTTTCAGCGGTTTGTTTATCACAAGTATCAAACAAAGATGTCTGTGAGAAAATCAAACGACACCTACGAGCATGTGCTTGCTTCGCTTTAGAATAGTGTGGCAAGTTTTCTGTTGAGGATGATGGGATGTGTACGAATTCGCCATGGTTCATATAACAACATGCAAATGAAGCAGAATGATACAATGTGATGCTGCCAATGAATCGAACTGTATGACATTATATGCAGGTCTCTAGGTCTTCTCTGAGTCAATGTCGGTTCAATGAGCCCTGCAAGTGCAAAATCATCAACCTAGACCATCAGTTAAATCCTTTAAAATCACATTTCAATTTCATTTGGTCAAGACATCAAAGGCATCAAATCGGTGACCACCCAACGTCCTGCACATCACGACGAAATGTCTCTCCACTAGGTCCAACAACTACAATGCCTTGGAGGTCTGTGCTACTGCCACCGACTGCCTACTTCTGACGCAATGCTGATGCAACGCTGATAGAACATGTCTTGTTCTTCAAAGTTGCGCAGAACCCGTGGCCAGGATTCGTCGCTGATTAACCTGAGAGTGGAAACTTCCGCTGAACAAAATTGGACACATGCGTCGGGAGATACAATACGTGGCACATTTACTGGACTCCAGTCTGCATTCTGCTCTTGAAAGTCAACGAGGATACAACCTGCGGTAAACTCCTCTATATTCTTCGAAGTCGTATCTGCGACCCGCCTTGCGAAACAATGTGGAACATGTATATACTTCAAGAAATGCTTCGGATCAACTTATCTTAATGCATCTGACAAGACAGCATGCATGGTTGATCACTGTGTCGCTTTGGAATTGTGCACTCTCATGTACTCAGTCTCGATCCTGGGCCTCTGAACTTGAAGACTGCCTGACACCAAGGCAGAATGTGATAGTTTAAAGTTTAAAGAAACGCACAATGTCTTTTCGTTTTAATCCCAGTTCCATTCCTGCAGTCTGCAAGTCTTGCTTTGTGGTTCGTCTCACTTGAATACCCCTGAAAGGCGACAGAAAACCTGATACATGCTTGCCTGTAGTGCATGTGAATATGTGCACTTATAGATAGATAGATAGATAGATAGATAGATAGATAGATAGATAGATAGATAGATAGATAGATAGATAGATAGATAGATAGATAGGATTAGATTAGATTAGATTAGATTAGATTAGATTAGATTAGATTTAGATTTAGATTAGATTAGATTAGATTAGATAGATAGATAGATATGCACACACATATGTATCTGTATGTACTTATATTATATATGTATATACACATGTATGTATTTTATGTTATCAGATTGTCGTGTAGGATTATGCAGATATATGATATATAATGATATATTCAGATACATAATCATACACATCATACAGTATATGTCTACGATGGATTGCAATGGATTGCAATGGATTGCAATGGTAATCCATGGTGTGGCAAGTTTTAAAGAGAGCTTCTGGAGACAGCCTCAAATACATGCGTATAAATGTAAGAACATGTGCATAGATGAAGTCATAGATGTATCCAAAGATGCTTAATCCCTCCTAATTATACAACGTCGATGACTGATTCAGAGTGACATAATCAATGACCATGCATCTACAGTATTTTCATATCATGTTCAACATTATTGTTCAATACTATAATATATATATATAATTATTAATATACATATTTCCATTGATTACTGCAGATGACATCTAGATTGTCAAAAAATGCAACATTCAGGCCGAAACCCCTGTGTCGAACGTTTCAACTTTGGCATTGATGTAGGCAGGACAACTAACTGCCCAAGACCCTCTACTGCATTGGCCCTTCCTCACTTTCCCGTGCTGCAAGATGCTTCAAGATATCTTAGATGAGGTGATGTATATACGTGTGATAAATACCAACAGTTCCTAGCGCCTCGAATTCTGCAAGAACCCCTGAAATCAACCCCCGAAATCGTCCAAGAATGTGAAAACATTCGGACAACCTCGTCAGCTCGCTTGGCTCTGATGGTGTGTGCTGCTCCTTAACATTTCCAAGAGTTGTGGTCATTGGCCAGCAAGGGAAGAGCCAGCAACAAGTACAAGTGAGCTCTTGATTTCCCAATAATACCCTTTTATAGAATGTCGTAAGATATATCAACAATATATCAACAATATATCAACAATATATCAACAATATATCAACAATATTCAAGAATCTAAGGCCAGGCTATGATATGATATTCACTGACGGGAAATCCTGTCAACTCCTGTCTACTTGTGGCCCAGATTCATCGGGATGCGCGCATCGCGTGACAGAGCCTCTCAAAAAAGAACGCCACATTACGGGCTCTAGATGACCATGCTGCACTATCCTGCACTATGCTGCACTATCCTGCACTATGCTGCACTGTAATCTCAGATAATCATGGATGATAGTCCTGTAATTACAGCATTGCCTTCCTGACCAGTTGCTTTTTCTGCACATTCCAAACTAGTGATAGAGACCCTCCAAACAGCAGAGTCTCTGCTGAGAATGAAAATAGAACTAATGTCACAACTCTGCAACAGAAACCCTTTGGCAAACGCTAAGCCTCGGAAGATATTGGGCTTGAAATGTTCCAGTTGGCAAAAGGCGTTTCTAGAAACCTCAGAAGCAACAGCAGGAGCGCGATGGGAGGCTCCTGAAACTTCGGGTTGTTGCGAGACAGAAAGTTGCACAGGATTGTCTGCGAGGCTACAAGTAGTGTCTGGGACCCGTGATCCTTTTGGACGTTTTGAATCATTTCCACGCAACAACTTTGTCCTCAAGCTCATGAATTGTCTGTTCATGCAAAGTGGGGAAGCCATTTACCCATGTCATACATAACTCACAAGACTACGGATCGCAACGCTTTACTCAATACAAGTATCTATCATTATCTATACTAGTTTGGATGGTGATCTGATCTATTCAGCAAAGCTGGGCAAGCTGCTGCTTCCTCTGTTTTAGTATCAAGCATAAAAAGGAACAAGGATGCCAGAGAGGAGCAGGTGTCACAATGCAATATCCATGGCACGCGATGTGAAAGGAGGATGTCTCTCTGCAGCCACAGGGCAAAGACGCACAGAAGCATGGCCAGACTCACCCGGCTGCATCTTGAGAAATCTCCTTATTTAAGCAGGTCCAAGAATCGATAATGCCTGGGCTTTTGCCTATTGTATTTTCTCAATCTTTGGATTATCTTTGGTGTCCTTTCATATGGAATTTCAGAGTAAGTCATTGAGGCTGCATATCGAACGTGGATGAACACGACAACCTTAACGTGGACTTCCTATGTGTTCTCTGCATTTCTCTGCTGCAAGTGCAGCTTGGTCACGTCGAGGAAACATATTCATCACATTCAAAAGTGGCGAGGTCAATGCCGCAGCTCAGAAAAATCCGATCTAGTCTTGGCTTGACAAATTTGACAATGACTTTTGATGTCTTTTAAGAACGAAGCAGCTTTAGTGCTTTGACAGTGTGAATCTTTTGGTTGTTCCTGCGGTAAGCTTTTGAGATCAACCTGCGTGGCCAAAGATCCCCAATTTCACGGGTTTATCATGAGATTAACGGCCTGATTCATGAAGCATTGCCTGCCTGGGCCTATCTTTGACGCTGGCGGCAGCAGTCCCAAGATGCGACAAAGTCTTTCAGCAGGCTTTCCCTTTATGGTCTGCTCTGGCTGCTCTATTCTATGCACCATGACCATTGGTAGTCTTTTTCAAATGCCTACACTCTTCATCACTCTTCAGTGTCCCATATGGCAAATTCATGACACATGTCCTCAGGTGTGTTTCTTTTTCTGTGGTGCTACAATGCTTTACACTTTGACACTCTGCAGCTCAAAGGAAATTGTGCAACAGTAAGAGTCTGCAATCTCACCTCCCAATTGGTGCGAGGAACTTCACCTCATTGCTCACATGTCAGGATAAAAACATCGGACAAACCTGCACACTGGGGCTACGGGCACAAATCAAAACACATACTAGTACTGCTTGTAAATTACGTCGGTCAAACATTGTCTTAGATTCAGTGAAACTTTCGCGTCTACTTGCATCTTGTACTTGCATGTACTTGTATCGTATCAGTTTGCAATAATCATAATGACAACAACTAGTGTCGATGTGTACCTACAGTTGATGGACAAAAAAAACTACAGACGCCTACCAAATAAAACCCCAGGCCCCAAAGTTCAATGTTGCACAAAGCTGTATATTGTTTCCGCTGCGTAAGGGTTTGATTCTTTGTCCACCGGCCCGAAGCGGGCAGCCCAAAGGCAACATTGAAATTTGGGGATGCAGGGGACAACAATACAGCAGGGGTTTGATTTCATCGTCCATCTACGGTAGTTGTATTTACTTGCATCTGCATACTTTGTTCCTTTGCAGTGTTTGTTCTTCTGAGGCCTTCAAATCTGAACAGACTACACTTAGACTTGCTACTGCGAAAACATCAGCACATCAACCACTTAGTTCAGCACTGGTGGCCTGGCCAACCTGCACGCTTTGAATGCTTCGTGAAACGCTCGGCCGGAAACCACGGGTCACCTTATGTATATGCCTTATCAGTCCTCTATATATATGAAATCCAAATTATGGAAACACTAAAAGACCCTGGTCTTTGGCACTATGCAGCTGAGCTACCTCTTTCCTCTCCCGGACGAGTTGCTCGTACATTCTTTTGTCCTCTGAGTCAAGAGTATGGTAAGGAAAACACAATTATTCGATCTCTGTCGAATCTGTCAGCAGAATCTCCTTGCTCGACAACGACCCACAGGTCAGGTCAAGGGTTTGTTTGACCAAGCGCCTGAAGTCACTCTTTCTGAGCGAAGCCAAGCAAATTGCTGACCCCAAAACAGCAAATGTTTCTACAGTCAATACCTCCATGACCAAAGGATACCAAAGGAAACACTAAACAACTGCTCAACAACTCAACCTCTACCTCAACACCTAATTACAGTGTTTGTGTGCCTTTGGGACGGAGAAACCCTGCAACATGCTGAAAATTGCGTAAATACCCGTGTTTTTGCCAGTTGCCGTCCAAACACTGTAAATACATGTAAATACGGTGTGTTTTGCTCCGAGAGTCTTCGAAAAACGTGAAAACAACACCTATTTGACTCCATGTTTTGGCACTACACATTGACAAATGAATAAAACAGATGTGTTTTCTGATGTGTTTTCAGATGGTCACAAAATGCACAACGACAACGACAACGACAACGACAACGACAACGACAACAACAACAACAACCACAACCACAACCACAACCACCACAACCACAACCACAACCACAACCACAACCACAACCACAACCACCACAACCACAACCACAACCACAACAACCACAGTAACCACAACAACCAGAGTAACCACAACAACCACAACAACCACAACAACCACAACAACCACAACAACCACAACAACCACAACTGGACCCTTCCTTGGGGCATCGCCGGTGTGCGAAGCCCTACAATGAGTCTCTTTTTGAGAATTCCAAGTCTTTTTTGCACATCTTGCTGACTTGCATCTCACCTCCACTCAGTCTGATCCCAAACACTACGCATTTGAGCGCAAAACAATGGAGGTCCGGCAAAAGGAAGTATATAAATGAAGAACTTCCGAAAACTTGCTCATCAGAAAGATTCCAGAAGATGTGACAAACAGTGCCAGATTGCTCCGCACATCAAGGATGTCTAGAATACTTAATTTTTTCTCCAGCTGCAAGGTCCATGATCTTAGGGGTGCAAGCGCGAGCCACATTTTGGATACGTTGCAGGAGCTGAGGCAAAAAAACAAGATGCAGCCCACGAACCCGAAGCAAGTCATGTAGAACACTTTTGTGAAACAAGTTATGTGAACAGTCTTGTACATTTTTTCCCCTGTTACCAGTGCGCTGTAGACTGTGGAATGCGGAAGAGGGTGGGGTGCAGAGTGTGGAGTGTAAAGTGCGCAGTGTAAAGACTAAAGTGTAAAGTGTTGAGTGTAGAGTGTGGAGAGTAGAGTGCGGAGTGTAGAGTATAGAGTGTAAAGTGTAACGTGTGGAGTGTAAAGTGAAGGGTGTAAAGTGTAAAGTGTGGAGTGTGGAGTGTAAAGTGTAGAGCGCGGAGTGTAAAGTGTGGAGTGTAAAGTGTGGAGTGTGGAGAGTGTAGAGTGTAGAGCACGCAACGCCACACGTCTGAAGTGCTGCACCTGCCACGCAAAATGACGATGGAGGTCTCCAGAGTGCTGTGCCTGCCACGACAAATGCAACTCATCTGTTGAAAACCTTGCAAAAGTATCGCACCTGTCACACAAAAGAAATTTTCGACACGTCTGCAGACACGTGAGAACGTCACGAAGTGCCACGCCTGCCATGCAAAACGACATTACAACTTGCTTTGACACCGTGAAACAGGTTAGGTTATGCAACTTCTCCCATAGACACGGCGAGGCCAGAGGAACACCAGAGACTCGAGACGAGAAATGGTGGAGCATCAAAACGAGCATTTCGTGCGAGACCTCCTCCAATTTTCACACTGTATAGCTTCAAAAGCAACGTTTTCCTACGAGTTTTCCTTAGAACATGAAAATTTGCAACCTAAAAATCGATGTTTCGCGCGAGGCTTCCATCCATTTTCTGCACATCTCACAAAATGCTACGCCCACCATGCAATTTGCACCTTGTCGCCATTTGACGCAGCCCTGACAAAGCGATTTGGCAAAAACACGCAACACGACACGTCTAAAGTGTTGTGCCTGCCACGCGAAATGACGATGGATGTCGCCAAAGTGCTGCGCCTGCCACGAAAACCGGAACGCATCTTCTGAAAACGTCGCAAAAGTATTGCGCCTGCCACACAAAACGACTTGTGACACGTTATGAAACATGTTGGAATGTCACAGTGTGCCACGCCTGCCACGCAAAATGAGGCTATGCGGCATTGGAAACCTCCAAAAGTGACCACTGTTGCAGAACTCGCCATTGGCACGGCCATACGGGGCTCACGCGACCGCTTGCGAACGGTTGCGGACGGTTGCGCGACGTCTGGCGAACACAGCCTCAGCCCCCAGAACCCCAGAGTGAAACGGGAACCCTTGCTACGCATTCGGGAAAAACGATAATGGCATGCCCGCTGCAGCCACCCCACCAGCCCTACCAATGGCAAGATGACAACCCAAACAACTGGAGGCAACAAGAGCAACGACCATGATGATGACTACAATGATGATGGCCACAATGATGATGATGATGATGATGATGATGATGATGATGATGATGATGATGATGATGATGATGATGATGATGATGATGATGATGATGATGATGATGGCCACCATGACGATATTGTTGCGATGAAGATGGCAGTGAAAGATGCCGAGTGCGTTTCAAACATCTTGGAACATCTTGGAACATCAGAAATGTTAAACCTCACTGCACTTTCACACATTCCCAGCTGAAATATTATATCGACGTTGCACAATGATGACGTAGTGATCATGCTCATGGAGAAGGTTGTCCATAAATCATTGCCATTGCCACCATGATCTGTGATCTTCCAAGATGGCGTCACTGTGTCACTTCACGACGCTACTGTCATGCTACTGTCATGCTACTGTCATGCTACTGTCATGCTACTGTCATGCTACTGTCATGCTACTGTCATGCTACTGTCATGCTACTGTCTGCTCTAAGTCCTGGACTGCTTGATATCTTCGTCCAAAGGCGAGTCACAGGTAAAACTGGGGAGGTGATTCACCTGCAAAGGCTTGGCCCTCGAGGCATTTCAGATCTTTCAAGAACTATAATATATATATATATATTTATAACTATCCCAGATTTTGCATCTTTGATTTTTGGGTTGGATTCACAGCAGCGAGCCGGCCTCAATCAAATATGGCTTCATCTTTGCGTCAAGCATAACATCAATGCCCAACAACTCGAAACACCTCATCAACAATCATCAAAAACTTCAAACATGATGCTCTGTTTCGGATAGTAGACTGAGAAACGTGCCAGTAGCAAGCTGACTAACAAGTGCTGAATCGGGTCACCCTTTGTGTTGTCGATGTCAGTCATCACTAGTCATCCTACATGTCAAAATGGCCTGCAACCCATCTGCCCTCCAGTCAGGTCTCGAGGAAATGCTCCATCGTACTCGGTCTGAATCCAGAAATCACATTCACTGACAGATTTTATCCAATGCAACTACATCATTCCAAGGCATCACGACAAAGTGACAAAGTCCCAAGATCAAGAGTCTTGGCTCTTGCGGCCTCTAAAGTTGGTTTGACCATGAGCACGGTCTTCATGCACAGACCTCCCCGGGTCTAGCACGTTGTCAAAAAAAGGCTTCACTGCGAATACATTGCGAATATATGTGCGAATATATTTGCGGTTATTTGCGGATATATTCCGAATGATAACCTTAGAAAAGACTTTGCTTACATGACTGCAATCATCTGCAATTCACAAATGTCAAGCCCGGCGAATGCTCAAATGTGCTCAAACTCCAGGCTCGTTCAAGTCGCAACTTTCAGCTCAAAGCTGCGTGTCAAATGCTCTGCAACAGCTGGCTTAGTCGCTAGTGGCCGCGTGAAGTATGCGCGCACTTAACTACTCCCATGGCCATCAAAAGTCGGGACGCTTCTGGAACACTGCAACAGGAGTAACATGCAAGTCGTGTCAGAGATGGTCGGAGGACGTTACAGGTACTTTTTTGGGTGGACTACGATGGGCTTGGCACTCAGCTTGTATGCCAATTGACAAGCCAAGGCAAGTGTTTCATATCTTTTCATGGTGAACAATTTCTCCTTGGAGCTTGTTGCAATGAATTTCCCTGCATGGTAAGAAAAGGGACCGTGGTTCCACAATGATCATGAGCTGCTACAGTGGAAAGTTGCATACCAGAAGCAACCCTATGAGACTCCAGTCTCCTACATCAAACATTTTTCTTGCACATGGCAGGCTCTCCTTCGAAGAAACTGCTTAGTGCAACGAGAAATCCAGCGGCGGAACGAGCGCGCTAAGGCAATGCAGGGATGTCCATACGCGGTGAAGCTTTCCGGGAAAGTCATTGCTTTGAAGTGAAACTCTCGTTTCCCCAGCTCGAACTCCTCGTCCTTCAAGGACCATAATTGATCATAATTGATCATAATTGACCATAATGCATAAATAGTCATAAATTCCATGAAATTCCTTGATATTTGTGTCAGAAATTCTTGCTTTAAAAGCCCAGATAGAACAGAAGCATTGAGCTACTGCAATTGGCAGCGCAAACTAAAATGGTCACCACCTCTAAAGGAACTCTCACCAAACTCTGATGCAACTAGCTTGTAATCGCACCCTTCTCTGCTGCATCTTGAATAGATTTGAATAGCGTTTGACATGTCCAACTTTGGATAACAGGCTTTTAACATCAGCCTGAGATCGTTCACTTCCCCCACTTAGCTTCCACGGCAAAGCTACACGCAACGGGCACCCGAGGAAAGGCATAAAATGGACACATCGTTTTGAAGTCCAGTTTCTTCTGCACGAATTTGATACCCCAATGCATGAATGGTCAGTGGACCATTGACTGCTTGACCCTTTTTCCACTTTCTGGACTAACTGATGCTGGAATAATGGAATAAACCAAGGAAATTCAGGGCCTGCAACGCTGGGTCCTTTGGCAGTCTTTAGCCCATCAAGCATTGTGCCGAGGGCTGTACATTCCTGGGATTCCGGAATCCTTTGGATCCATGTCTAGCCTGTCTAGCTGACAACGCAGCAGCCATTGTTTCTCTGCACCGACTCTGACCTTCCAGTTGCAGGAGTCAACCGACTTGTGCAAGTGCTGTGATATGCTACGTATATGCTGTGATTGTGTGTCATATGTGTATATATGTGTCATGTTTAAAAAACGATGTCGACATATGTCGACAATGTCCATGTGTTGCATGTGTTGCAGGTTTTTGTTTTTGCTTCTCCGGATGTGCTCATATGTTTTAAATTGTTTTAATTCATCGGAGGAATACGATGCCTCATCGCCCCCGCCTGTCGGGTACATCGAACTGCTGCAGCCATGTGCTCCCTGCAAGGATACGCTTTGCTCGTGGTCGTTCTTCTGGGTCCTGGCATCAAACTCTGACCACAAGGCCTAATGCAGTTTGGGAATACATGTAAACAATTGAGAAATATGAAGTATGGTAAAATATTGCACATATCAGTCACGTGGGCCCTGCACAACGTATGCAAACCAAAGCAGAGTCGGGCTCTGAGGAGAACAAGTACAAGCGATCATTGGTCATTTCTTTGCATCTATTTGCGACATTGTTACATGGCCGACAATCGAAACATGACTTGATTGGACACGATGTGATTGAAGTGATTCAAGCATGCAAGGGTGACTCGTTGCATCATTTTGAAGACAAGGTCTCTGGCCTGTCACTGCAGCATGCTGTAGCATAGTGCGCCGGTAACTTCTCATCAACTGGTTGGCTTGGACCAATCCGTCTGAATGTGGGCCCGTGAGACCGTAACATTGTCCTTTGTTCCTCATCAAATGTTGCATCCGATCTGCAAAGTGAATGACAGGGAAGAAATGCAACAAGACAACACAACACAAATTTCAGGTTTTCTGTTTCAGAAACATGTCAGTGAAAATACAGCTCGCGGACGGAGAATATGGAATCAATGAGCTGGCAAAATGGGAATCTAAGCGTGGTTAGCTATGAGAGGCTCTTGAAGCTGTTTAAGTCGGCATGACTTGATTCATTCATGGGCTTGTTCCAGTAAGGGCTGAAGGTGCATGAAAACCCCTCACCGTTCAAACTCTTCAAATAGCCGTACTTTTGTAGCTGAATGATCAAAAGCATTCAAAAGCAATGTATTCTTTGACGGCCTCTTTTGAAAATTATTGTACTGTAGGTCTTCGCTATCCAGAGTTCATTTTGAAATCATCAGATGCTTGGGAGTTGGACATGTCCAATGCTTTCTCATACCTACCTTTTCTGTCTGGTCTGACGTGGGGGTACAGGGAGATAGCAGCAGAAACGCTATCTTACTGTGTTTCATACCGACTCAGTCTCCACCGTTTCAAGTGTCAGACCTACGTAGATCTACTTCGGTAATTTGGGCTGTCACAGCACGTCAGCCTGCAAGGGTTGTGAATCCCACATCAGGAGCCACGCAGCTGCCCGCCTCATCGTGAACTTCATTCCATTGAGCGTCCTGCAAAATCTGAATCCAAACAGGCTCCACGGCAAGCATTTTGTTGTATCTTACATCATTTCATGTGATTTTACAGTATTTGATTCTGAGGAACATCTCCTTTGTTCAAGGGAGAAGACACTCGCATTTCACTTGCCAGTCCCGGGCGTCCATTTCGTTTGCCTTGATTCTCTGAAGGACAACCTGGCGTGCAATATCGTGCAATATCGTGCAATATCGTGCAATATCGTGCAATATCGTGCAATATCGTGCAATACTATTGGATTTGCAACCGTAACCTGACCGCAGCTAACCTTGCTTCTGCTTCCTTTGCTCAATCACTGGCTGACCTTTGCAGTGTCAGCGTTGCTGAAAGCAAAAGGATGATGACCTTAGGACGTAAAGCACTGGAAGGTCAAAGCTGCTGAGCTTCCAGAATGCCATCGGAGAAATATATTTGTTTTCTGGACTTTCTAGTACTAAGTCTGCCGCCTGTGCATAGTACAAAGGAAACTACGCCGATGCTCCACACATCACAACGCTCATCATATCTTCCCAAGAGAACCTGCGCAATTGTGCAGTCGTGCTCTTTCTGTGCAAAACAAAACAACTTTTTATGATGTTTGATGCATGCAGCAGGCTTGTACCATGTGGATCGTGCGCTACGATTGCCCTGCATCTGATCAATTGCACCCATCCTCAGGTGCGACGTAGCATGGTGTCCCAAGCATCTCCTTCAAAGGTCGGCCTGGCGATTTGCGAAACATTGGAAAACAACTTTGAAAACAACCAAGCTTTGCATAGCTTTTGAACAGTTTTGCTAGCGCTCCTGGTTGCTTTGTATGCTTTGTATGTCAGCACATGTACTGGTGTAGCCAGCTGTTCATTTCCCTTCCTCTCTAGACGATATAAAAGGGAGCTGCTCCTGTAAATGTTTTGAGTCTTGACTGTATGTGTATATATATATAGAGAAAGAAGCTCTCTCAAACTGGCCTTTCTTGAAATTACAAGCAAGCCCAAAGTCTGCAAGCTTCAAAAGCATCAATTCTCCCTTTCTCTGAACCTGGCTGACAACGTGTGACTGAGTTTGCGAAGAAAGGTTCCTCTGCCTCCTGCCTACATAGAAAAGGCAAAGTGAGCAGCACATGTAACACATTGCAAACATTTGCAAAATACCTTCGGTGAGTGTACAGCATCTGTGCCGAGGAACCAGATAGTTCTCTGGTTTAATATCCCGATGGATGATTCTGTGGTGATGCAGGTAGCACACGCCGCAAAGCATCTGCCACCTGCAGCAGACCCGTGATATCGTGAATCACTGCCCATAGCTGCTGTTGTTGCTAATCTCAAGCTTAACTAACCTGACAGTGGGAAACCATTTTTGTTCCAGTGATTTACCTGTCAACAACGGATGAACATGATGACTTTGACCGGCACTGCAGGATTTCCCAGGCACACTAAAATAGGATCGACCCTCTGAGGCTCTTGCATGAATCTACCTGACGCGTTCGATCAAGCGAGCGTTGAATGAGACCAAACAATAAATAACAACAATACATAGCTTGTATATACTTATATGATGCTACAATATGTTATAGTTATAAGTTAAAATATACAGTAGATAATATATGATAATATATAATATAGTGTCTATTTGACTTGCAAGGCATGACAAGACGCCGAGATTCCTTCATTTGCCAAACTGCTAGGACTTAGCTAAACCCTAAGACTTGCCAAGCTGCCAATCACTTCTGCAGACCACTTGGCCCGTGCTCCTAAGCCGCTTTCCTGACCAATCTGAGATCCAGAATGATCCAAATGTTGGCAAAAACTGGGGCTAGATGCGAGCTCCCAACCATTACCAAGCCCTGCCTTCACAGCAGCGGCATTGGCAGACTCCTTGCAAAGGTCAATCAGAGAAAATCAGAGAAGCGTGCTTAGTCAGTCAAGATATGTCAAAATATGACAAAATATACTCTAGCACGCACGGCTTCTGGTTTCTTGCTTTGGTGCTGGGCCCACGTGCCATCATGTCTGCCAAAGTGCCACCACTGCAAAGTTCCATGACCTTGCAAATGCTCTGGGAGGCAGCTGCCAAGGTTTCGTTCACAAGCTGGGCCACGGACCAAGTGCACGCACTCACCTGTTTGAAAAACTTCATACAATTTTACAACGTACCTGGTGAACATGTAGCGAGGCGACAGGAGAATACAGGATGATGCCATTGCAAGATGCAAGACCTTGAAAAACCATCGGGTCAGGGCACGGGTGATTCAACTGCTTTGCAATCTCGAGTTCATCCTTGAAATGTCCTGGCTCCTCGGCATGCTCACTGAACATCCCACGGTTCCAGCAAGGCGTCTTCCGAGTAGAAAGTTTCAGAGAGATGCTGGGTTAAATGCAGAACAAACACCTTTTCAGATCTTTTCAGTTGCCAAAACCTAGTTTTGATCTCTTTAATCAACTTCAACGCAGCAAGGTCCTCTAGTTTGTTGATCTGGATGGACTTCAAAGCCCTTTGTTCTCCACTTCTCCTGTCAATGAGAGATAGCCAACTAGATTGGAACGAGGAGGATGGGCGCTGGAAAAGCTGCAGAATCCTGAGTCATCTGCATGGACTTTTGACCAGATGGACACAACATGACACAACCATCATCAATCATCTAATAATGTACAATCATGTACAATCAGAGTTTGTGTTTGGAACGACAAAATGACAAGATGAAAAGAAGCATGCAAGCAAGGTGGATCAAGCCAGAAAGGTGACATTTATGGGAAGTCCTGTGCCGCGCACAGTATACCACTCCGTAGGAACCCTTACCTCAGGACCAACCCAACCCAACTGCTCAGAAGCTCCAGGTTTGACCTTCATGATGCCAAGATATGCCAAGATATGCCAAGATATGCCAAGATATGCCAAGATATGCCAAGATATGCCAAGATATTCAATTGACTCAGTCTTCTCAGTCATCTCTGAGCTGCCCACCTAACTCCCTGGTCATGACATAATGGTTCTCCAGGAGCCCTGCCGTGCAATACTGCGAGGGTCTGAAACTCCAAATCCAACTGAGG